GCAGGGCACTAGCCACTGCAGAATCACTAGCCACATGTCCTCAGACAGTACCGGTACAGACAGTTTCTCCCAGTCCTCCTCTCCAGTGTCAGATGGGATATCCATAAACTGGCTTACCATCTGACACCACCAGAGCTCAGAGACCGTGATACCTTCATAGGTGCTCCAGATGATTAAGACCCAAATGCAGTGATTGACCACATTCTCCATGCCAATCAGATGGATTCAATGCTTCAGATCTTCCGTGACAAGGTCAAGAAGGGTGTCAAGACTAAGTGGTCTCTCAGTGAGGATGGTCTTATCCTGTACAACAACCGGCTGGCTGTTCCTGCTACCAACTTTCTTAGGACTCAGTTGATCTATGCTGTGCATGCCACACAAGTTACAGCACACCTAGGAAGCCGAAAAAGTATTGCTTCACTCCGTGGGAAGTACTACTGGCCTGGCCTGGCCAAGGATGTGGCTACCTACATCTCAGCCTGCAAAGCCTGCCGCTAAAGTCACATCCTAAGGGACAGCAAACTGGGACTTCTGAAGCCCTTACCAATACCAAAGTAAGCCTGGCAAGATGCCTCCATGGACTTCAAGAGCATGCCAAAGGACAAAAATGGATTTGACTACATCTTTATAGTGGTAGACTGCCTCAGCAAGTGATGCTTCTCTCTTCTCTGCCATAAGAACATCACTGCTGCTGAGATAGCGGCATTCTACTACCATTACATTTGGCAGATCTTTGGACCCCCACGGTCTATTGTCTTAGACAGAGGATCTCAGTTCATCTCAGCATTCATAGATGAGCTTTGCAAGCTTATAGAGATCAAGCAGAAGCTTTTAACTGCCTATCATCCTTAGACAAATGCCAATACTGAGATTGTCAACCAGTATCTAGACCAACGGCTCCGTCCTTGGGTGAACTACTACCAGGATAATTGGTCAGATCTTCTCCCTTGCATGGACTGGGCTCAAGCAATGCTACTATATGATTCCACTGGTCTATCTTCATATAAAATTAAGTTTGATCATAAGCTAGTTCATCACTGGGATTGGCAGGTCCACACTGTTAAAGCCAGTACCTCATAGGAACAAATGACCCATGAAGAAGCTCAAGCCTTTGTCAAAGAATGCCATGATACTGTGCAGAAAACAACAGAGCTTGCTCAAAAGAATCTTGCTGCTGCACAGGCTCAACAGGCAAAGCAGGCAAACAAGAAAAGGAGAGAGCCTGACTTCACTGTAGGTGACCTGGTCTACATCACTCCCAAGGGATTTACCACTGGACGGCCTAGTGTCAAGCTTGATCAGCAACAATATGGACCATATCCTATTGTGGGAATGAGCGGTCATTCATATATGGTGCAGCTACCTCTATACATGAAGATGTTCAATATCTTTTATGCAGACCATCTCCACAAGGCTACTGAAGGATTACCTGATCAGATCGAGCTAGAACAACCTTCCATTGATGTCAACGGTCATCCTGAATGGGCGGTTCAAGAGATATTGGATAGCAGAGTGCTGAGAGGCCATCTTCAATACCATGTGTCCTGGGAAGGACTGGACCCTGATCCTACCTGGTACAATGCTGCAGGCTTTCTCAATGCTCCATTTAAGGTCCGAGACTTCTACACCACCTATCCTGACAAACCTGGACCTCTGGTGCACCTTCTGGTATGGATTAAGCCCTATGAGAATGATGAGATTCTAGAGGAGACTAGGGAGGATTCACTGCCAGTCAGCAAGACTGGAGCATCAAGATAATGGCGCCGGACCTGATAGACCTCTGGCATAATACTTTTAGATTACTACTACTGTTCTTCAGCAACGGCAATACTGGCTTTCTTTCTCTGGCAACAGAAAAGGATCAGTTCTCCCGGCCTTGTTTTTCTTTCCTTTTTCTTTCTTTTCACTTGAGGAGTATCTTCTGCACTTTCTAGCTTGCCCACAAGCCTTTTTTGGGGAGGGGAGTGATGTGATGGCTCAAGGCTCCGCTTGGCTGAACCACTTGATTGTGTGATTGCCTTGATCAGTCACATGGCTCAAGTCACATGACTGTCTCTTTCATCATCACATCTTTTCTGCACTGGCCTTCTGCTAAGCCAACCGCTCACTTAACGAGTGCACTCAGTGTATATAGATCGCGTAGTAGAAGCAACCCTTTGCTCTCCACCTTTGGATAGCTTGAAATAGATCTCAACCTACCCAGCCATTCTCCCTTATCTTACGTAGTTGCAGTATAGGCCTCGGAGATCCAGACGTTCATGGAGACCCAGAGACCGTCCTCACAGAAGCAGTCTCTATATACACTGTTGTAGGATTTCTAGTTGCTTCTGCTTAGAAATCCTAATTACTAATGCTTACAAATGCTTAGAAATACTAAATACAAATATAGCTATCTAGATTACTAATTCCTAGAGTGGTATACAGTCTAGAACTCTAAGAATAGTTGTTATTAGTAATAGGATAGAACCTTCTAGAATCTTCTATTCTAGAAGCTTCTATTAACCTATACTAATATAACTTGGCAGGCAGATAGAGTAATGCTTAGTAAGCATCTCACATGACTTATATGACTGGATCACGTGCCTGGGACCAGCAAAGGACCAAGGAAGGCCGGAGACCAAGGCCTACACCAAGGCAGCAAAATAAGGCAACAAGGCTTACTAATAAGCTATAAGCTTTTACGAAAGTACCCAATTCCTTTTAGTTATTGTTGTTGTTACTGTTTTTGTAGAAGGCATAATCTTTATTAATGTGATCTTTAGATACTTGAATGATGTATAGAGCATCCTGCAACTTAGTTACATTTCTATATTAGTAGAATTGAAGCTAGTTATCTAGGTTTAGGGCTATAGGAGCATCTTTGTCTTAAGAAAGCGACATGTTTTAAAGGAATATGAAGAGATAACTATTATCATACCTAGTTCATTAACTAAAAGCAGCTTATAAAAGATCTTCTCAAAGCCATGATATTTGATATTAAGCTTCAAACATTGTATTCATGTAGCTTATAATCTAATTGTGAAGAGCAGAAGAGAAAAGGGCTAAGATAAAAGTTAGTCAAATAGATATATAAATAATAAATAATATTAGCAACTTACAATTTTTATCCAGCCTTGTACCTGCATCAACTCAAAGCGAATAGAGACAGGGTACTTTTTAAAAGCCAGCTACAATGCATACTTTATGCTATATCTTATTAAATCTTCGATACAAGAGCTAGAAGATAAAATCGTCTAGTTTCTTCTCTTTCTATAGCAACTTAATATAGTCAACATTGCTAAGCGCTAGCATATTCAAGAATTTATCTGCATTTGTGTAACCAGCCTTAAATGTATTATCTTGTATAGTATGTGCAATAATAAGATGATTAAGGTATATAAGCAGAAATAGTACAAAGAAAGCAGAAAACTTAAGACTAGACTAAATTAAGTGAGCTTTAATCCTAAGCAGAAATATTTCAACTTACTATTTACTCTTAACATGAAGCAAATTCTTAAGCTTGTTCCTTAGGATTGTGATAGTTGAAGCATGCTTTAGCATCTTAGTATCTGCTGGATCTCGCATTACAAAGAGTAGAATATCTCTGTAGCGAACCTTTCCAAGAGTACCAGGCTAGAAACTACCTAGTTCTAAGAGGAGAATATTGGTATAAAATGTAATCTGTACTTTTATATCGATTCCTAACTCAGCTGCACACTCCTATAGAGTTCAAAGAATAATAATAGCATCTTTAGCTGTTGCTTCCAGCTTCTTAAATGTGATTTCCTTTAAGAGGCCATGTTCTGCTGCTAGGTCAGATTAAATCTACTTTCAAGAAGTTGAGCAATAAAGATCTTCATATTGATTAAAGTGTAGTACTTACTTTAGAGATTTCAAAAACACTAATTAATAAAGAAGGTAGTTTGGTATTGTAGTTGTGAAATCGAAGCCTCTATTTATCACCTAAAGTCAGCTCTTCCCATCTCTTGTCCCTTAAAACAGTAAGGTTAGCTTCTTTAATCAAGGCATGCTATGTAGCAAGGACTATACTTGTACTATTAAGCATTCTCTTTTCTTTATACTCTTCTAGCCTAAGAACTATAACTCTTCTTATAGATCTTTTAATATAATCCAAGAGGTAGGCCTTGCTCTATGCAATTGCTACAGGATCTCTAAGGCAAAGCCCCTACTGAATCAGATTCAGATTTATATTGTATGCATTAAAGAACCTTAAATAATATATTAGTCTCTAATAGCTTCCTCGAGTATAGTTTCGCTTACTTATTCCAAGTTCTTATAAGCTATTGATGATAGACTTTACTCTTATCTTCGACAAGAATATCTTCTTTGACTAGATTAGCTAAGTATTTTTGAACTTTTATAAGACTCTCTTCTATTAACCTTTTATTAGTCTGTAATTCAGGGCGTCTAGTATTAGACAGTTATTTTAAAGAAACGAGGCTTTCAAGATAGGTATCTATAGCTGTAATAGTTTGAGAGGAATACCAAGAACACCAAGGACTAGTTGAGTAGGAAGGCAGTCATTTATGGCTACAGTAAGGAGTCATGCTCATCTATTGCTAGCAAGTTAAAGGGGGGCCCGGGGGAGGGGGGGAGAGGGGGTCATTTTCAGACCCCCGAGCCTGAGCAGTCTGGCCGCAGGGGTATGCGTCTACCAAAGTTTCTAGAAATAGGTTGTTTCAAAAATTGGAGGAAGGGGTCATACATGATCTGAAAAATAAGCTAAGCAATAAAAATTACAAGTTGCGTAAGTGGTTCAACAAAGTCGATGTTGTCGCAAGTATAGGTTGAGTTTGCTCAGGGGGGTGAATGTTCCGGAGAGCATGTCTGACTTGTACTTGATTGGCCGTTACCCCTCCCTTATCGATAACGAAAAATAATTCGACGACCTTTGCGGAGTTCGTCATCGCTGCAAGAAACACACAACACGAAACCAGCCACAATGCCCACGGAACTCGAAGAGGTAAGTTTCGTGTATTCTTTTCTATTTCTCGTCTTGCTAACTCCTCTCAGCTCGTGGAATTCCTCCACCATGGAAATACTCAAATCCGCCAGGTCGGTAAGCCATCCTCAGACCCACCTCCCCATGTCAAGTCCACACCACATACTGTGTTATACTAAAGCCCTTCCTACAGCCGCAGACCACCTAGTCGGATACTCGCAATCCCATAGCACGCTCTTCAAGCGCAACCAGTTAGAGCCGATCAAAGACCTCAAGCTCCTCGTCAAAGACTACGCGCCCATCGCCAAGAACGCCCTCACCATCCTCATCAACACATCCGGCCATGACCAGGAAGTACTCAAGGCCCTGGCCGAGGACGATGCATTCCTGGAGGTGTTATTATCACGGATAACGGTGTGTTAGTCCTCCCTCCAGAGCATCTCTCTTCCTTTCGTATACAGAATCCCCTCGTTTCCGAGTTTCAACGTACTAACAACGGAGCGACAAGTAGAACCCCAAAGAGCCCAACGCAAATGAAATCGCCATGCTCCTGGCCAACCTGGCCAAACACGACTCGATGCAGCGCATCATCGAGCTCAAGCGCGCTGCGGTCCCGAAACCCCTGTCCAACTCCCCCTACGCCATCGACCAGCTGCTCGACTGCTTCGTCAAGGGCGCGGACGGCGCCTTGAACAAGCACGCCGACTTCGACTACCTGTCGTACTTCTTCGCCGATCTCGCAAAGGTAGGTGTGTCCGCCTGCCTCTCCAAGCTTATAATATATATGTATATATGTACACATAGCTAACCTGACTTGAACAATTCTCCAGTTCCCCCAAGGACGCATCTACCTCACGACCCCACAACCGCACGACTCGCTCATCATCCCCCTGACAAAACTCCAAGTCTTCACCTCTCACGCCTCCCACATCCGCCGCCTCGGCGTATCCTCGTGCATCAAAAACTCCGCCTTCCACATCCCCGCCCACCCGACTCTCCTCTCCAACCTGTCCCCAGATCCCAACCTGCCCCTGCCTCCCCACACGGGCGCCAATCTCCTCCCGTATCTCTTGCTCCCGCTCATGGGGCCCGAGGAGTACTCCGACGAGGATACAGAGGGCATGCTGGATGAGTGCCAACTTTTGGAACCGGACAAGGAGCGCGAGAGGGATGTCGAGATTATGAAGACGCATCTTGAGACGCTGCTGCTGCTTAGTACGACGAGGGAAGGCCGCGAGGTGCTGCGGCGCGTCAAGGTATATCCCATCATAAGGGAATGTCACTTGCAGGTCGAGGATGAGGGGGTCAGGGAGGCGTGTGATAGATTGGTGCAGGTGCTTATGCGAAAGGAAGAAGGTGAGGAGGACGGGGATGAGGGACAGGATGGCGGCGCAAGTAAAGGTGCGGGAAGACTTGTTGAGTTGAAGCAGGATGGAGAAGAGGACGAGGATGAGGAGGAGAGGATTGTGGATATTGTGTAGTTGAATTAAAAACGATAAAAAGATAAAAGAAGAGATGAATGTATTGCGCTCGAGAGTGGTATCGAACAATCCAAAAAGTCCGAGACAATTCCCATCGAATGAGGGATCGCCTTGTGAAACCCTGCCATGTAGTGCCCGTTCCCAACACCGAAAAACGCCTACTAAACCCTATCCCTGAATCATTCGAGCGTGCTCCCAACAAAAGGAAAAAGAATGCCCCAGTACCCAACCAAGCTAGAAGCATGACCTATTAGCGTAGTCCCTCCGCTCCAACACCATCAGCGTCACCACCTTCCGTCTCCCCATCACCGTGCCCACTCCCCATCCGTTCAGCGGCCAGCGTGCTCGTTTCCACACCCTCCACCGACCCTTCTTCCCTCTCCCTCTCTCTCTCCCTCCCCCTGTCCCTCTTCTCCCTCAGCAAACCCTCTAGCTCCCGAATCCTCTTCTTCAACCCCTCATTCTCCCTCCTCGCCTCCTCCAGCTCCTGCTTGAAAAACGCAACCTCCTCATACCGCGGCGTGCTCACCACGCTGCCCCCCGCGCTGCGTCCCGAGACATGGTTCCCCACCGTACCCGTCTGCGGAGTCTGCAAGACGCCGGATCGACTGCTCGAGCTTCCCCTATGGCGGCGCGTCGTATGCGGCGGAGCGGGATGGGTGTGGTCGAGGAGGGAGGCGTCGTTGAGGAGCGAGGTGCTGGACGCCGTGGAGGCGACCGAGGCCGAGTGGGCGCGGAGGGCCGTGAGTTCGCGCGTGAGGCGGTTGACCTGTGGGGTGGATTAGGGCTCTGTTCTCTTAAATATTGATAGGTGCGTGGGGAAGCTTGGTCGGGTGTGGTGCAAGTGTAGGCTTGACTTGGGGGAGGGGATGGATATCATATGGCGGGAATGGGTGGATATGCGGATACATACCACGGCCTCCTGCTCCTTCTCCAACTGCAAGTGCAACTCGGCCGCCGTCAGGGGCCTGGGATGCCTCAACGGCTCACCCGGATACCCCGTCCCTTGCGCCAGTGTCGAATGGCCCATGAGGCTCGGACTCAGCGGGGGAAACGCATGTGTAGTAGTGGTGCTGGAGGCATGCGGCGATGGGGAGCCGTGTGCAAGTGCTGCGGGCGACGCTAGCGGCAGAGGCGGCGGACTCATGGGGTAGATTTGAGAGGTGCGGCGAGAGGAGGTGCGGGAGGGTTGGCGCGAGGTGGATGTCGGTGGACTCGTTATGGTTGATGCTGCTGGCACCGCGGGTGGAGGTGCGGCGGTCGGCGTTATGGCGCCGGCTGGTGTTGTTGTCTGCGGTTGGGACCGCTGGTCAGGCTCCGCCGTGTCGTCGGAGGCCATTTGCTTCTGTGGTGTAGTGTGGTGTAGTGTGGTAGTGTTGGAGTGGGGGAGAAGGGGTAGAGGTCAAAGGTGGTGTTGGGCGGAGCTTCGGGTTGAACTCCAAGACGCGGCAGGTGCGCCTACAAATTATAGATACTGAAGAAACCTGAAGCGGAATAATCGAGACAGTCCCGTTCTAAACGATTGCCTGGTCTACTATTTGCTCATTCTTGCCAGCTTACTTCGTACAACGTGAGGTGGTGGCATTCTTTGTTGTTTGGGTCCCCATCCAGGCTGACCATGTCCATCAATCAATGTGAAGCGTGAACCCAAGCTGAGAGGATCAGACGAGATAGGCGACTAGATATGGGCAAACCGCCTTGGAGAGCGTGGTTTACTAGCATATTTGCTTGCAACAAGCCGCTCACTTCCCGCTACTGGTATTGGTCTGCTAATTTCCCCTACTTTGGACTCGTATTTACTCCTCGTCATCGCCCTCCTGCAGGCTTGACGCAGGTACCTTATGCGGCATATGCGCGACAAGCCAGCCTATTTGCCAGTCATAATCCTTCTGCCCCAGATTGCAGGATCACTCATTCCGCCATCATTTTGGAAGAAATGCTTTTGAACAGATCCCAAGAACCCGCGCCCTCCCTACAACTCCAAGCCGAAATGCTCTGTCATCAATATCCCCAGGCGTCAAGGATCGATAGTAGAAGTCACACCAAGTGAAAGCGCCAACATCTAATATGTCCTGGCCAAGTTGCGGAGGTACCAGTCCACCAATCTCCTGCCAACCTTGGCTTCGGACACGTGAATGAGGTCCTGGCATGTATTAGCTTCCCGTGGAGCATATGGAAACCCTACTGTACTTACACCCTCGAGAGCGTAGTCAAGGTCGCTGCTGTGCACCAACTCGCCGTCCAGCAGTCCGCCCTCGGTCCACCTGATCTGCCTGTTCCTCTGCTTGTTGACGAGCAACCAGCACCTCAGCTTCTCCGGCTCCACCTCGAGGAAACCGGCGAGCTTCTTCAGATCCATCGTCGTGTAGAGCTTGAGGTAGCTCTTCACAGTGGGCGACATCATGTTGTTCTTGACCTCGTCCATGAAGATGCGGAGGTGATGCTCGACCGGGTCGATGTTGACCTCCGGGTTGTCAAAGTCGGGAGGAGTAGGGTTGATGAACTTGGGGCAAGCCGAGCGGAAGAGCTCCTCGAAGAGAGGGAGCGACTCCGGGCCGCCACGCTGCAGCCTATTGAACTGCTCTCCGTACTTCTCGCGGAGGGCGGTGTGGATCGTGTCGTCGAGCCTGGTGGGCTGGAAAGCAACGCAGATGGCAATGAGAGCGTACATCTGGTCGTTCTTCTTCGTGATGGAATCGTACTGCGCGTTCTTCTGGAAGTTCTTTGTCCGCGAAACGTAGACCAGAATGTGGCTGAACATCCGGATGGCATCAGCGTACCGCCGCATCATCATGTACGAGAATCCGACGTAGTAGTAGGTGGTGAAGTGGGCGGCCATGACGCGAGCGAACATGGCCTTCTTATTCAACTCGATATCGTCCAGGGTCTTGAGGGCAAGGCTGAAGTCGCCGAGAAGGCAGTGGACCCGCAGAAGACCGATAATGGAGAAGTAGCCCAGCATCTTGTACAGCGGCCGCGATCCGTACTCTCCGGCATACTGGTTCGGGTCCTCCCCCCGCTTCATTGCTGCCAGCTGTTCGCTGATCTGTGACCGTTGAATAAGGGAGTAGAGGACATTGAGCACACTGTAGCATCCCCACGTATTCGGGTTTTCCCTCAGAAGCATTATCTCCTCCTCGTTCTCGCCCTTGTGTGCCACCTTCTGGCGGTAACTGCAGAAGCTGTTGAACTGGTAGATGAACTCGTCGATGACATCCCATGCCCAGAAATACTGCCCGTCTCGTTAGCGGAGTCCGTCCCAACAAACCGTGAAGCCGCTTACATTCGGCACCTCCAGATCCACGGGTCCCTCCGAGTTCAGAATGTAATGAAAGAGGTTGCAATATGAGTCGTAGCTCGCGAACTTGGTCTCGAGGGTGGCCTGGAACTCCAGCGGCGTCGCGGCAGCATGCAACTGCGCCTGTATATCCTGGTTGCTGGCGACCGACTGAACGCGGCCCAAATCCTCCATGCCATCGTACTGCACCGATTCACGGTATTCGTTCACCAGAGCCTCCTCTTCCACATCGGAATCGTCTGCAGCGGCGCGGGCGGGCGCCTCGCCTTGGTAAGCGGGGGCGGCTTGACGCAAACTCATATTCAACGCTCGTGGAGGTGCGGTCGCGGGGGATCTCTGTCGGCGTCGTGGAGTGTCTATGCTCTGTCCCTCCTTCGAAGGCCTGAATTTGCCCTGTGTGGTCTTGGCGGCGGGCGATGTGGGCTTATCGATAAGAACTACTGTGTACATCTATCTTCCCAAGTTGAACTTCCCATCCCCCTTAATATCACAACATTGATAACAACTCGGGCAAATGGTCCTAGAGAGTAGCTTTTCCTTGGGGTTAGGGTCTCCAGTCCCAAGTGGACTGCTCAATAGCAGCTCCTGGCTATGAACAGCATTTACGCCCCGCCTTGAGCCTTCTGACGACAACTTTCCACTGTGCATAGCATAGGATGGCTAGTCCTAGGGTTATTAACTGTTCTATATCTCTATTTCGTTCACGTCTTCAACCTGGAATGTATCCGAGTTGATGGTCGACAACTCTCCGGGTCGCCTTCCACTACGCCTGGTAATGGAAGGCCGGATTTTGATCTGATTGGTTTGGTGTGTCGTCACTATGTCACTCTGTAGATCAAGGAATGCCCACCTCATGGATGCAGTGTAAATTGTGTCGAACACGATTTTCTAATTCTCTGCATAGCCGCTCCCTAGTAAATGTTTGGGTCCACTATCTTTGAAACAAAATGCCGTCGACAATCAAAATCGCCGTGATCCAACTTTATGCCAAAGTCAATCCTGCCCACTTCCTGCGTACCAGTACTTAGGTTACGATATATACATATAACTAACCCCTTCCAGCCCTTGGACCCAGAACACAACTTCACCAAAGCCGCCTCCTTCATCCGGTCCGCCGCCGCCCAAGGCGCCCACCTCGCCGTCCTCCCAGAATACCACCTCACCTCGTGGGTGCCCCAAGAACCGACCTTCCTCCCGCTCTGCGACCAATGGGAGACGTACCTGAAAAAGTACCAAGCCCTAGCCAAAGAATGCAACATCTGCATCGTCCCCGGCACACTCGTCGAATCCCACCGCGGCGCCTCGTCCGCGGAAGACAAACTCCTCAACGTCGCCTACTTCATCTCCAACTCCGGTAGCGTCGTAGGCAAATACGTCAAGAAGAATCTCTGGGGCCGCGGCGAGCGCGAGCATCTGACGTCCAGCGGGCGGGATGTGCATCAAGTATTCGACACGCCGCTGGGCAAAATCGGATTGCTGATTTGCTGGGATCTGGCGTTTCCCGAGGCGTTCAGGGAGTTGCTGAGTGCGGGGGTGGAGATCGTCGTGGTGCCGGCTTTTTGGAAGACGACGGATTGCGGCGAGGATGGGTTGGGGAGGAATCCGTGGGCGGAGGGGGTGTTTTTGGATAGTGTGGTCACGGCGAGGGCGTTTGAGAATACGTGCGGTATGTATCCATGCTCTACTTGATGTTTATCTGGGAAGTTTCGAGTTTCCTTTCTGTGGGATTTCTGTCTTGCACGGAAGGACTGACTGACTTGGACGCTTAGTGGTCGTTTTCACCAACGCGGGTGGTCCACCAGGGGAACAGTTTGTTGGATTGTCTCAAGTGGCTGTCCCGTTTGCAGGTCCACTGACGCGGCTGGGGAGTTCGGCGGAGGGGATGAGCGTCGTGGATGTGGACATGAAGATTTTGGAAGAGGCCGAGGCGAATTATGGGATCAGGGCGGATCTGGCGAGGGAGGATTGGCATTATGACTATAGGCATTCGATTCGGGACAGGGCGTAGGCGGATACATGTTCTGGGAAGGTTCTGCTGAGAGTTAATGTAGACCCGGCCTGCTATTACACTACCTAATAATTCCCAAGTATGAAGTATTAGCTAAATGAGGAATGTATACAATGATATAACCTGCACCTCCAACGCACCACAGAAAATGCTACAGTAATTGTACACAGTCACAAGAGGAAATACATTTACCTCTCACCTACCCAGGCCCGCAAGCTTGCCCAAGTACCCCAATCATGCAGGTAGCAGAAGACTGTGTTGCTCAGACTAGGGAACAGTTTTTGCTCTACTTGCTAGGAGCCTTAGGACATTATAAATTGTGTATCGCTGAAGCCGCGGTATTTATTCTACGTTATTCGAGTATTGCATATTCGTAAGCATCTTCCTATTTATCTCCCGGTATCTTGAATTAGGGATGCATGCAAGACCGAGTGCCAATCGTTCAATCACCTAGGTACCACAACCCTTTCAGAATGACGAGGTGAATGTGCACTCGGCCCGCCGAAACTGCTTGAAGAGAATAGAGTTCCAAGTTAAAATCTTCGCATTGGCGGGAGCTGAAAGAATGGGTATCTATGCAGGGAACAGTTGGAACCAAAAGGAAGCAGAAAACTCCCCAAACCCACATCAACGCCTCAGCTTGATTCCACCGGCATTGCACAGAAAGCGGACGTTATACTTCAAAAGGAGGAATACGTAAGATGGGGACTGATCTCTTCGCGCTGCATGCCCGCGGAATCCGGAACGTGCTTGAACTCGTCCAGCACCAAGCGCCACAAGCGGACAGATGCCAGCCATTTCCCACGTCTGCCATGTCTCTTTCTCCCTCAAACCACGGCGGGATCAGCCCAATTCAAGCGAACGCCATTTGACAGGTACGATTCGTCCTCGCTGTCGGCGTCGGAATTGACCGGGCAATCATCAAGAACACCATAGGGGTTCGAGAATGGCTTGGACTTCATCGAAGGTTGAGAAGGACTCGATTGCACTCGGCGAATGACCTTGGGCAATGGAGCGGCACACTCGTCGGGGTACCAGTCGATGCGCAGGCCCTTGTAAGCCGTGCGGGACATCATACACGTCCTGGCAAACAGTCCATTGTGGATGGAGTTGGTGGAGATGTAGGCATCGCCATTTCTCATGTTGACGTCGATCACAACGAGATTGTGGATGTGGTCCAGATGTTCACGAATCTGATCAGGGGCAATCTGCTTAGCCGCGGCGCCGCGAACTACGAGATTGCGGGTTGCCCCTTTTGCAATCTTGTCAGAGACATGCGGAGGTACTTGGAACTGGCGGTCATGCCAGCGGAACTCGAGCTGCTCAACGTTAGTCTTCGCAGCCGCATAATCAGGTTTACCCCCGTGCGTTTCGCAAAGCGCACATACCCTTTTCTGGTTCAGGTAAATGTCGTTCTTCTTCGTATGGGCCAGAAATTCAGCGGCCCCTTCTACAAACGACACCGTAGCACACCGGTCATTCCGGAGATAGATCTCTGCCAACCGTCCCCCGCGAATCACCTCTACCAAGTCCTTGTGGGTCGTCCTATCGGATAAGTTGGTGATGAGGATAGTACGTTTCCCATGCGTTGGAACACGGTGCGGGGAAGATGCATCCGGATCGTCGAGCTTCTCGTTCGTGCCCAATGAAGAACCGGCCTGGCCAAAGCTACTGGCTCTCGTGTGGGGCTGAGTGTCATTGCCTTGCAACCCTAGTCTATTCCCCTCCCGCACATTGCCTGTGATATGCTCATGATCATCCCGGTATTGGTCGCGGATCGAAACGTCCTGTACAGGGTTCGATTGGGTGAAGGTTCCCGCATAGCCGTTGGCTTCGTTGGCACAGGAAGGAGCCGAGTGCACGTGCGAGTCTTCCATCTGGGGTGAGACGAGCGTTTGAAGGGCATCGTGCGTCAGACCGCCTCGTAACAGGGCTTCTCTGAGCAGGTCTGTGCTTAGTTAGACTTGAGAATCTGCAACTGTGGAGGGAGCTTTACTGTATTCGCGAGCAGACCGAACCTGCGGAAATCAGCTGTCTTGTAAGGAGTGCGGGGGAGGGGTACGAAAAAGACGTACAAGGTACTCATATTCGGTAGTCGAGATGGTGACGGACGTGTGTGGAAGTCCCGGAATGATGTCTGGTCCGGATGTATGCTATTCCAAATCCGTGAGCCAAACGAAGAGGCAGAAGACAAGCAGTGACGCACGTAGTCGGCTCTGAGAACAATCAGCACCGACTTGTTGCAAGCATGAGCCGGGGAGTACCCGTAGATGCTACTTACCGACGCAGGAGAGTTTCAAAGTAAGTTTTGCCAATCGTGACGGTCGCCATGGAGAGGGCGGGGACAAGAGCGAAAGGCACGGCGGAAGCACGTTACCGCCAGGAAGAAGAAGCTGGAATGGTATCCGTAGACTGGTGGCCGGAGGAAAGATGGTAGCAACGTCCACATCGGATTGTTTTAATCGGGAGGCCCGTGCACAAGGTTTCCTTCCAGGGGCAGCGCCCAAGATTGAAAGCCGCGGGGCGCGCGGGAAGGTGCCAAACGCCATGAGAGCCATCGTCACTGCCGCACTCTCCGTTTCTTCACCGTTTTCCAGAGCTCCGCCAGCCTTGCACGACCTGCAGCCGTGAAGGAGCCAATCTGCCGGTCAATAATTTGAGAGAAGGTCGAGGAACCGTCGCTTGAGCTTTCTGAGAATGAGACGTGAGGGGAAGGAAGCTGGCAATCTGTTCGGAGATTTTGGCGGAAACCCTCCAGCTTGGGAAGCTGCGAAGCTTGGCGATAGTGCTTGGCAAACCATAACCTAATCAGGACTAGCGAGCCTCGGCTTTGAGGAATTCCATGCTTCGTCCTCTGCAGGTCTCCCAACACCTCAATCCCATGGACTCTCCCCGACCCCCAGCTCCGCAGCAGCTCCGCCAACAGCTCGCGACGCAGCCGCCCCTCAGCGAAGGCGAGGGCCTCAGTGCCTATGTCTCGAACCTGACCGGCAACCCCTTCTTCACCGCCGTACGTGTGTCAACCCATTCCTACCGCACCGCATGAGGCAATGTGCTTATGGTCGCCATAGGGCTTTGGCCTCGCAGCGCTTGCCGCCGCAGCCCGCATCGGCCAAAAGGGGCTCCAGCATGGCGCCTCGCTGCTGCGCCGCCGTATGCTCGTCGACCTGGAGATCACCCGCCACGACGAGGCATATCCGTGGCTCCTCCAATGGATGACGGCCTTTCACAGGGCCCAGGCCGCAGGTGCAGAGCTCTCCGCACAACCGCATACCGCGAAGAAAGGCGGCCTCTTGACCTCAGTAATCAGTCGACTCAATCCGCGCCTGCACCACCTCCAAGTTCGAACGTTGCAACCAATCGACGGACCTTCCAGCGCCGCCCATTTCTCCTTCGTTCCCGGCCATGGCAAGCACATCCTCCGTTATGGCTCAGCCTTTCTCATGGTCGATCGGCAGCGTGAGAAGAGCATCAACATAGGCACCGCCGAGCCATTTGAAACCATCACCCTCACCACCCTCTATGCCCACCGCCACATCTTCGAGCGCATCTTTACCGAAGCACACCAGTTGTTCCAGCAGATGCAGGAAGGGAAGACGCTCATCTACAATTCCATGGGGCCTGACTGGCAACAGTTTGGAGAGGCGAAGCGAAAGCGTCCTCTGGACTCGGTCGTGCTGGAGCGCGGGGTGAAGGAGCGCATCGTGGAAGATGTGCAAGCATTCCTAGCTGCACGGACCTGGTATTTGGACCGGGGCATACCATATCGGCGAGGGTACCTGCTGTACGGTCCTCCAGGCACAGGCAAAAGCTCCTTTATCCAGGCATTGGCGGGGCATTTGGATTTCAACATTGCCATTCTCAACGTCAGCGAGCGCGGCTTGACGGATGATCGATTGAACCATCTCTTGACCAGGGTCCCCCGACGGACAATCGTCCTGCTCGAGGACGTTGATGTCGCATTCGTCAACCGCAGGAAGCCCGGCGCAGACGGGTATGCTGGTGCGACTGTGACCTTCTCGGGTCTGCTCAATGCGCTCGACGGCGTTGCGAGTGCAGAGGAACGCATCATCTTCTTGACCACCAACCACGTCGAGAAGTTGGACGAGGCACTGATCCGGCCGGGACGGGTGGATATGACGGTCCGGCTGGGTGAGGCGACCGAGTACCAAATCGAAGGGATATGGGATCGGTTCTATGCCGACGTCGACCCCACGGGGGAGGCAAAGCAGCGTTTCATGGCACGGGCAAAGGAGCTGGGGCTGGTAAACTCGGTGAGCACAGCAGCGCTCCAGGGATTGTTCCTGTACAACAAGGACGACGTCGAGGGCGCCATCAGCATGATGGAGGGTCTAAGTGCGGGGAAGGACAGACGGCAGCAGCCGCATGTTGACCACAGCGGCCACGTGGATGTAGCGTGAGCGGAAAAACGTGGGGGTAGCGTTTACCGATTTCTGTACCTATGTCACTGTATAACGTCGCGTCGGGTAGATAGCATGTTGTACGAATAGAAGTTGTAAACGGAGATGCCTCGAGAAGATGATATGTAAATACACCAAGTGAAACTTGGAAGAGCACTTATCCGAACGTGACCGAACCTCGGCAGGCCGCCAAGAAGGGGCTTGCATTAGCGCGCGGAGATGCCCGTTATCGATCAATCAGATAAAGTCACCAGGCTTGTCAAGATCCTGAACCTCCCAGTACGGCTTAGCTGCTTTTTCGACCGCCTTCAACTCGCACCCGTGGACCCGATGCTGTCCACCGCTACATATGGGGCCGATTCGCCGCCCGACGAGCCCTCTTGCTGGTCATTCTTCACCTCCCGTCGACGTTGAGACCACCGTTGAGGACCCAGGACTTCCCCCAGATACTGCCACTCCCGCCCCTTTCGCTACTACTTTCGAGCTCCATGATTTGCCTCCAGCCATCCATAATAGCATAGCAACGCCCGACTGCCGTGTCTCTGATGACCAATTCCAGGCACACGAGGCTGTCCGTAATCGCACTCGACCTGCCTCTTCTTCCCCGGAACTGGGCATGTCGCGCGCCCCCTTGCTGGTGCGTTCCTCACCCGCACAGGGAACTGGTTCCTATGGCGGACTCCCCGTGCTCTCAATGAGCTCCAGCCCGGGAAGCCCAGATCTGGAATCCCCTCGAAGGAGCTCTGCAGCACCACTGGGAAGCAAGACCAAAGGGAAACGGAAGCATAGGGAAACAGATCCCTCATCTTCCCAGCCCGCTCACGTCTTCAACCGTGATCGAGAGGACTCGATTCACAGCGCCCCAGTGACTGCAGCAACGAAGCGCCGTCGTAGTAGCATCTGGAACCGCCCCAGTAGTGAGGCCAGCGACCGGCTTCTGCGGGATGAGTCCCTGTTGGATTCGCGGTTTAACTCGAGTGGCATGACTCCTATGCCTACCGGAGCACCGCACCTTTTTCAACCCCTGGACGCTGCATCAATAAGCAGCCAGGTGGAGGAACGGGACGAGAGCGAATCCACCATCAGCGATGACCTCAATGAGTTCAAGCCCACTGCTCCACCTCAAGACAATTCCCCATATGCGCAGGTCCGCGCTTCCGTGGCGGCTACCGATGATATTTCCCTTTCCATCAACACTCCGCGAATGTGGACGCTCTCCATAGTCTTCGCCGTCTTAGGATCATCCACAAATCTGTTCTTTTCCTTGAGATACCCTAGCGTTAGCATCACTCCCATCATTGCACTCTTATTAGTCCATCCCTTGGGTCTTCTGTGGGATCAGATCCTCAAACGGGCGGATGATCCTGAAGAGACCTTTGTCAACGGGACCATCAGTCGTGGTATCGGGTCCCCAGACAGTGCTTCTTACACGAATGGCACCTCTTCCGCATATGTGCGTTCTTCGCATTTAGCTCAAGCTCAGCAGTCCTGGAAACGCAGGCTCCGGCTCTGGTTAGCTCAGGGTCGTTGGAATGAAAAGGAGCATTGCTGCGTATACATCAGCAGCAATGTGTCGTTCGGTTTTGCATTTGCAACGGATGTAAGCCTTTGCTGGTCCTGTACCACGTCGCGAGGAGTTGACCGTCATCCAGGTTATTGTGGAGCAGACCAAGTTCTACCATCAGGACCTTAGCATCATATATCAGATACTTCTGACCCTCTCCACGCAAATCCTGGGTTACGCACTGGCAGGGCTTACACGTCAGTATCTTGTCCGACCAAGCGGCATGATCTGGCCTGCAACCTTGGTTTCCACTGCCATGTTCACCGCATTACACAAGGAGCAAAATAAACCAGCCAATGGCTGGACTGTATCCCGCTCCCGATTCTTCCTATACGTGTTCCTCGGAGCGCTTGCATTCTACTTCCTCCCGGGGTTACTCATGCCCGCGTTGAGTAACTTCAGCGTAATCACTTGGTTTGCACCCAACAATGTCGTGATCGCCAACCTCGTGAGTACATGAAGCTCGGCCATGGCCTACCCTAAACTGACTTGTACAGTTTGGTACCTCATCCGGACTTGGCCTGTTCCCAGTGACTTTTGATTGGGCGCAGATTTCCTATATTGGATCGCCGTTGGTCGTCCCGTTCTGGGCGGCGTTGAATATCATCGGTGGTCTCGTCGTCGTCATGTGGATCATGGCCCCCTTGATGTGTACGTCCGTTGCATCCGCTTCTAGACGATGTAGCTGATTCGGGCCCAGATTATGCCAATGTGCTATACTCTGCGTATATGCCCATCCTTTCGGCCGCAGTGTTTGACAATAAAGGAAAGCCGTACGACGTCAGTAAGATCCTGACTGACAACTTCCTGTTCGACGAGGAAGCGTACAAGAACTACAGTCGGGTGTTTCTGCCCATCACTTATGTTCTCAGCTATGCCCTGCAATTTGCTGCGCTCACAGCATTGCTGTCACACACAGTGCTCTGGCATGGGAGAGACATCTGGCGACAGTGGCGGCGATCCTATGCTGAGATAAGGAGACAGAAGGGGCCAGAGTACCAACCAATACCTGGGAACACCGACGACACTACCAGTCCTGCAGCATCGCGACCCGACCGTGCCAGCACCAGCGTCGACCGTGAGCCTGACCTGGAGCACCTCCTCACCGCCGAAGACGTTCATAACCGGCTTATGCGGCGGTACGATGATGTGCCTGTTTCCTGGTACATCCTTACCGGCCTGAGCATGACCGCCATTGGCATCTTTGTTGTAGAGTAGTGAGTTTGTCCTCTCGCTCTCGTCAACCATTCCTAACATTTTCAGCTACCCCGTTCACCTCCCTTGGTACGGACTCCTTCTTGCTCTGAGCATCGGCGGCATCCTCTTCATTCCCATCGGCATCGTAATGGCCATCACCAACCAACAAAGCAGCCTGTACCTCATCTGTCAACTCATCTGTGGCGTCGCCTTCCCTGGCCGCCCCGTCGCGAACATGGTCTTCACCACCTACGGCTACATCACGTCGACACAGGGCCTCAAGTTCTCCTCCGACCTCAAACTGGGGCACTACATGAAAATCCCGCCGCGCATCCTCTTCTACCTCCAGCTCTCCGCCACCGTCATCTCCTCCCTCACGCAAATCGGCGTCCTGAACTGGATGCTCAAGTTCATCCCCGGCATCTGCACCCCCGAAGCCGTCGACCGCTTCACCTGCCCCATCGCGCGCGTGCACTTCAACGGCAGCATCCTCTGGGGTGTCGTGGGTCCCCGCCGCTTCTTCGGCCCCGGCGCCCTCTACCGCCCGCTCATCTGGGCCTTCCTCGTCGGCGCCGTCGCCCCCGTCGTCCTCTGGCTCTTCGCTCGCAAGAACCGCAAGTCCCTCCTGCGCAAGGTCAACCTGGCCGTCGTGTTCGGCAGCCTGAGCTGGATCCCCCCCGCCACGGGGCTCAACTTCTCCGTCTGGGGAATCGTGTGCTACCTCTTCAATTACCGGATTCGGAGGAGCAGGACGGCGTGGTGGGAAAAGTACAATATGACGTTGAGCGCGGCGCTGGATTCGGGCGTGGCGGTGGGGTTGGTGGTGATTTTCTTCGGGGTCGTGTTTCCTGGTTGGATGAAGGGGTTCAGGTGGTGGGGGACTGAGGTGTTTAAGCAGGTATGTCCATGTCCACTGCTCCATTCTTTTTTCTCTTTTCTGTTTTTCCGGGTTTATTTGTCGCATGCCTCCCATCCTATTGTGCGCACCGATGGGTTGCTGGCAACTAACGCGAATGTACCTACAGGGCTGCGACTGGCGCGCCTGTGCCTACAAAACCGTCCCCGACAACGGCCGCTTTGGACCCAGTGATTGGTAATTTACTGTGAAGACGAACATCATGACGACGACGACGATGACGATGATGACAGCAAGAGATCTGGTTACGATGGACGAAGTATGAACCATTGTTTGCTTTTTGCGCATATTATAGATTTGAACGCGCTGAAATTGGTCTGATTTGGAGCTATTTGCATTGCATAGTCAGCCGGGCGTTTCTGGGGGATCTAGAGTTGATTGATTTCTTGAATTGTGGCAGATGGCTGTGGGAGGAGAGGGAGGTAGGCATGGGTTACGAGGTGTTGTTGCATAGGGGTGCTGGTGGCGTGGATATTATATTGGTTGTATATAGCGCGGGAAGAATGGATAGGTTGATTTGATATCATGTTTGTCCTGTTTCGTGAGATTGTGGTTTGCCCGTTCCAATGATTATGATGGCGCTATGGTTATCTCTGATTCTCTGCAAAACATGCCAGTAAAGCGTAGTCCGCGAAACTTTTCAGTTGCTCATCACAACGTTCTCCGCGCAAAGCAGTCATGGGGATACATTGCCTTTCGGTCGGATGTGAGAGAAAAGGAAAGCAAAGCACCTTTTGGTTAAGAGATGGAGGCAAACTCGATTGTGGCCCTTCCCCTCCGTGAGAGGGATCTGCACAAGATGAGACTAGTTGCTGGCATAGTCAGTTCTGCTGCATGGCCGCGATTGAGGGATATCCACAAATTATTTATGTACCAGCAAGAAGTCTATACAAAGTGTGCACATCAAGGTAGAACAGAAGACCGCGTGTTTGTGAATTAATCCACAACTGAATGAAAATCAACCATACCCGCTCACCTCGCCACGCCTCAAGAGAAGGAAAAAGATATCAAACAACGGTAAAAGATCCCTACATTTTGCTGTCACTATGTTTCGGCCGTGCATCTATCCAGCAACACCACACCCAACACACCACACCACAGCCAACGCATCTCACACCTTCCTCCCACCCGTCAACCTCCTATTCTCCCTCAACCGCTTCGCCTTCAGCGTCTCCCTCCTCCTCTTCTTCCACGCGCGATTGCTGTCCCCCCTGGCTTCCCAAAACCACTTCCCGAACGCCGACTCTTCCGCCTGGCCCTCACCCTCCCCCTGCTCTCCGCCCTTTACACCATCCGCATCCGCATCCGCATTCGCATCCCTAGCGTCTTCATCTCCATCATCATCCAAGTGCATATTCGCCACCGTATTCCCCCTCATCTCCTCATCCCCTTCCTCATCCCCATCCCCATCATCCTCATCATCACTCTCCGCACTCCCCTCCCTCCTCCAATCAAACGAAAACTTGCGCCCAATAGCAGCTGTATCCGGCGTAGGCGCCGCGCTCCTCAAGCCGCGCCACTCAAGGTCCCGCTGCGTGAAGGGCGTCATGGGCGGCTTAGCAGTGGTTGCGTCGCCTTCCCCTTGGGCGTCACCATCGCCATCGTTGTCGAAGAAGCTAAATGCGGTTTTGATGGGGGCGAGGGTTTTGCCGGGCGTGGAGGACGTGGTAGTGTTTGCGGCGGGGGAGAGAGTGGGGGGTTTGGGCCGCTTGAAGAGGGCTTCTAGGGGGTGGACTTGTTTCGTCTGGTCTTTCTGGGGTTCTGGCTTGGGGGTGCTGGTGGCGGGGGGAGAGGATGCGGTTAGGGTCAGGTCTGGGAGAGTGCTTGTGTTGGCGGTGGGAGAGGCGCGGGTGGAGGAGGCGTCGTCTACGGAGGATTCGGAGTCGGAGTCCGAGGATGACGATTCTTCTTCGTCGGAGGAGGAAGAGACGACGGAGGATTCGGCATCGTCGTCGGAGGATTCGGAGGATGATGGCAGTGGAGTAGGAGTGACTTGTTTCTTCTTGCTCTTCTTCTTCTCAGGTTTGGTTTTGGATTTAGGGGAAGAAGCAATGCCCGTGGGCTGGGTCGGGTTGTCTGCAGCAGGTGCCGGTTCTACCAGCTCTAATAGTCTCCTGTTCCTCGCCTTGCCAGTTTCTGCCTCTACGACGTTGCCGTCCTCGTCCACCCATCCCTTTCCGTTGATATACTCGACAGCTGGTTTCGGGTCGGGTGCTACCTGCGAAGTCTTCAGGAAACTAGGCGTCTTGGTGTTGTGCTCAAACTCGTGAATCACAACCTCACGCGGATTCTTCTTCTTCTTCTTCTCCTTCTTTTCCTTGTTCTCCTTCTTCTTCTCCTTGTGCAACAGCTCATTCGCCGCAACGGGCGTCAACTTGGCATGAAACAGCAGCTCCGGCTCCTTCGTATACTTTGACTCCTTCCTCGCAGCCTTCTTCTCCTTCTTGTCCTTTCTCTCCTTCTTCGCCTTCTTCTTCTCCGCCGCCGTCTCCGTCCACCCCCTCTTCACCTTCCTCCCCTCGGGCAACTCGACCCCCTCCAACACCCCCTGCTCCTTCTTCCTTCTACTCTTCTCCTTCTTCACCCGCTTCGCCGGCTTCTCCTTCTCCGCCGCGTCCGCCTCAGCCAGCGCCTTCCGCTTCTCAGGCTTCGCATTCTCAATCTTGACCTTGGACCCCTTGAGCGTCGAACCGTTCAACTTCTTCTTCACCTTCTGCGCCTCCATGACCGGCAAATCGACGTATCCGAAGCCCCGTTCCGGAAACGTTTCGACGACGTGGTACGAGATGTTTCTGGCGAGCGGCAGGACCGAGGGCGCGAGGTAGACTTTCAGGAGCGCTGGACTGAAGGGTGTGATGTGGAGTCTTATGTATTCGGAGGGCGCATTTGTTGATGTTGGGCGCGAGGAGTCGGGTTGTGCGGAAGCGGGTGCAGAAGCGGAAGTGCTAGGTTGGTTCTGCTTCTCAAAGTGAGAGGGAGAATGAGCGACGGCGTCTGCGGGCATCGAGTGCGCGCTTCTTCGCCCGAGTGCTGAATATACGCTATATAGATATTGTTTTGCAGTGTGCGCGTGAGCAGCGCTCGAGAGGGAATTCCGCGCGTTTGGAGGATCTTGAAAAGCTGAGATCGGAGCGCGGCCTAAGCGCCGGACTCTATTTAAAGTGGGGAACTGGCTGGCCGCCGAGCCGAGAACGCCGGAAGCTTGTTGAGAGCTTCTCGGCATCCAGACGATCCAAACGACGTCGTTTGGACTTTGTTGATTGCTGCTGCTGGTATGGAGCGTCGGCGCTCGTGGATGTTGTTTTTGCTGCTGGCGCTGCTCTCGTTGTTAGCGCCCGCGGTTGCGAAGTGTAAGTCGACCCGCTGCTTCTTGAAGATGAAATGGCAAACTCACAACAAATGAATTAGCACCAACGTCTTTCTGCAAATGCACCTGCTTCGGCAAGAGCAGAATCTTCGCCCTCGATCCCCCTGCCGATTCGGAGAAGCCGAAGCCGCCATCCTCGCGATCCCTCGAGGAGCGCGCCTCGCGGAAGAAGACGTGCAATGATTGCAATCGGCAGTTCTGTTTGGGATATACCTTCTGCAAAGGGGAGAAGGAGGAGAATGTCTTGACGGCGTGTTTCCGTGAGTTGGACGAAGGATCGTTAGGGGAGAAGATGGAGGCTGATTGGATTTAGAGCGCGATTCTGCGAAGGACCAGGCGGTGGTTTACATCTTCATCATTGCGACTGTGGGGTTGTTGAGCTATGCGGCTGTGAGGCCTTGGGTGGATAAATGGGCAGAGGTAGGAATGCGCTGTTTGAGTTGAAGACTGATGGCGGCTAACATACGGCAGAGGACCCGCGAGCGAAGAGACTATATTCCAGTCTCAAGTCAGACGGATCAGTGATCCTAGAACCCAATCGATAATGAGTGCATGACGCAAGGCGTTCAGGAGACGATAACTGAAATTGGCTAGTGAAGTCTTTGAATTATCGACATGAATTTTAAGGATACCCAAACGAACACCTAGGTCCAACATACGCCCCGTTAGTGACTCCGCGATGCAATACAACTCGTATTATTACAGTGATGTACAGATTGCAACTCTTATTCTGATTTCTTCGAACCACCCCACACCCAGCCGAACCAGCCTTTGCTCGTTTTCTCTACCGAAGATGCCGCGTTGGCCGCGGCCTGGTCGAGCGGTCCACCTACTGCAGGCGCCGACTGTACTGCATGTGCCGACTGTGGTGAGCTGTTCACTCTCGCCTCCTGCACTGCCTGTGTTATCCCCAATCCCCGAGCTTTCGCCGCCTCTTCCTCCTTCTTCTGGAACTCTTGCACAGCCAATCTCCGTTGTTCAGCCAACTCCTTCTCCTCATTCCACTCGCCATGCATCCACCACAGCAGTTTCGACGGAGCTTTCCTTTCCGCCTTCTTCTTCTCCCAAAGCGCCTCCTCTTCCGCAATTCCTTCCACCAAAGCCCTCTGAGCTGGCGTAGCAATCCCCTGGTGGACAGCGTCCCGCGCCGTTTGTAGGATACGGGCTTGTGCTGCCTCCTGTTCCTTGTACCATTCCGCACGTCGCCGGCGATTGTAAACGACCATATCTCCTACTGAAAAGACGGCCATAACGCCAAAGCAGCCTGACATACATTAGCAATCCGGTCCCTCAAACAAGTACTCCTCCGGCACAGTGGGATCGACAAGGCATACCGGTCGCAAAAACAATGCCGTAAACGGTCGCGCGGTGCATGAAATCCGCCGCCCTCCGCCCGTAGAAGTATGCAACATCCCACTTCGTGACCTGTGCCATCTTCGCCCGATTCGCCGCCTCCCTCAGCCGCTTGACTTTCTGCGCCGGCGTCTCATTCTCCGGCGCCGGGTCCGCAAACTGCAGTATTGTGCTTCGGCCGCCAGGCTTCGTGTGGGCCCATACTCCGGTGGCCGTGAACCGCGTCGACTCTCGAGGGGATCTAGACATGGTGGAGAGAGGAACGGCGACCGCGATTCTAGTGATTGAGGCTGGAATGCGCCGCAGCAGGGGATTGATAGAGCTGGGATAGAAAAGTCGGGATGCGGAGATGGAGCAGCTCGGCTTTCGGCGGTTCGTTTCTCCGGTGGTCCAACTTCGCCTCATGACATTGATGAGCATCCAGTCGATGCTTTGTTGGAATAGTGAAGCGAAATCTGACGCGGACTCGAGTAGTGAACATAGTGGTTGGGTCTTTTTCATTGGACAAGTATCAGCATGATGCCAGCGCTTGTTTCAGTCTTCCTTCACGTTTCCTTTCCGTAACAGAGCACGCTTTCCAACCGCCATGGCAGACAACAATACAAACCAGGCACTAGATGTAGATGAGATTCTACGAACACTTGCAGGCTTCTCTGGTGCGCCGCAAGCTCCGCCTCAAGAGCAAGCTCAACCTCCGAAGCAACACCTTCCAGTGATTCCGAAGGCGCATCCCCCAGCTCAGCCAGAGGCGCCACCGCACCCGCAACATCGACCTACAGGTCCCACCGTCCATCCTTCTACCATTACCGAGTGGAAGCATGGTCTCCGTTGCCTCAACAAGCTCGCGGCTCAGAATCCTCATTTCGAAACCTCCATCCAAAAGCTCATCAAGGATCAAGAGCGCAACGTGAAAGACTGGGACAACGGCCGCCAACGCCTTATCGCCGAGCAGCGAGCAAAACGGGAAAATGAGTTATCTCAGAGAGCAGCCATCAATCTGCCGGGACTTCTCGACAATGCGCCACTCCTTCGTGTAAGCTTCCGTCGTCAGTATCTGTATTTTGACCATGACGTTGCTGAACTTATGTGAAGACTCCAGAGCGGGACCAGGAAGAGCTCAACGAGTACTATCAGAAGGTGTACCGTGCTTGCCGTCAGATGTCTGAGTCTCACAAGAAGGAACTGCAGCGCTTGGGGGTTCCGTTCTTTTGCTTGAGGTTTGATCTACTGCGAGCCGATGATACGAAGACGGTATCTTCGCCTCACGAAGATGACGAACAGGAGAAAGAGGTGTCTGCCTCGTCAGACGGAACTATCACAGAAAGCGAGCTTTTGGTGCTGCAGAAGAAGATGCTGAATCACTTGATGGAGCTGTATGGAGATTGAGATATCGCCGGTCTAGAGACTTGTTTCCTCGGCAATTGCGGCCAATATGGCCGAGTCCTATGCTCTTTGAATACCTCGACAGGTTTTTGCAGCACTCGGCTCAAGGACAGACTTCAGTTAGGCGGAGCGATCGAGCCTCACATCGTTGTTTCAAACAACCGCGGAGCCTGATTGGACTCTCTGGAAGCCAAAAGTAATCGTACTTGGATACGAGCGGGAACAATGCCAGAGATACTGGGTCATAAGCAGCGAGATTCCGCTGAGCAAACTTCAAACGCAACTTCGGGCCCATATTCAGGCCTTGTCGTCGGGACACACCTACCTCGCACGCCGCTTACTCCCACCGAGTATGCAACCGGGCACGAGATATCACATATGTATATTTCTTACTCCGCCATTGAATCATCAGTCAATACAAATTATTTTTCTTTCTACCATATTATCTTCGATGGTCGAGGCATCTCTTCATCTTTGTCTCACTCCGTTCTTCACTTAGTCTTCTCTCTCACTGTCGTAAACATCAATCTCCTTCAGTTCAATGCGCTCAATCACATATACTATTCGACAAGCTTTAGTTAACAACGCCTACGTATTGTATGCTAGGCACGCCGCGTTCTAGGACTGCCATCCTAAGCTGCCAGGCCATGTCCGAAGAACGTTGACGCTGCGACTTTCACTCTCACACGCCGTAAGACTCTCGGTAAAGCAGAATTGGACTGTCAGGGCCCATGGCCGGCTGCCGTTTGCTCGTCGAATATTGGCGTAGGCGCTCAGACCCACTCTCGAGCCAGATAAATACACGACCCCCCCTCCTCCTCCACCTCTCTCTCTCCTCACCACACACCACATTCGTTTCTCGGTATCTGGTCTCACCACACTCTTTTCCCAACTCTTTCCTTTGTCGCTCTGACGCTATCTGCACCTCGCCATCGCGATCACCAGACTGCTCCCTGAAGAGTCCTCTGCTCGCTTTCTCAACAGCCACACTGCGTAGGTAGTACACACTTGCCACCCTCCTGCCACTCCTTCCCTTCTCTTTCCCATATCTGCCACTATGGTTATCTTCAATGTTGTCGGCCGCATCGCGGTCGCGTCTGCTGCCATCTTCAACGGCAGCGGCGCGTTTGCGCACAACGGCGACGCGGCTGGGTTGGACCACTCTACTGTGGCGACCGCGGCCATTGCTCCTAGAGCAACCGTCGCTTGCCCAGCTGAATGCATGCCGAAGATGTGTACGGATGAAGTCAAGTTGAGGGGCACGAACACTGTCTTGACCTACATCTGCCCGCCAACGCCTACCCCGACCAAGCAGCGCTCGACCGTCTATCTGACGATCACCGAGTACACGACGGTTACGCCGACGGTCGCTCCAAGTGTCTCCAAGGTTCTGCAAGTCTCGAGGTATGTGTTTTTGGTCTTGTTATGAAGGGGTGTACTGATCCGAGATACAGCGCGACCGAGGAAGAAACGACGACGACGACGAGGGGCACTTCTAGCAAGATCGTGACTATCACCATCACTTTGCGTCGTTCGTCGTCTGCTGCTGGGGTCACCACTTCGGCCGTCATCACAACTTCGGCCGCAATCACCACTTCTGAAGCGATCACTACTTCTGCAGCGATGACCACTTCGGCCGCGATCACCACCTCTGCTGAAGTCATCTCCGACGTGCATACCTCGAGGTAATTCAATACGGGTCTCTTTCTTGGACCAGCTTTATACTAACATTGCTTCAGTGGCGCACAGTCTACAAGTTCGTCCTCGACTCGCCATGCGATCTACTCACTGTTGGTAAACTCCATACATTTGCCCTGCTTTGCCTAACTCTTCTCAGGCCTCCGTCGTGGAATACCACAGTGATTGCGAGCTCGGGAACATCGGCGATCCACAACAGCTCTGCGACTGTTGCTCCCATCCTCTCTACCAGCGTCAGCACAACAGCTCGCAACATCTCGAGCACTGCTTTTGATCAAGATACGTCTACTAGCATCGCTCACAACACCTCTACGGCTGCGCTTTCGTCGTCTTTGAGTTCGTCTGCGGTATCATCCTCGACTGGCTACGCGATGCCTAGCTTCCAGACCCCTCCCTACCCTCTTCCGAACGCGACGTCCAGCTTCGTTGCTCCTACCGGCGCAAACACCGCGACAAGCTACATCATCACCGCCTCCAGTTCCGGACAGTATTACTCTCTCCCTCCTTCTCTCGAGGAAGACGTTGAGCACGAGCACCGCCTTGCACGCCGTCATGGAGGCGACGACAACTCCTCCGTCTCCTCCCACGGAGTTATGTCAGCTTCTTACCGCAATAGCACGTCCAGCTTCGACTTCCATAACATGACTTCCAGCGATGGCGGTATCGCTCTGACATCCAGCGCCATGCAGGGCACGGGCACCGGTACCAGCACCGCCACCGGCACGGCGACCAAGACACTGACCGGACCTACGACCAGCACGCAAGTCCACCATTCTAGCCACAGCGCCTCTGCAACTGCTTCCCCTTCCGACAAAGGCGAGGCTGCAGGCCTGGGCTTGAATACGACCGCCCTGTTCATGTCTCTGGCTCTGATGATGGGCTGGATGTGGATCATGTAAAGGTCTTTTCCGGACAGTATATCTGCGGATGTTTTTCTGTCCTGAGGACTGCACATGGCGGTTTCCTGAATCTGGAGTGTATCAGGATGGGGTTTTCTCACATCGGAGTTGCGGCTATGGTATATAGACGTGGTATGCTCTGATGACGAAACTTCATGATGGAATGGGAATGAATCACGATTACTTTGTCTTACTAACGACTCATGTGCGTGCTATGTGATGTATGCTTGTGTGAGTTATCCTTCCTAGCAGAAGTGTTTGTCTCCTACCTTTGTTGTATGTATAGTGAACGTTTCGAGTCTGGAAGGGTTGCTACCCGTTGAAGTCGCTTCACCATCACCCACCCACACAAAACCCCACCACCTCGGAGATGAGCTGTAAACGAACCCCTACCCTATGGTAAGAAGGAGGGTGAGAGGAGGTTCATGCCGACAGTGCTCTGGCAATTTCGCTGTACGCCTTCTTCCCTTCGGCGCCTAAGCAGCTATTGCCGCTAGTCAAATCAAGGAATTTTGTATGCAGTAGGCACATACTAAGTGTAGCCAAAGAGTTACTCTGGATGAAAATTTGAGTCCCTGGTTACAAAAAAATTGATTGTTTAGGGCGCTGGCCTGCAAAAGTGAGGGCGCTCAGTTCACACTCCTCGGCGCCATCAGTGGTTGCCCACTCGAACAGTACCCTCCTCTCACTACTTTCAGCATTCCCACCACATCTGGCTTTCTCTGCACATATTATATAGCATTTATTCTTTTTCTTTCTGTTCACTGGGATAGGGAAAAAAATAGGGCGAATGCCCCCAGAAACCACAAAAAAAAAAAAAAAAAACCGCCACTTTCGTAGTCAGAAAAACCCGCTATTCGCAGGTTATTTTTTTCTTTCATAAAGGTATTTAATTGAGCCACTAAGCGGACTCGAACCACAGCCAGGTTGAATTGGTCTGGAAGTTCCCGTACGCTCGCAAGTTATACAACTGAGCCACCTAGGAATCCTCTCGCATCAAGCTGACTGTGCTAGGAATTGTACTTTGGAGGGTTATATAGTGCATATCTTTCGGGTATAGAGGTGAGGGAGAATGTGAGTGAGGAGGACGAGGGCGGTGACGTAGATTTTTTATTGTGGAAGGTGCGTGCCTGCTGTTTTGGGTTTCTGTGAGAAGGCAGTCACTGGGTGGTCTTTCACCGGCGCAGATTGAGTGCAGGCGGCGAAAATCACGTTCCATGGTATTCTAGGAACGAGACAGCCATATAAAGAGGAGATGAGTATGAAGGTGATAATATTATGGAGTAACAAACACAGATATCTATATAGCGCGTGCTTTCGATAACCATAAAAGCAGAGGTATGAACAGAGTGAAATCTACAGACTGGTTTGAGGGCATTGAATAGTATAGTCACCGTCAAGAGCCACCGTCAACAGCCACCGTCAAGTAATCCGAAGAATGTTATCCTGCTTAACTGGTTAGAAGGTGCTTCATTGTGAAGTTATTTCGGCGCCTTCAAGTCAAATCAATGGTCTAATTGACATAGACTAGTCGTGCTTTTGAAGACAAGATCCGGGTGAATTTCCGTGCTCATGCATAATCTAAGCCACAAAGCGGCCGGGTCAGCCAGCATAGGACCAATAGCCTCCTAACCGCGTCAGCCTTGTACGACGTTGGGCAGGAGGCGCAGCCAGCTGAACAGCTGCAATGCAGAATGCCACATGCGCGGCGAAATGGATTATCCGCTCGCAGTCTTCACTATAAATCCAGTCGCGCGTCCCTTGGATCTTGCAGCTTTGACATCTCTCACACTGCATATCACTGTCCGACATGGATGCGGTCGCTCTCTCCCTGCAGCTGGTCCAAACGGCCGATAAAATATGGACGTTTCTGAAAAATGTCAAAAACGCTCCCGAAGACCTTCAACGAATTTCCGACACGGTCGAATCCCTTCGCACCATCTCAAAAAACGTCCATACGGTCCTGATCTCACAACAGCCCCAAGTCGTTCAAGACCAACAAGACCCTGTCCCTGCTCCCCGTCCGCTTCCCGGAATAGAAGCCTGCCTGCGAAAATGCGAAGAACAACTGCGGCCCCTTGAAGACATTGTGAACAAGCATAGTGCTGCCTTCCGGAACGACTCACCAAAACTCGATAAGCTTTGGAGCAGCATCCGCATGGGCTTCAAGTCCAAGGACATTGCGGATTTCCATACCCGTGTCCATAGGGAAATGGACTTCCTGAAGCTCTGGCTTGAGCTCAATTCTTATCACTATAAGTAAGTTGTTTTTGGTAATTCTCGCGCCAATGATGTGGCGTCTATGTTCATAAGGAGACAAGGGTTCTGTTAGGATGGTACCCTGACATTTACAGTGCCCAAATTCTTCCTGATATCCGCAGGGACATACGTTCTATGCAGGAAAGTTTTCTCATGGCCATTAAGACTACAATGACACAGGTGGTACCCGTCAACCAAGGTACATGTCCAGCACCGAATGTGGGTCCCGCATCAAGCAGCGATACGTACAGCTACAGTCAGGACATTGATCTCTACGCACCTTCACATCGAACAACGGTTGATGTTGCTCCCCACCGCCGCTCAACACAGTTACTGGTCAAGGTCCACTCAATTGATATGCCCCTTATTATTCGATGCCTAGGTCTTCGGGGAAAGAAAGTTCGCAAGTATCTCCAGTTTGAACAGAGAGATGAAGAAAACATAAACTCGGAACGGCCAGTCATAATCTCCGAGGAGGTCGTGTACTCCTGGGAATTCCACAACCTACGTCGCGGAGTTGAACTACATTTTGATTCACTCCATAGTGCCATACTACCCGCCGTTTCTTCCTATCCAGTGATGCAGGGTAGTATGCTCCGGCTATGTCGTGATATATTTGCAACAGGCACTCTGAAAGACTTGCAAACGGCCTTCAGCAGCGGAAAGCTACATCCGTTCACGCGGAACGTTGATGGCTATACTCTACTTCATGTACGTACCGCCTCAACCTACTATCGACATCAAGCTAACGCATGACTTGCAATGAAGCTAGCGGCTCGTTATTGTAGAGCAGACTTCTGTCAGCTTCTAGTGGCTCTGGGTTGTACCGTTGAGATGTGCAGACGAAGCCAGTCGGACCCAATTCGAAGCCCCGCATGGTCTGCATGCATTTACAGTGTTCCCGACGAGTACCAACGAATCGACACATTGCGATTTTTGCTCCAGAATGACGATGCATTTGATATCGAACATTTTGAACCCCGCTTTTGGACATGGGAATTCGACCCTGAGGTAGACCGCTATCGGAGCGGGCCATTTGCCCAGTGGCTATGGGACAATGCACCACTTTACTTCGACGACTCTCAAGTTTCGACAGTGAGATGCGAGCTTTTTAATGAGATGCTGTCAGACAAAAATTACGGGATCCTCATTTTAAACAGGACTCAGCTATTGGAAGTGTTGGACAAAAGTGACACCCTCTATTTTCTGTTCGATGGGGGCTATACAGAAGCGGACAGCTGCTTCGCCATAGGGAAAGATTGGATAGACTTCCTCCTTAAGAACAAGGTGGATCTTGAAGACTATTTCAAGAAAGAGATCGCGCGGGCGAAGGAATGTGCTTCAGATTCCGCCTCTAACGAACTCGCGCACTGGCCCGATGAGAGGCCTCGCAGAGTTGTGATCGGCACCAACAGCGCCGGTGAATGGAATTTAGGGTGGCAATGGGTGGTTGATTCTGCTGAGCCCTGCTTTTTGGTATGCTCAGAATTTGCGGCACTTGCCAATAACATTGGGTACGAAATAGAGTGGCCATACTCCTGTGGTGGACAAGTATTTTTCTTCGAGTTCGAGCACGAGGATAACGGGATATATGAAGGGGCGACCGCCATTAGAAGAACAAGCATATTGAAGAGAGCGGAAAGATTCAACCGTCGTATGGCCAACAAAGCCCAGAAAGAGTCGAGGAAAGCCAGGAAAGGTCTCCCGCGCAGGATGCCGGGAGCATGGATATAAGACTTCGAGACTCGCGGCCACAGTCCTCACAAGGCCTTGATCACTACATCGGTGCCAGAAGACGTGGCTGTATATCTACGCTGCAAAGAGCACGAGCCGTCATCCTCCCGGATGGAACGGAGGAAGGGAACTGCTATCGACTTTGCATTGCATCTCTCCACGAATGTTTTGAAACTATCACCATCCAATTAAAGGAGTAATGAGTCCGGCACCGGTTAGTGCCGACAGCATGCTGTTCTCCACCAGTAACGTCGTCCAAATATCAACGGCTTCATTAATTGGAAGATCAAGACGGAAGGATGCAGCTCAACTATACCAGAGACGAGTGTGTAGGGTTGCAAGTGGCGATGAGGCGTAACGGTGCCGTTCCTTAAATCCCTGCAACGACCCCTTCGACCCTTTCGTCTGTACCGTTCCCTTCTCGTCTGTCTCCTTATTGTCAGAGCCACGGAGCTAGCCGCAAGTATTACAGCGTTCTTGTCGCTGACTATTCATGTTGTAGAGTCCGTAGACAAAATAAGGACGTTCGTCGAAAATGTCAAGGACGCCCCGACCGAGTTGCGAAGGATTATGGAGACCTTGGGAAGGCTCGGGTTGTTGTTGCAAAAAGTCCGGAAAACGCTAGAACGGCAATGCGAGCAGAAGGCGCCTCTGTTCCTTCGACCATCTTCCTTACTGGGGGCCGTTCTGAAGGATATTGACCGTCATCTTCAACCACTTCGAGCAGTGCTAGAGAAACATAAAGCGTTGTTTCAAGATCCAGGCAGACGTACCATAACTTGGAGCAAGACCAGCCTTGCGTTCAGCTCCAAGGCCATTGCTGGAATTGAGGAGCGAATGCATCAAGATGTTACACTTTTGGGAACAGCCTTAATGGCCAACAGTACGAGTATTCAATACGTGCACCCAGTCCGGTTGATACCTGATCCCGCATTCCCAAGGCATAGACTTCCTGTCAATGACGCCGTTTACTGAATTTTCAATCATATCAAGAGATCGTCGGGAGCCCTTTGTCGCTGAGGTCGGTGTTTGCGCTCAACTTTGAACGTCACTACAGCTTCGACATAGGAAGACAATGGCTAGGCATCCTGTCCAACTTGGAAGTGGACCTGGACGACTACTTCGCCCGATTTGACGACTTCGACGGCTTTATCGACTGCCCGTATAACAATCTCGAGCTCGGCTATCGTCACGAGATTGTAGCTCCATGCAATGCCAATGATGAAAGAACTCTGGGTTGGGAACGCGCCTTTGACCCGGATTGCGAGGGGTATCTCATCATGTCTGAGTTCGAAGCACTGGCAATGGACTCGTACAATATGCAGGATTTTCGATGAGGAGGACGAGTGGGTCGAATGACGACATGCGCCTCTGCCCAAGGCAGTGCTGGATGCGGATGGGTGGATTACGATGGAGAGTCGGGCGGAGCAGCTTCGGCTCGATCCAAAATGGACAGGGAGACTGGAGCGCAGGGTGGCCAGGAAATCCCGAAAGGAGATGAAGCGTTCGGGGCAGAAAGTCGCGAGGAGCAGGATGCCAGGGTCCTGGGTATAAGTATCCAGACGATGGGGCTCGTAATATCCTCTCTTTTCAATATCTGGTCAGCAGAGGGTACTCTTCGATACCACACGCGCGCGCAAAAGCATGGTGATGAATAACCACCTGGTTAGGCGCGAGTCGGTGGGGGTGTCCAACATAGAAATGGAGGCAGTGCAGCACCAGCAGGAGACAAGCTATCTATAACCGTAGAGACGATATAATGCTGAGGTGAGAAGCTTTTGTACTGATGAGGTGAGAGGTCCGGGCACTCCCTAAGATTGACGTTCTTGCGCCTTTGGACGAGAAACCAAACAACAACAGTGAAAGCAACGACTCTGAGACAGAATACAAGACGAGGCAACGCAATACTGTGAAACTTTGCGGAGAAGTCTCCATAAAGAAATTCCGGTAACGAAGACACAAACAACAGCGGCGAACAGAAGGGTATTTCTTCGCAAGAACAAAACAATTTTTCCTTCCCTCCTCTTCTCAGCATAGACGCCAGCGAGAAGACATGATGGCATGAAATTCGTAACGGTCGTAAGCATCGTCATGTTGTCCCTTCTCCTCTGTTCCAGAGTTGAAAGACCACTTCTTAGCGGATCTTGATATGATGGAACAGCTCCATCAAGTGCCTCGCATCTAACACACCTGTTAGCTACTCACTCTTCCACACATTTGCACAGCGAAACCAAGACAAAGACATACCACTCGCCGACGTAAACGTCAACTGATACCTCCCGCCCTTCCCCCTCGGGACCTGATACCCCTGATGAAAGACATACGGATGCAGCTCGGCAAACTGCACCGTCGCCGTGCCGACCCGTTGCATCCAGCCCTTATGCCCAATATACTGCGTCACAAACGCCGTCCAAATGGGCACCGTCTTATTCGGGCCCCTCCTGGCCGTGGCCTCGAAGCGCACGGCGCCCGAGTCGCGGTCACGGAAGATGCGGAAGGCATGCAGGGAAGTGTGATCCTGGATCTCGCCGCCGAACTCCTCGACTTCGCCCGGCTGGAAGAAGTCCTCGAGGCCGGCGGCCACGGGAACTTCGTCCTGGCGCTTCATGGCTACGAAGGTGCAGTAGAAGAGGACCATGCGTTCGTACAGGGTGAAGCGCAGGTTCGCCCAGAGGTCCAGCTGGCCGTCTTCGCGGTTGACGCGGCAGAGCTGCAGGCACGATTCGATGCGCAGGACTTTGAGGTTGGTGAGGGGTAGGCAGTAGCGGAGGCGGCGGCCGGAGGGGTCGAGGGTCAGGAAGAGGATGCGGGCGCGGTGATCGTCGGGGCGCCAGTAGAGGCGGACCCAGACGTTTGTGGCTTCGAAGGGGAGCTCGAGGACTTTGTGGAAGCCGTCTTTGTCGAGGAACTCGATGGCTTTGGGCTCGTTGCGGCCGAGGCATTTGGTTCTGCGGTTGGTTAGAGAGGGGGGTGCTGAGGCTGGGCAAGGACATACGGTTGGCCGAGGGTTTTGAAAGGAGTTGAGGAGTGACGGCCGTCGAAAATCTGGAACATAGGTGAGTAGGCATCCATGCATCTGTGGAATCCTGTTACCTTAGTCGCCCAATAGGCGCCACTGTTTGAATCGTTTGAATGCGTAGAGAACGTCTGTGATGACGCTGTTGAGTATGTTGGTGATTGCGGGATTTCGGGTACCGGGGGAGGAACGAAGGGTATTTCGCCATATATGGGAGAGTGAGCGAATGGCGGCGGAGGAGGCGGTGGTGGAGGAGGTGGAGGTGGCGGAGGTGGGTGTGCATAAGCTGGGTATGTCTGGTAGTGAGGCATTTTGGGCCTTGCTTGTGCCGGTGATTTTGGTCTTGGAGTCTTTGCACGTCCTAGAGGCCTTCAGTCAGTCACATGATATGTATTTGGGATCGTAGAAGTGGATGCGTTCAGCTGAAGATATAAATAGACCAAGGTGTGAAGGACATCGAACCTACCGTGTGCGCGCGGATCTCCGACATGGAGGCCTGTGAAATATGATGCGAGGTCGTCTTCGTCGACTGTGACTACTCGCTTTTCTTGCTTCTTCAGAAGTTTTGAAAGGCGCTTGCGTATGCCCTCCATTTCTTCATCAGGAGGTTCCCTGACATTGTCAAATGGATACTCCAAGGTTCACGAAGGCTGAAGACTTACCCCTTCAGAACATCAAACATGCTTTGGAGATATAGCCGATAGAGCTCCAGCCGCACAGGCAGTGAGATGCCTTCATCCTCGAGCTCGTCTAACGCATCCTCCCAGATATCCGTGTAATCTGGAGTGCCGGGGAAGGCGCCGGGATGCTGCTTGGTCGGCTTCTTGGATTTGCTGAACATGTCCCGTACATCCTCCAAGGTGTAGCGTAAGCTGGGTAGGACGATTTCCAAATCACGCAGGATGCGCCCCACGTATCTGCCATAGCGGGACAGTTCCAAGCTCTCGTTCAGCGTGTGAAGGGCGTGTGAGATGGCGAATAATTCGGCTATCTCTCCAGTGATTTCTTTTGCATACTCTGGAATCTCGTTGAGAAAGACATGGAGGCCGGCAGCCGTGTCTTCGGCCTCCTTGGCGGATTCGAGGAGCCTCCAATCCATGGAGATCAGCGTGACCTGGAGATATCTACCTGGGGGTTCTCCTTCAGCCGACCGAGGGGAACGGAGTCGTTCGCATGCTTTGCCGAGCAGATAGTAACGCGTCGGGAAGACGAGAGGTTGATGTGCGGAGTGGTGCTTTTAACAGTCGATGTCTGCTGATGACTGGTGGGTGAGCCTTGAAGAAGTGGGATTTGACGTGTCGCGAGAGCGGAAGCCAATGGATTTAATATTATATTGCCGACGAAACCTCTCTATAGATGCTGCACCTTAGCCGCACCTTTCCCTCTTCTTCGGCTGGCTTCGTTTTACCGTTTCGTGTTGCTCGCCTTTTTCGAATCTGGCCCCCACGATTGGATATTCTTGCCTTGCTCTTTCGAAAGACTCTGGCTTTTTTTTTCGTGCGCGTGCCGTTGTCGGTGTCTTGCTACAAGCAAGTGTGATTTGCAGGCAAGCTTATGTTCTGGCGGGGTTGCGGTTAGCACGTGAGGGTATGGAGGAGGTGTCGATCTCCTCCGATGGTATAAATGACGCTCCCATCTGCCCACCTGGGCCGATTCACGGCGTGGCTCGCAGTGAGTGGCCTTGAGACGATGGTCGCCATTGCATGAGGGTTGCAGGTTGCATGACAGTCTCCAGGCAGCACCGTCCATGGCTGCTCGGAGCAAAGGAGAAGACTTGGCGGCGACATGAAAGATTCACAGCAACAAAACAACGACAAGTCGGATCTTCAAAAGGGAGCAGGATGGGGTCTTGCTCACGAAAATCTGGTAGGAGAGGGCTGCCGTCTGCCTTTAAATTCTGTTTTGCTGGCTGCACCAAAATAGATGGATGATAGGGCTGCGCCTCACTTTCCCTTGCGACGTCCAGCCTCATCAGTTACCCATGTTAGGCAGCGAGAAATGTTCCTCAAACATTTCTGCCCAGAGCCTTGAGTTTCTCGTCCACCAGTCTTGAGACCATCTTCTCGAGGATCGCGAATTCGCCATTCGCAGTTCCCTCAAAGTAACCCGCAACACTCTTCTCAACATACTTGCCCACTTGGTCGACTTCGACATTCACATCGTCGCCCGGTTTCTTCGCCGCCGTAACCACCTTTTCCTGCGTGTACGCAATCAACATGACCTCCCACCATCCCTCCGGTCCGTCTTGCACCTTTGTTACTGTCAAGCTCGCCCCGTCTATTGTCACATAGCCCTTCTCAACGATGTAACGAAGGACGGCCGGCTCTCGCGGCTTGAAGCGGAACGTCAGAGCATTGCCGTCCGGTGTGACGGATACAATGCTCGCAATCGTGTCGACATGGCCCTGAACAAAGTGTCCGCCCATACGCGTCGTCGCCGAGACTGCGCGCTCGAGATTGACATGCGAGCCCTTCTTCAGCGAGCCCAGGTTGGTCCGGCGGAGCGTCTCGGGTGCAACGCCGACTTTGAAGGATGTCTTGTCAAACTCGGTGACAGTTAGACATGTGCCTGACTGAGTTAGTCTCTTTGCAAGCATTTGGACGTGAGTAGACAGACCATTGACGGCAATGCTATCCCCCAGGTGCACATCTTCCAGAATACCTTGGGCATCCGATATGGTCAGCGAAGTGCCTCCGCCCCCAGTGGCCGTCTGGTCGAGCTCCTCAAGCGCGGCGACAGCTAGCCATCGTCAGCTGGGCCACCAAGCACGCATCTTTCGCAATGGAAATCGCACTTCCTATTATTTCGACAAGGCCGGTGAACATGATGGATTGCGGCGCGGTTGTTGATCTGGAGACGACGACCGAGGGTGGGGGTGAAACAAGCCTCGGAGCTTGATGCGGGGGGTCTCGGTCGGAAATAGCGCGGGCGTAATCCCATCTATATCAGACTTCAAAACTTTAATACTTTATCTCATCTTGCTCTCAATCTACCACTGAATATTCGGAAGCATGTCTCAGACATTACGGCGTGTTTTTGCGGCTTCAATAAAGTACGGCACCGGCAATTGGCGGTTGAGCGGCTCACGGAGGTGCATTGCCTCCGCTGCTAGTCAACAAGATGCCGGGACCTTGCCGTTAGCTGGTATCAAGGTCCTGGACATGACAAGAGTGCTTGCTGGGGTGTGTTGGCCGCCTTGAAATTGGTAGATGAAGCTTCTGACACACGAATAGCCCTACTGCACCCAAATACTGGGCGATCTTGGGTATGCAATGCGTGACCCTGTATGGACCTCCGCCGAGGTGACCCATTGAAAGCGCATTTGTTGACATCAAAACAGAGCAGAGGTTATAAAAATTGAGCACCCCGAGAGAGGAGGTGATTCTGCTCCCTTAGTCCGTTGCAAGAGTCCTCACTGATGTAATCATGGAACAGACGACACTCGAGCCTGGGGCCCTCCGTATGCCAAGCATATCAAAGGCGAACATCGAGAAGGCCCTGGCGAGAGCGCATATTATCTTGCCGTAAGAATTTTGTACAGGCTCTAGAATCCTGTTGGCTGACTTGTTCAAGGTGAACCGGAACAAGAAGTCAATAGGATTGTCCTTCCAACATCCTGCGGGCGTTGATATCCTTCGTCGACTAGTCAAAGAATGCGACGTCCTCGTTGAAAACTACCTACCCGGGTCGCTAGCAAAGTATGGGATGGATTACGCCTCCGTGTCCAAGATAAATCCCAGCCTTATCTATGCGAGCATAACAGGATACGGGCAGACGGGACCCTACAGCAGCCGAGCTGGCTACGATGTAATGGTGGAAGCGTATGTCTGACGACCAGAATTCTGGATCCGTGACACTGATTCGGGACAGAGAAATGGGCTTGATGCACATTACCGGAGCCCGAGATGGACCGCCCGTCAAAGTCGGCGTTGCAGTTACGGATCTTACTACAGGGCTGTACACATCAAATGCTGTCATGGCTGCCCTACTCGCTCGCGTCAAGTCTGGAAAGGGCCAGCACATTGATGTTGCCCTCAGTGACTGTCAAGTGGCAACGCTTGCGAACATTGCTAGCTCTGTGCTCATCAGTGGCAAGAAGGACTCTGGGCGGTGGGGCACGGCTCATCGTGAGTGTTTATCAAACTTGTCAGACTTTACAGTACTAACCGGCACAGCATCCATTGTGCCATATAGAGCATTCAAGACGGCTGATGGTGACATATTGCTGGGAGGAGGGAATGATCGACTCTACGGGATCCTTTGCACAAAGATTGGAAAGCCTGAATGGATTACTGACGAGAGGTTCAAGACGAATCCTATGAGGGTGAAGAACAGAGATGTGCTAGAGGAGCTGATTGAGAACGAAACACGGAAGAAAACAACCCAAGAGTGGCTTGAGATCCTTGAAGGCTGCGGCATGCGTAAGTTGCCTACCCTGCCGTTCCATACACATTGGGCTATACTGACAAAGTCCAGCATACGCCGCTATCAATGACGTTCAGACGACACTCAACCATGACCACGGTACGCAATTGTCCTGTCCAAGTACCTGCTTTTCCGTAGTTTACTGACGAACCTTACAGTCCTCGCTCGCGGCATGGTCCAGGAAGTGGAACACCCCACATGCGGCCCCATTAAGCTGGTCAATACTCCTGTGAAATACTCCGTCTCCAAACCTGGTATAAGAACACCCCCGCCCACACTCGGCCAGCATACGCGAGACATTCTGAGCGAGCTTGGCCTTAGTGAAGAGGAAGTAGCTCGGCTTCGTACTGAAAAGGTCGTGGCCTAGCGTCGCGTAAGCTGCATCATGAAGCCATAAAAATTCACTAATCTTCCGCGATGTTTGCATATGTGCATACAATACATCGTATAAGCATTCTATTGCAAGCTCACCCCCTGGAGTTATAGGACTATGTTACTGTAGCCCATAATTACCTAAGTAGATTAGCGTGATCCTCTGGTTGCCCGCACGGGCCCCGCCATGAGCTCTAGTCGGACGTCCTTCAATCGCATTCCTCATCCTCCACCACCATTGAGACGCCGTTCCAGTCGTGCAGGCCCAAGTCCTTGCAGCGTCGCATACAAACCGAGAAAACAATGAGCGCCCCAGGCCCGCCTGCAAACCATGCGGAAGCGGTCAATCGCAACCCGCAACTGGCGCCCGCACCCGCGCCGGCGCAACCCAACCTCTCCACCACCTCGACACTCCCGCCCTCCACGCAGACCTCCCTCTCCCCAGCGCCTTCGAGCTGGTCCTCGCAATCGCCGATGATTTCTCATGGACCGACTTCCGCTTCGTTTCCCCAGTACTCTGCGACTACCGCTGAGATCCTGCATCGCATACGGTCGGGCGTGTCGGGGAGTGCGGTGGGGACACCAGCATTCGAGGCGAAGAAGGCGGAGATCATGCAGAATTATTTGACGAGCGATAAACTTCCGACGCCTACTCCAATTGCAAATCCCGCGCGGAGGGGAAGAGGTGGTAGAACGTCCACCCCAAGTCAGTCAAAGACGGAAACGGGAGCTTCACCTGCGCCTGGTGGGACCCCCGCGGCGACACGGGGATCGGGAAGGGGGCGCGGAAGGGGTCGTTCCCGGGGCGGTGGAAGAGGTGGGAAGCGCAAGCGGTCAGAGACGTCTGATAGCGATGTAGGTTGTTCCTCTTGTGGGTCTGGAAGCTGTTATGATTCAAGGCTGATATGTAGCAGGACGACTCTGATATTTCATCTTCATACACACCACTTCCAACGCGGACAAAATCTGGTCGCAGCGTGAATAAGCCCGTGTCCTTCGTACCCACGTTACCCGAACCATCACAAGGAGTGAAGCGGCGGAAATCCGCCAAAGCCATCCTCGCGGCCCAGTGCACAGTATGCCACCGGGGCAGTGACCCAAGCAACAACAGGATAGTATTCTGTGACTCTTGCAGTAACCCCTACCACCAATACTGTCACGATCCGCCAATTGACAACGAGGTGGTGGATGTGCTTGAGAAGGAGTGGCTATGCGGGCCCTGTGAGAGGTCAAAACAGAATGTCGTCGAAGGCACACAGGGCTTAACACCCGGTACCGGCCTATCCATAGACGAAGTACGTTTCCACCACTTCCGTCTCCGTCGCTCACTAACGCAAAAGAGAAACGAGCCTATCTCTCAACCCTCCCTCAAGACCGCCTCGTCTCTCTCCTCTTACACGCCACAGTCCGGCATCCCGAACTCCCCCTCTTCCCGCCCAACGTCGAGGATCTGATTCCAGAGACTCCGACCACCTCCGCAGTAAATCACTCTCCCTCCGTCCCCGCCCCCGCTCCTCCGTCCCAACCCCCTAAACCTCCCGCAAAGACGGCTCCACCTAACGGTTCTTCCTCAGCCACGCATGTCCAGCTGCGGATTCAGCAGCTAGGCCGCGAGCCGTCCGATTCGGATCCCGCGGAGGCGCAGTTGCTGGGCGAAATGACATTTTCCAATGGCCAACCTTCGTCGAACAAGAGGCAACCACCACAATCATCAACATCAGCTACCAACGGTGTTATCGCCAACACCATAAAGGAGTCTCAGCTTCAGCCTCAGCCTCCTCAGCAGCAACAACAACAGCCCTCAGAAAAAGCGCAAGACGCCGTCGATGGCGAGTACGAAGAAGACGACGATGGCTACGACACGGATCCGCCGGCGCATTACCCCAAGCCGGGCCAAGGGTTGGCGAGGAATCTGCCGCCTGAGAGCGAGGATTTGCGGTGGTTGGTCGACGACAATTTTGAGGTGTTTAGTCATAGTTGGGGTGGTGCGGGTGCAGGTGGAGATGGTAGTGGTGGAGGAGGTGCCGGGGGAGGAGGAGGGCATTGAGGGGGAGGGTTGCGGAGGTTGGGGGAGAGAGTTAGGATGCTCGTGTGAGGTGGTTAGTGGTAGGAGAAGGAATGACACGCGTGTGTGTTAGGCGTACAGGTGTGCATAAGATGGGATTCAGCGTTACCACGCTTTTGATGGGTGAGGATAACGAATTGTATTATGAGGTTGATAGGAACTCTAAGGCGGGAATTGGCCGTTTTGGTAGCGTGGGCGACCAAAATGTGAAGCCTTCAGCCATCTGCGTCTATGATAGTTGAACGATGGGTCGCTGACATGGAGACGGCATGCTTGATGCGTGAATGAGCGTCTGATTCGTTGGAATTCATGATGGAGAACCGAGGTGCCTGTTTTTGTGATGTTGATGTTTACTGGACGCCGCCAACAACTACGGAGTCAAACTAGCGAACACGGGGAGATGTTGGAAAGGAGAGGATAACCCAGGTTCCACTCATAGAAGGATAGGCAAAATCTATCTTCGACACCGACGATGAAATCATGAGGCTTGCAGATGAGCGCCATACCCAGTGGCATCCGTCCGTATATTCCTCTCTACGTTGACTTTATGCATCTATACAACAGCGATCATGCGTTTCTTTTCTAATTGTGTCGTTCAAAAAACCCCAGCACCCCAATCCACCAAACCGCCAAGCCCCGTCCCCGGGAAGATGAAAAGGGAGCCGGTATTCCAGACCAATGGGTTGGTATCAAGGATCATAGCGAAGTGCATCAAGCACCGCATCAGAGCCTCAAATGTCCCCATGTCATCTCTTTACAAAGACCGACGAACGCGCCTCTCCATTTGCGCAGGGTGAGCATTCCCATTGCCATTCCCATTGCCGTTCCCATTGGCCTTCCCGTTACCGTTAGCTTCGTTATTCGCGGCATTACCATTTCGATGCCCGTTCTGATTAGCAGCGTTGCCCTTCCCTTTGCCCCCTTGGGCATTACCGCCTTGGAGACCAGCGAGCAGGTCGGCGAGTTGGTTCCCTCCGGCATTGCCACCATTCGCGTTATTGCCGCCCTGAAGGAGGGCAAGAAGGTCTGCAAGCTGCTGGTTTTGATTTGCCTTTCCGTTCCCATTATTGCCATTGTTGCCCGCAGCCGCGCCCAGAAGGTCCTGAAGAAGCTGTCCGAGATTGTTGTTGGCGTTATTTCTACCATTCCCCTGTCCCTTTCCCTTTCCTTTTCCTTTTCCTTTTCCTTGGCCTCGGCCATTGCCTTTCCCTTTACCATTTCCGCCGCCGCCAACCTCTGTTTGGTTACCAGCTCCAGGAGCAGTCAGGTTGGCACCGGCGGCGGGAGGCTCGACGATGGTGACATTACCAGCGGGGGCGGTTTGGTTGGCGGCAGCTTGGCCTTGCTCAAGCTGGGCTTGCTTCTGTTTCTGTTCTATTCGGGGTGTTAGTTACAGACGGTGGCGTTAGAGGAGAGGTGGGAAAGGCTTACGGGCAGCATCCTCGGCGACCTTTTGTTGCTCCTCTAAGGCCTTCTGTTCTTCGAGGGCCTTCTGTTTGTCAAGGGCTTTCTGCTCTTCCAGCGCCTTTTGCTGGTCGGCAGCTTGTTGTTCGTCGACGGCCTTCTGCTGGCCATGAGCGGCTTGCTGCTGCTCAGGAGCGGCCTGCGCAGCCTTTTCCTGCGCAGCCTTTTCCAGAGCAGCCTTTTCCTGAGCAGCTTTCTGGTGAGCAGCAGCCTGCTCAGCAGCCTTCTGCTGCTCGGCGGCGTTCTGCTGCTCAGGCGCCTGCTGGTCGGCGGCAGCTTGTTGCTGATGAGCAGCCTGTTGCTGCAGCAATGCCAGAAGCTGCGGGTCGATTTCTTGTTGCCGGCCGGCCTGGGCCTGTTCCTCTGCTACTGCAGCATCTGGTCGTGGTCAGACAAACCGGCGAAGATCTGGTGGTGGCCAACATACTTTTCCCCTTTCCATTGCCCTTTCCTTGCTGTGCCTCTTCCTGCCCGGCGGCATTGCGTCCTTGACCTCCTACATTCGCATTTTCCGAGGGGTTGCGGGCCGTCAGGGCGGCAATATCGCTTCGTCGAGCATACGACCCAGCGTTGGCGGCGGCAACGCCCTCCGGCCTTACGAACGGAGCGGGAGCGGCGGTGACCAGGGCGGACACGGAAAGGATTGTGAGAAGGGAAGAAACGGTCTTCATGACGACGATATAATATGAAAGATCTGTAGGGATTGTGCGTCGAGACAGTGGATGAAAGGAGAGAAGAATAAAAACACAATCTCAACAGTAAAAGGTGAGCTCAGCTCAAGCAAGAAATGAACTCAAAAGATGAAGTGCCCTGCACCAGAGAATGGATCGAAGACAGAAACTGGGCGTGAAGAGAGAGTGTGAAGAGCGATACACCTACCGGATGGGCCAACTATATAGCGTCTTCATCGCTCCGAGTTGATCGGACGTTCCGGCCTCATCATGGAACAGAACGGAATGGGCTGACTGGGGAAAACGTTGAAGGGTACCTGTCTATCTGACGGTTCATGTTGGAGGTTAGCCCGTGGCGGTATAGCACAGACGGCGAAGATCCCACTGTGAAGCCGGCACAGCAAGCGGACATCCTGCTACTTTTGGGATACTGGCAGGGAAACGACCGGCACAATGATTGATTCTCCTGCCAAACGAACAAATCAAACGCATGAAGTTCAAAAAAAGCACGGGAATGACGAAAGGCGAGGTGCGAACGAGCCAGGACCGGTGGGGGCTCCAAACAGGAGTCCTAACATTTGGTGTTAGAAGAGATGTAGCAGACGAGGCCGGGATGAAGCGAGAGTGAAGCGGAGCGAAAAGAAGCTTAACAAAACGCATAAGTTTGGCTGTGACTGAGGGAGGCGGGCCAAGGGGGATGTGAAGCATGGGCGTGTTTCAGACAAAAGGGATGCGAAGTGGATTGCAGTTTTGAAGCCCAGGAATCATCGTAAATGTCCCCAATTCAAAGGCCTTTAATCTGCTTCCTGTGTTTTCAAAGGCTCACGGTGGTCTCTGTTTCTGGCGCTTCTTGTCCCAAGTAGGTTTGCCGGTTTGTCTGGGACTTGAAGCATCCGAACTCTGAAGATGATTGAAGTTGCCTGCATGGTAGCGTAGCGCTATATGACGGATAATAGCTCCGGCTCGAGTGGAAACATGGTTTGGAGAATCAAAAATAGATTCGAGAGACGCGGCAATTGTCATTGATAGAAGGGAGCATTTGGAATTGTCGACGAGAGTTTACGAAGTACAATCGGCTGCACGTTTTTCCGACGAGCTTCTTCTGAGGTTCCAACTAGGACCGGAGTCACGAGTGCAGCTTCCATCTGAGTCCAACAGCGCTGCACGGAGTAGCTGCAACGCCTACTGCTGTAACAATCTCTACTGTGTGTACGGAGTAGAGCATCTCGGCTTTGCCATTGCATATGTACTGTGGATACTGATGCGTCCTACCATGTGACATTAGCAACATCCTGATTGGCTGTAGTGCGTGGGGTAATCGGAGACGGATTTTCTCACAACCGATAGATCGGACCCGCTTAGCCTCGGTCACTTGGCCCTCATCGTCATTGACCATTTTTGCCCATTGCTTTCCACCATGTCGCTTTGTTGCCATCCTCCCAGCCCACAATGGCCTCCAAGATACTGCCTGCTACGGTAGCCCGCCGGGCTTTCCCCCTGTGCCCGACCGTTCGCATTATTCCGCAAACCTTCGCCTGGACGCCGCCAATAGCCCGCTGCCAGTCGCAGTCACACAGACCCGCCGTACGAATTGCAGGGCAACGGAGAGCCATTTCCTCCACTACGAGGAGACGGTTCGCAGCCGTTGACGATGCCCTGGATCCCCGGCTACTAGAGCGCGAAAGCGACGAGGTAGATGTTTGCATCATCGGCGGAGGACCTGCTGGGTTGGGTGCCGCCATTCGTCTGAAGCAATTGGCCAACGAGGCGGGCAATGAGGACTTCAGGGTCCTCGTCTTGGAGAAGGCGGGAGAGCTGGGGGATCATATTGTCTCTGGCAATGTAACCGAGCCCACAGCCTTGAACGAGCTTCTCCCGGATTGGAACTCGGAAGAGAACCCCAACCGCTTCGAGCATGCGACACCTGCAAAGGTCGACCGGATGCGCTTCTTGACGAAGAACAAGGCCATCCCCTTACCAAAGCCTCCTCAGATGGCGAATCATGGCAACTACATTCTAAGTCTCAACCAGCTGGTCAAATGGCTGGGCGAACGCGCAGAAGAGATTGGTGTAGAAATCTATCCTGGATTCGCGGCTTCGGAAATCCTCTACAACCACGAGGGTGTTGTCAAAGGCGTAGCGACCAACGACCTGGGCATTGGCAGGGATGGCAAGCCCAAGGACTCTTTTGAGCGTGGCATGGAGTTCCACGCAAAAGTGACTCTTCTGGCCGAAGGTTGCCATGGCAGTCTTGCAAAGCAGGTGATTAAGAAGTATGACCTGAGACGGGACAGCCAACCGCAAACATACGGGCTGGGTATCAAAGAGGTCTGGGAAATCCAACCCGAAAAGTTTGAGTCCGGCCTTGTTGTCCACTCCATGGGTTATCCCCTGCCTTCGGACACTTATGGAGGCGGCTGGATGTACCACTTTGGTGACAACTTGGTCAGTATCGGTCTGGTCGTCGGTTTGGACTACCCGAACCCCTGGCTCTCCCCCTATGCCGAGTTCCAGAAGATGAAGCAGCATCCGATGTACCGCCAATACCTCGAAGGAGGCAAATGTATCTCGTATGGTGCCCGTACCCTCATCGAAGGAGGGTTCCAGTCGATACCCAAATGCGCTTTCCCCGGTGGTGCCCTTATCGGAGATACCGCAGGATTCGTCAACCTGCCAAAGGTCAAGGGTACCCATACGGCGATGAAGTCTGGCATGCTTGCGGCAGAGGCGACATGGGACGCGCTGCAGGGTAACCCTGATGGTGGAACCGTGTTTCTCTACGACTACGAAGATAAGCTCCGCCAGTCCTATATCTGGTCGGAGCTCAAGGAGGTCCGGAATATGCGGCCTTCGTTCCACAACCCACTCGGGCTCTACGGGGGCATCTTGTACTCTGGTCTTGAAGCCTACGTTTTCCGCGGCAAAGCTCCATGGACTTTGAAGCACCGCAAGCCGGATCACGCCGCCACCAAGCTCGCGGATGAATGCAAGAAGATAGAGTACCCCAAACCCGACGGCAAGATTAGCTTTGATATCCTTACCAGCGTCAGCCGAAGCGGAACAAACCACGAAGAGGACCAGCCTGTGCATTTGCAGGTCAAGGACTGGGACAAGCACGCCCAGATGGAGTGGCCTAAATACAAGGGAGTCGAGAATCGTTTCTGCCCGGCTGGTGTCTATGAGTATGTCGAGGACGAGAGCAAGGAGCTTGGCGTGAGATTCCAAATCAACGCCCAGAAGTATGTATACTCTTATCCTGCTGATTCGCACTTGGACCTTGCTAACGTGTACATAGCTGCGTCCACTGCAAGACATGCGATATCAAAGACCCCAGTCAGGACATCAACTGGGCTACTCCCCAGGGTGGCGAGGGCCCCAAGTACGTACTAACTTGAGATTTCGGTATCAAGCTCTTATATCGCTGCACATGGTTTATTGTTTGGAGTCAGCTGGCGTCTTGCATGTTTGCATATGTATATTAGCCCAGCGTTTGGATGCAAGCTAGAGCGGAAGACTGTATAGGAGCATGTCGTTATACCCAAATTAAGACAGTTCAGTCGACAATAGTTGTACTCTGATTTTTGTGATACAATTCTTCATGTTTCCAGTCTACTTGATTCGTTTCTATTACATTCTAACTTCTAGTGCAGCAATTTCAACACCTTGAGCAGATCTCCAGTGACTCCCATGGCTGTCACCTCGCCACCGGCTCCAGCACCTTGAATGATGAGGGGGTTGTCACCGTACCTCTTCGTGTAGAACGCAATGATGTTGTCGCTACCCTTCAGCGCCGCAATGGGGTGGCTCTTGTCAAACTTCTCCAGGCCCACCTTGACCTCTCCTTTCGGCACGTCCACACTGCCAACGAACCTCACCACCTTACCCTCCTTCTCCGCCTCCCTCTTCAGCTCATCCATCTTGTCGTCGAACTCGGGTAACCGAGCCAGGAACTCATCTCCCGAGGCACACGCTTCGAGCTCCTTGGGAATAAGAGACTGGACGGGAAACGACGTCGGCGACTCAACCTTCAACCCCGCCAACCGCGCCAGAATGGTAAGTTTCCTCGCGACATCGAGGCCATTCAAATCATCTCTGGGATCCGGCTCCGTGTACCCTTTCTCCTTCGCCGTCTTGACTTCTGCCGAGAACTTGCCCCCGCCTCCATTCACCGGCTGAAACGAATTGAACAAGAAACTCATCGTGCCGCTGAAGACGCCCTCAATCTTGCGGATCTCATCGCCCGTCTCGACGAGCTCCTTCAGCGTCGAGATGACGGGGAGGCCCGCACCGACGGACGATTCGTGGTAGACGTATCCACCCGTGCCATTGCCGTTGGCCGCTGCATCGAAGATGTCGGTCCACAGTTGGTAACTCCCCGAGAACGCCTTCTTATTCGGCGTCACGATTGAGATTCCCTTCTTCAGAAACAGGGGATACGAGTCCGCGACATCCTGATTCGAAGTGTTGTCCACGAGGACGACTTTTCCGGGAGCCTTGACGAGGTACTCTGCCAACTGGGGAAGAGGGAGGGGCGGGGTATTGGAGGCTTGGAGCGCTTCTTCCCAGTGGGTGATGGACTTGTAGTCGGCGTGGTGGACGGACTTTTTGGAGCTCGACAGGAGGATCAGGGAGAGGTAGGTTGGGGAGGATTGGGAGCGGGAGAGGTTGGATGCGAGTTGGGAGAGTTGGGAGAGGAAGCATTTTCCGACGCCGCCGGCACCTGAGATTCATGATTGTCAGCGCTTTACTTATCTTAGTGAAGGAGGATAGGTTCAAGCGTACCGATAACTGCTACGAAGACTTGCCTGGGGAGAGGCATGGTGTTGAGTTTTGAACTTTTTGGCTGATTTTTGGGATCTGAATGGCAGAGCAACTCCAATTGACCTGGAATGAGACTCTCACGCCAGAAGAATACTCTTCTATTTACTCGCGTCACAGCTGCGAAACCGGCACCGAAGCAATTCACCCCGCACGTGCCCCGCCATGCGCCAAGACGCTCTAAGTTCCGACCGCCGACATTCCGATAGATGGAACTACTAAACGTTGCTCCATCGCGCAACTTCGACTTCAAACATCACCAACAAACAAATACAAACTCAAATTATACCATGTCCTCCAAAGACGCGCACCTCTACGGCCAGCGCCCGGCCTCGCGCACCAAAACAAAAGAAATCTCCAGCTCCAGCACCCTCGCCTTCTCGTCGACCCTCTCCAACCTCATCAAATCCGCCTCCGCAGACATCAACAACAAACCGACAGGTGGTCGCGCCCGACCGAAAAAGGACGACATCTTCCAAACGCACAACAAGGGCGTGAGCAAGCGCGCGGAGAAGGATCTCGAAGAGTCGGCCTTTACGCAGAAACATCGCAAGCGGACTGTCGAGGAGAGGGAGGATGACGAGGCGAATTGGAAGCGTGCGAAGCGGCGCATGGAGGAGAAGGCGAGGCTTTATAATGCGCTGAAGCGGGGTGATATCGAGGATCTGGATGATAGGTATGGCGTGGATTTCGATCGCAAGTGGGCGGAGGCGCGGGAGAGTGGCAAGCCGCTCGAGGAGGAAGAGTCGGATTCCGAGTCTGCGGTGTCCGTCTCGGAGGAGGAGTTGATTGAGTACACGGATGAGTTTGGCAGGACGCGGAAGGGGACGAGAGCGGAGGTCGCGAGAGAGGAGAGGAGGAGAAGGACGCAGGCCGTGGCGGCTGAACCGGATCGATTCACCGCGCGGCCTAGCATGCCCGACGAGATCATATACGGTGATAGGGTGCAGGCGGAGGCGTTCAATCCCGATGCGACCATTGCGGAGCAGATGGCTGCCCTAGCGGCGAAGCGGGATAAGGAACCCACGCCGCCGCCAGATGAGCATTTCGACGCAAATCGGGAGAAGAGGCAGAGAGGTACTGGGTTTTTCCAGTTTTCGAAAGATGAAGAGGAGAGGAGGGAGCAGATGGCAAATTTGGAGAAAGAGAGGCTGGAGACTGAGAAGGCGCGGGAGGCGAGGAAGAAGCAGATGGAGGAGAGGGCGAAGCTGGTTGAGGAGAGGAGGAGGAAGATCAAAGAGAAGAGAGCCATGGGGCAGGCAGATCGGTTCTTGGATGCACTTGGGTCGGAATTGCTCAAGGAACAGGAGTGATTGTGTACGGAAGGAGAGCGAGATGAGCATTTGATACCCCAGATATATTCTTAGCGTTTAGAGAACTTACAGAAACGAGTTCCATACCAAACTTCAGCGTGACCTTGGCCGGCGCATTGATCCAAATTTAGTTGTTGCTTGGACGGACCAGCTAATGTCAACACAACACCTGGTGTTCGACTTGTCTTCGCCATGTTTATTAAAAGCGCGGAAGGTAAGATGGCTCTTAGAAAGATTGAAACACGAAACCTATAGAAGTTCGCTTACCCTACTCTTCTTAACCGACTCTATTCTACGCATTGTACTCTCCAGTAGCAGAGTTTGCAGCAGCATACTTCTCCGGTTTCCCAGTATGCTCATCCCTAACATTGGCAAATCTCAGATGCTGCCACCCAAGCCACACCGCAAACACCACAATCATAAGAGGGATCGTCGTGGCAGGTAAAATCCACCACTGTCTCGAGACACTAAGCCCGTCGACGCCGAAATCAAAGAACGTGGTGCTGAGGATTGCGCAGATGAAGGTCCCCGGTAGAAACGCCATAGTCACGGCTGCAATGGTGATCATGGACGAGGAATCGCGTTGGGTTTGCTCGGCTACTTTTGCGGTGGACTGGGCGATTTCGGTGCTGGTGTGGGATTCGCGCTGGCTGGCGAGGTTGAAGAGCTAGTCATGGTTAGCTCTATGTAGAAGGTGGAGTACGGAAGAGAAGTCTACCAGATTTATTTGGACGGCGGTTCGCTCGCGATATACCGTAATCCATCGCGACAGGCTCTCAGCTTGAGACTGCAGAACTTCAAAAGATTCGCCCGTGGTCGAGAATTTGTCCACCATCCAGTCAACTGACGGGTCGCTAAGCTTGGAGAGGTATATATCGAGCGATTCTTTCAGAAATCTGATTTGCGAATTGTAGGCCCAGATGTCCTGCTCCAGAGTGTACCAGTCTTTCGACAGATCATGCAATTGTCTGGTAGCGAGGTTGAAGTCGATATTTGTATCGCCGGCATATTTCCTTTCCTGTAAAAAAGGTCAGTCTTCGAATTGAGGTGCTGCATTGGGCTAGGACCGTACAAGATACAAGAGTGATTCTCGTCGTTCGCCAACAACCAACTGCCAGCCCTTGAAGCAGTCATTTGCTGCAACCGCGTCTATGAAGAACTCACGATACGCGTAGCTCGGATGCTGACGTAGGTATGCTTCCAATTTCTCGCGAGCTCGCGAGGGGTAGTTAATGCAGAAATATGTCACCTCGCCGCGCGTGCGAATGAATTGGGTGAAGCTCACTCCTACATCCCAACCGCATAGATAGCGATAGCACATCCCTGCCATTCTGTCAGAACTTCTCGGGCAAATCACGCGTAAGAGGGCAGGTCAGGGCAATCAGAGAAACTTACCAAAAGAAGCTAATTGACCTTTGTCACCACGATGCAGAAATCTTTGATTCCCCATTTTTGCCCAGAACTCTTCGGACGAGTAGATGTTCGACATGAGCAAACTCGAGAGTCCTGCCTTCTGAAGAATTGATAAAGTTGTTGATCGTATGGCGAAGTTGGCCAGAGCCCATGGGCCGGGAGCATTGGTGGAATCGATAAAACTGAGGGTTTTCATAAGTGACAACACACAAGCAGTTAGCAAATATGCCACTGCACATACAAGACTTTAAAACTTCTTTCCGTTTGGGAGAACGATGACCCTTCTGTTGTACTCTGAAACACGTCAACCGTTAGCGTATGTGGTATCGGGTTTTCTCAAGGTCCTTCTCACATATACGATTCTCTCCAATTCACTGTCATCGACGCCATATTTCCAATATGTACTGCAGTCAGCGGACAGCCGAGTGCTTGCGTCCCGTGGCAACATACTCAAGTCTAGATTAGTGCCGAAAATGACATCGACGCTCGCCCTATTCCCAAAACCATGCGATTCACGTTCCTGGCCATGACTGTGCGCCACCCCCCACTCTAACAGTGGCTGGTCTTCCAATTCAGGATGATCTGAGCGTTGCAGTTTAGAACCAAGTTCAGAATATTTGGCAGGCAGGGAATCTTTCGGCCATTGGTCCAAGATGATCTTCCAAGCGCCGCGAGTCGTGGGTTCTGGACGTGCCCTCAACCCAACTCGAGCATAGAACTTTTCGGCGCCTGGGAACTTTGACATTGGGACGATTCCAGGTCTCTTATATCTCGGTGAAATTGTTAGAGTGGATTGTACGAGCTGAGCCTAAGCCTTCAGGCCGGAGTACGGTGAGATATTAATGTGTTGAAGTACGCTATACCAGAAACGATTTCGCTTACACTGCTTTGGAAATCTGGACAAGGCTACTGTTGAACGAATAAGACGACAGGATCATGTATAATGGATACGTCTTCGCTTATTCTTTAACGGGGCAATCAATTATCTTCCCCTCCGTTACTTGGACGCACCGGCTTGTGCAAACCGCTTGTATGCCGCCTCGATCTCGTCGCTGTAGAACAGTTGGATACCGACGTACTCTTCTGCGTGTCTTTATGACAGCTGGAAGGATGATGGCATACCTGGGGTCAGCAGGGCCGGAATACGCGACAACGTCGTTTTCCTTTGGATGACCAAGTTGTTCATCCAACCACCAAGCTACTTTGTTGAGGAATCGGCGTACTGACGCCAGGTAATGGTACGATAGCCATGGCTTTCCCAATCCTCGGACGGGTATCGCATAAAGGCGTGATCACCCAGCCACTGTGTTTTTTCGTCAATGAGGTTGAGTACGAGTTTCGGGGCCTGGCTTTTGATGAGTGGGAAAGTTGCCATCTCTGCAATAGGTGAGTAGGCGTCGGTGGGAGGATTTGGAAGCCACTGATACCGTAGCAAATTACGACCCTAGGTTCCTGAAGTCTTCCGTTAGTTTTCGCTATTGAAATTGGGCGTTTAGATTATCATTAATCTCGAAGGATCTTTCCCTACAATGAGCTGACTCGATCTCTTTCGAGGGAAAGCAAACTCGCTTGTTACAGGTTGCTGCTTTCTGATGGGCTATTCTTCGATGGGATGAAAAGATGTGACAAGATCTGGCGCAACTCATCGATGGCAGTCTTTGTTTTATCTTGATGGGATACCATGCCTCCTGTGCCGCCTGTGCTTACGATTTTACTCTCTTATGTTGGTTTCCGAGCTCCCACCGCCCTGTTTCGGTTGGAACAGGCAGCACATGGACATGGACAGTCCTACTGCTAGCGAGGGCTTTATACTTGTCATTTGCGTACGCAGCTATCCTGGGTCATCCGTCAGCAGACTCTTGACTGTTACTTGCAATTATTAAATACCTATTCCAACTTCAGACGCTGTCATGTCCTTCCTTCACGAGAAGGGGCGTTGAGTGCGAACAATATCCCGAGGATACGGCCCTGCACGAATCACGGTCAAGCCAGATGGATAAGTCTGCTGAGTGGGCCGCTATCGTTCCGCTGTAACCTACTCCACTACCGTTTGTCCATTCGGTAGGCTAGTAGTCAGTGCTTGCAAGCTAGTAGTATTTTTCTGGACTCTGCAATGGGTTTCTTTGCAAGTATACTTCCGAGGTGCGAGAGTCGCTGATTGTTCTAGGCGTCGACTCGTGAATGTGAATTCAATTAGTGCATATTCCCTTCACCTTCTGGATCCGAACAAACGGAGAGACAGGGTAAGCTTGGGTAAGAAAAGGACTGTTATAACCCTCGACTATGGTGGGCTATAACTTCGGCGTTCAAATCTCATAGTTTCTGTTCCTTACTGGATCTTCCCCCACAAGAAGCATGTTCAACGCTCTGTAGAAGAAGCTGTTCTCCACATCTCGCGGAATCTGAGTGCTGAAACCGAGATCCAGCGGAATGTTGATGGTCCGCGACATCAACTGTCATCAACGTCAGGAAAGGGAAGGCCGTTCGAGCGTTGGAGTGGAAGAGGAATGGACAAATGCCATCAGGCCGTGCATTATACACAGTTCTAGTTCTGGTATAGATGTACATAACGCATGGCAAAGCATTCTGCACTTCTATGGCAGACTTCGGTCAGTCGATAAACAGAGTGCCCAGGTGTGTTGTCAGAAGTCGGCGTCTGCCAAGCGACGGGGACCTCAAGCTGGAAGTACAGCGTCATCTATGACCCCTCCCAGACCAATTTACAACTACACTCTCCCGCGAACGATGCGGTAACCATGGCGCAAGAGATGAAGGTTAATCCTCAGCGCGCGAAAGATCTCGCAGAAAATCTTGCCAGCATCATATCGCGCATCAATGCTGCCAATAAGACCGGAAAGCCTGTGCGCCTCATAGCAGTCTCAAAGCTCAAGCCAGCCACCGACATTCTTTCCCTCCACCAACCCTCCGGAACATCCTCACAGCCGCTACAAACGCACTTCGGCGAGAACTACGTCCAAGAGCTCCTCGAAAAGTCCAGACTCCTCCCTCGCTCGATACGATGGCACTTTATTGGGGGCCTCCAATCGAACAAGTGCAAGCAGTTGGCGGAACAGATACCAAACCTATGGTGTGTGAGCAGTGTGGATAGTGAGAAAAAGGCGGACCAGCTCGAAAAGGGCAGGAAAACACTCATAGAGGCAGACCCAGGTGTTGAGAAGCTGAGGATCATGGTCCAAGTCAACACAAGTGGAGAGGAGAACAAATCTGGCGTGGAGCCCTCCGAAACGTTGGCACTGTGCCGTCACATCCTCGACAAATGTCCGCACCTGCAGCTTACTGGACTTATGACGATTGGTGCCATAGCGAGATCCAAGGCCACAACACCGGAGAATGAAAACGAGGATTTCATCACGCTGAGGGAGACGAGAAATAAAGTAGCCAGGGAGTTGGGGTGGAAAGAGGAGCAATTGGAACTGAGCATGGGTATGAGCGCGGACTTCGAAGGCGCAATTGCCATGGGAAGCGATGAGGTCAGAGTTGGAAGCGATATCTTTGGCGAAAGACCGGCAAAGAAGGATGCTGTCATCGTGTAAGAAGCGTACCAGCTCCCTCTGCTATCTAAGCGTTGTAGCTTTTCGAAGCTCCGTGCCATACGGATACGATGCCTGCAAAACCCAAGCTGTAGCATGCATATAGCGTAGCGCTAAAGTAAGGTTCTCCGTTCCCTCATGTCACTGGGTAGTATCCGGCTTACCATTGTCTGGTAGACCGTGGGCAATTATAGCCTCACATCTTGGTATTGAATTCGCAACCGCTCACCAGGAGACGGTGCAGCAATCCCTGATCCCAAACCCACGAGAGCTTCACAAAACATCCGCGGCGTGCGGAATGGCACAATATTGTCTGACTGTCAATGTATCATGTTGCACAGAAACCAACCATCTGCAGCTGCCATCAGGGGAATATCTTGTCAATCGTGTCTCTCATCTCGAAAACCAAACACAACGCCGCCGCTTTCGTTTACTCTGAACTCTCTCACTCGCACTCTCGGTCATGGTACTCCTCTGGGCTTTGTGCGCTCTGCCTAAGGCTGCGGTGAGGCGTATTGAATCGTTAAAACAGCCGAAAGTAAGTGGCCCTTTTCGTAACCTCACACCCTGTGTGGTGCAGCACATATCTGACGATCTGAAGACAACAGAACTTCAGGTATCAGCTTCAGGCCTAGACCATCAGTCTGCCTGCCACACAGTACGAACTTTACACTCTGGGAGTCCTTCTCTTCCATCAATCTACCACCCAACGGAATCAGGTGGCAATCTCACCATTCAAGCACCACGAGGCAAGCCACATTTCGGATCGGTTCCTATTCCGAGCGTCCTTTAAAAAAGGACTTCCAAGGCTTCAAACTCACGCAACCTTGGAACAGCCCCCGGGTCTGGACATGGAGCAATGGGCATGTCACGTGCAGGCTCCTGGGTTGTTCCTTCCCAACGTGGACCTCGGGACCGGCAGCCTTCAGGCGTCAACTCCACTTCCGTCCTCACGGTTCTTTCTCTCCTTTCTCTTTCTTCGCAAGTGCTCGGCTTCATCCACTTGCAACGCCCAGCCCTCGAGCTCTCGCCATTCGAGTCGTGTGCGCAACAGTACTGACTGATTCCGAGCTGAGGTAAAACCTGCCAGACACTGCGACTTTTCTAAGCTAACGTGGATTGCAGTGACTTTAAGAGTTCCCGCTTCACTTTTCGCGACAGGAAATCATCCACTGCCGGCATGAAGCGCCGTCGTACTGCCTCCGAACAATCTTCTGGCATTGCGAAAGTTCGAAAACCAGAGCAGTCATCGCCGTTCCTCGGCGCCTCCCCCATCTTCTCTGGGGGCAGTTCCACCTCAGACATATCTACGTCAGAGCCAAGGATCAGTGCAGAGAAGGTAGGCTGTATTTAACACTACTAGCACATCGGGAAAACCATTGACAAGAGCCAGGCAAGCAATTTGGTTGACTTGACGGTGGAAAATGCTACTCCATCGAATTCTTTCAACTACTCAGTTGTAATCTCCAAAGACGCCGATGCTGGGGCGAAGGGTGCGCCAAATGACCCGCCTTGTTGTGCTCCCGTTACTGCTCCTATCGAGCCTGGGCTAAGCACACGCAACAACCTTGGCCTGTAGGTTCTTTAGCTCTTTTAGGATTCCTGGGGCTAACAGTCGGCAGGCTGAAGGGTCCTGTAGTTAAGGTGGTGGTTGGTGCCTCTAGATGTTCAGATTCCGTGCCTTGCGACCACGTTATTTATCTGCCAAAAGCCTTGGTGTCGTGTCATTCCGCTTTTACGAAAGCGGCATGTACCAGTCATTTCAAGGAAGCCTTGGAGAACACAGTGCGCCTACCTTAGGACAGACCCGACATCTTCGACAAGTTTATCGCATGGATGTGTAAGTACTCCTTAACGCCCAGCTATCCTTCGCTTCGCAAAACTGATCACACTCATGCGAGACTATGGTTCATACTCAGATCCTTGGTGGTCGAGAGGGTCCGTGTTGTCAACGAGGGATAACATTGACGCCTGGATCATGGGAGACAAGTTACTCGCCGTGCCTTTCAAGAACTACGCCATGGGGAAGCTATATGGGACGTGGACCGCCGATAGTCCGATACGTCTTGATACTGCAACGTTGCAGGTTGTTCTGGATGGAACGATGCCCGGGTCGAAGTTACGTCTCTTTTTTCTCGATGCCTTCACGACCTTGTATTCGAATCCAGACCGGCTAGATGGCGATACCGAAGACTGGGATGAGATTCTCTTGAACCATGATGATGCTAGGAAACTCCTTCTAGAATCCTACAGCGCAAGGCGAACGGTGAAAACCTTCATCAAAGCCAAGGATATCTATATGGAAAAATGAGGTGGACACAAGAACAACAACGCTATACCTGGACTGTCACTATCCACACTACGGATCTCTGAGAGATGGGTGTACCCGTATGCCATAAAGCATGAATCGTGGATGCGAGCCATGCATTGAGGAACTATACCATATACAGCATATCTATATGTCTGGACCCCAGCTTCAGCACTGCGAGTCGTTTCTTTCCCAGATAGCTATAACTCAAATACATTTCAGCCGAGTGGGTACATCAGATCTCAATAGTCATTCGCAAATTCCCCCCAAATATCTAGCGGCAAGGTGGCAGAAACTTGGACAGCCGACGACAAAGCCAAGATAGGCACCAAGTATGAGCCCATTTCCGTATAAATTCTCACAGACGCCCCAAAGCCAAAGAGGTATCACCGTCCCCTAAATAATATGGTATCACGTCATCCAAGCAAACAAAACCCATGGTCATGGGATGCATGTATAAACTCCCTTGAAACGCATCAGGACATAAATTCCCTCCCCTACTCTTTCGCAAAGAGCAGCGCAACCATGATCTTCGTCGCTGCAAACACGCCATGCGCTTCGACTAGAGATTGAAACGTCTGGGGTATTGTATTCAAGCTTCTGCTCGTGTCCGCTTCGGCCCCTGAATCCGATCAGTACGAAGATTCATTTCCTTGCGTGCAAGAAACGCAACTTACACACTCGCGGATACGCAGGTTCGACCTGAACAATCGACTCCGCCTCACCCGTCCAATCAAATTGAATACGCCATGATATCTTCAAGAGCACATGCTTATCCTCCAAAACCAGGACATCCCGACCTAAGTGACGTAGCAAATCCTTACGTGTCATGTTCTTCGATGCATCCCCATCCATTGCTTGATTGGAATTCTCGTTACCAACGTTTCTTCGCCCTGGTATTAGATGAGCGAAGGCCGTCTCACATTTGCGCCAATACTCGGCGCGTTTCTTGGTGAGATCCCAGTATGAGTCCATTGCCCAACAGGCACAGCTGAGGTTTTTCTGTTTTGCCTTTTCTCGCATGAAGGTTCCCAGCTCCTTTTCTGCCCAGGCGGACAGTCGAGGAACGTCAAGATTGACAATTCGATGAGACATCGTATCGATTGTGGCTTCGACGGAGCCGGTGAGTAGCTTTTGCGGGCCGATGATGTCGATCGAAAGCCTCTGGTACGAGTTCCTCGACTCGTTGTCCAAGCCTTCTAGATCTGGTAGACTCATCCGAGGAGTGAATTGCAAGGAGGTGAACATTTGCAGGTACGGAAGCGGATCGTCCAGGTCGATGGGGTGATGTGATGGAACAATGTCCTCCGCATCATCTCGGTTCTGAGGCTGGTGGATGGCTTGTGCTGCATATGGGAGAAATGAGCACAGAAGATTGGATATTGTCGGCTCGGTTTTGTCCCTTTCTAGCGCTTCCGAATTCGTCATTTTGTTGATGAAGGAGCTATTGTATATCAGCATTGGGCCATGGAGGAGACAGTTCAGTGTACTTACATCAAATCATCCCGATCCCCCGGGTCAAGTTCTTGACTAGGAGATCGGCTGTGGAGCCACTTCACCTTGTCCACGCATTGCTCGACATCGTTTTGCAAATCTGCCAGCTCCCTCAAAAGCTTCTCCTTCTCCCGCTTCTTACTCTCCAGCTCAGGATCAGGAGGTTCCTTCTTCTTGGCTGCACCAGTTTCGGTCCCTTCTCCTCGAGCATCTGCACCGTTCACGGGCTGAATCCTTGTTTCCGAGCTCACTCCTGGTCTTGCCTTCAATGAGGAGTGGACACCGGTCGCTTTGCGCGGAGGCCTTTTGCTTGGCGAAGAGAAGAGCATTCCTCGTCGAGGAGTGTCCTGCTCCAAGGCCTGAGGAGACGTCTGTGGCAGTTCCGGCTCTTCCTCCTCTTGGCTCACCGATGTGGACTCCCGTGTATTCCTCCGTGCTACTTCTGAGACAGTTGCGCGGCGCTCCTCTTCCAACGAGCTCCCTCGCCCTGCGGCAGCAATCGTAGGGTCTGCTTCATTCTGCGTGTTCCCAGTTCCAGCAGTTTGCTCCGCGCTTCCGCCAAATATAAAGGCGCGTGCCTGCTTTCCGCGCTGGATCAGAGCTTCCCTGCCGGTCTGCAAGAGGTTCGGATTGAATCGCGCAAGGCTGGCCTTTGTGGGAGATGCAAAAGACGGTCGGCGTAGAGGTTTCTTCAGAGGGCTCGAAGCTGCTTCACTTGCGTTGGGCGAGGCGGTCTTGCGTCTCTTTCGTGGTGGTTCATTCATGTCGGGCGTGAATGTTCACTGTTATGTGGAATAGTGGGTATGCTATGCGGCGGAGTGGAGAATCGCTCGGCATCGACGGAGGCTCTAGCTATACATTTCGACTGGAATGGCGCGTGGAATCAATGTTAGCAATAACGGCGCGTCTCGACGCGTTGGGGTGGGATGTTGAATGTCGCCCGCGTGGTTTCGTAGATTTAGGCAAGTTTTGCCGAGAGACCCTTGCGCGCAAACCGGTGCCGAGGAATGACTTCATCGCATCTATCGCCTGGCGCTGTTCTGTCTTCGGAAACTTCTTGGGGTGTTGGTATACCGCTCAAGTAATGTGTGGCTTCTTATAGCGATAGGAAGACGATATTACCTCATCACATCGGTTTCTTTGGTTCCTTCGATGAAACCAATCTCGTCGTCTCCGTCGCTGGTTACATGGGGACTCTCCTCCTCCAACCAGCAAGTATGGCGCAAAACCTGTAGGAGGACTGCACCAAAAACGATTGGTCTGCAGAATAGCAACCGGATACAGCGTCGCTTCAGGAGCCACATAGCTAAGGAGGGCGATCAGGCCAGACCGCTTGAGGGTTTCTACGCAGGTATCACATCATTGTATAGGCATTCAGTGCCCAATACGCTAACTTTCAATGCAGAACTTCTCTCGCATCCTCTGAGCAAACTGCAAGCCGCCAGCCGGACCCGTCCTGTCCCTCCGCCATCAGACTCTTCGCCGAGGACCGAAAAAGAGGAAACATTGGAGGAACCACGAATTGTCTTTGGATCGCGTTTAGCGGGCCCTGGGGAGCGCAGAGCGCAGATTGATGCTGCGTCCAAAGTTATCGCAGGAGTCCTAGTCCCGCCAAAGCCGACCGAACCAGACAACTGTTGCATGTCCGGATGTGTGAACTGTGTCTGGGACCTATACCGCGATGAGATGGAGGAATGGGCAGCGAAGGCCGCGGAAGCACGAGCAGCACTGCAGGCCCAAAGACAGGCTGGGAAGGGAACTGGGATGATGGCAGCAAGGCCGGGGACTCCTTCGCATGTGGCGACCAGCATGGACGATGATGGAGGAGGCAGCGAGACCAATTGGGTATTGGAAGCATCGCCTGAGCACTTGTTTGACGATATACCCGTCGGAATAAGGGAGTTTATGAAGACAGAGAAGAAGCTGAAGCTGAAACATAGAGCAGAACAAGCTGTGAATTGAATGAAAAGAGCGACACCTGAGCAGATCCTGCCGAACCGTGTCGATGAGAAATGCCTTAGCCGCAGCTTCGCTGATCAAATGAGCCTTTGTGACAGCTCAACCTTCAATATGTGAGCGCTCTTTTGCCGGGCATGCTGAACACCGTGTTGTACATCTCAGTCTTCTCCGACGTCGACCCCTTTGGCGCGCAGCTCTGCCCTCGCCTCCTTTATCTGGCCAAGTAATTCCTTATGAGCGTCCGGAACATCGTTGAACGTGAACACGCCCCATCCGAGCTTGAACAGGAGGTAGGAACCGAAGGAGACGAGCGCCCAGAACGGGATCTTGAAAAAGTGTTAAATGCTATCTAGCTTAGAAAGTTCTGGTGACATACCACTGGGACAATCTCAGTTTGGACTTTCTCAGGGAGTGGTATTATCTCTGTGAAGATGGCCAGGTAGAGCTAAGCATCTGTTAAACGTGTACAGACAATAGGGACGACAAACCATACCGAGGAGAGGAGCAGGGCAATCGAGATGGTCTGTTGGGCCCGAGTCATCTTGAATGTGAATGTATACCGCTGCTTTCGTGCTGGGAACCTTGTTGGAGTAAAGCAATGCGCAATGTATTGTGGAGTCCCACTAGCTATCCCGACTGGGCAACATTTGTGCCAAGCAAGCCACTCAGGCACGTGACTGAGCTTTTCCAGTTGGCAGGAGTAGCCGGTGCTAAGCGAGACACTCCAGGATTCAGAGGGAGACGTCAACAATTCTCTGGTCGATACAGTTTGATCATTTCGAAGACTCGGTCCCGCAATTTGTTTTGAGGCATAATGTTTGTGACTGCGGAACTCCGATAGCCGTGGCCCGAAGAGGGTACTTCATTTCGTCCAATTAGGCGCAGGCGGCGACCGGTCCATCAAGCCCATGGCATCAGGTCGATACTAGTAAGAGAGATACTAAGCAGAGCTCATCTCTTTAGTCTTGAATCGCCCTCTTTTCACCATGGCAAGCGGTGAAGCAGATTGTGGAGCTGAGTGGCCCGAAAGCATCCTCATGAAACTTCCCAGTGAAGCGGGAGATGGGCTTAGAACGATCCCTGAACGGCTAAAGAAGCTCCGGGAAGATGGGAGAGTTGATGAAGTTGAGATGATAGTTCAAGCTCTTGGAACTGCTGCTGGTCGAGACGGTCGGTGCTTTTCAATCGTCATTCGTGTATCCTGCCCCAACTGACACGGAATAGGGGAGTGGAGAGAACAGTTCCGAGACGCAGGCATTCTGCAGCATGTCATACAAGAACTGCGACCATCAGCGATCCCAGTTGGACTAGCTCGGCAGTATTTGAGAGTCATTGGCAACTGCGTTGTCGACAATGGTACGGATCTAAAGCTGAGCCAATTGCCTTTCGCGACCTCTAACATGATTTCACAGAGGAAAACCGCGGCATTATATTGGAGATTCTAGAGACAATCACTGCATGTCTTGATTGGGAACCACTCGCTCTCACAGCACTTGTGGTGATATTAAATCTTTGCAACGATTACGGTCAGTTGTTGAGGCTCTGGTGCCATCCCTTCTGCTGAACTGATAGAAGACCCTGCTCAGGTTCGAGCAGCTGACCTAAGACTCGACCAAACGATTTCAGAGCGCCTTACGCAGCGAAAGATACCGGAGGACGGCTGGGAGTATGCCACCGAGCTGCTGACGTGCATCACCGAAAAACTCACTCCCGCCCAACTACACGATTCCACTTCAATCAACGTGTTTAAAACCATTCTGGATTTTGCTGTGGAACACAAGGACAGGGATATATTCGAGAGTTTAGTTCCCGTGCTGGCTCATTACCTCCAGGATCCGGCAGTTCAGCAGCAAGCAGCGGCTCCGGAAATCCTCGAGAAAATCATCGATGTTACCATTGCCTACGAAGGACAATTAACACAGGTGGAGGATGCATTTCTGGCGCTAGCATCGAACCCAAACGATTCTCCCAACGACATGGATGACAACGTGATAGTCATGGTCGAGCTGGTCAACTCCCTCTCCGCGATCGCCGGTACAGACGAATTCGTCAAAACCTCCAGCCTCTCCAGTCCTCATGTCCGTAAGGTTAGCGAGAGGCTTGTTGAAGGTCGTACAGGACCGTTTACTATATGTGCTTGCGTGTTACTCGGTAACATCACCACGTCAGATGGTATTGCCATGCGCATGGTACAGGAGCTGGGCATACATGCACCTCTACTTGCTATTCTTTCTCAGCAGGAGGAGCCAGCGTTGCTTTATGCCGCAGCGGGTTTTATGAGGCACCTGTCATACCCTGAGAGCAACAGAGCGGTCTTGGCAAAAGCTGGACTCGTCGATACCTGCTGTCATCTCCTCAGCAACAACGACCCTTCTGTAAGAGGAGAAGGGGCCGCAGTCCTGGCCAAACTCGTCTCCAGCGACCTCGCAATCGTTGAGCAAGTGATCACAACGAAACTTGACTACATCGTCACTCAGGCACTGGCCCCTTCAGCGCCAGCCCCAAGCACGGCGATGAAAAATGCAATGATAGAGCTAGGTCGAGCCATCGTCAATATGCTGAGATATCTCTCGCGCCCAGATACAGGAGACTCCTCGAGAGTTCTGCTCCGCCACGCTCTCGAGACTCCTCTAGTGGCGCGTCCAGTAGCTCGACTGATCCGACAACGCTTCTTTGCGGAACCCAGATCCGAAGGCCTACTTGGGCTGGGTCTGATGGCGCAAGTACCCGAGGGAGCCGTCTGCGTCGTCCAAGAGTTGAAGGAGGATGGAGGGGTGTTGGAGGCGATAAAGGAGGTGGCGACAGAGGCGTCGGAGAAGAGTGGAGGAGCAGAGAGCAGCACGGTACAGGGACGCAATCTGCAAAATACGCTTGTGTTGTTGCATGCTCTTGTGCAAAATGCGGTGAGTAGGCCGAGAGTGTTTAGGGGGTTCTCATCCGGGCTAAGCAATGTGTAGGGGGAGGCTATGGGCACTGATCTGAGGACAAAGGTTGATGCCTTGCAAGCGGAATTAAGCGGCCTTGTGAGATAGCTGCGACATCTGGATACTTGGTGGTGATGCAGGAAGAATAATAGATGTGTTACGGGACCCCCTTTGGCGATTAGTCATCCTTAGCGGTGCTTGTCCACTCGTCTGCGCACTTCCAAGATTATAGCACAGTGAAAGCTTCACTATGACCCGTGTACAGCTAGTTTACTACTTGCATTGTCGTTTAGAATAAAGGACGTCATAGCCAAATGCCGGTCGCTCCCCCCAATCAAACGACATATGTTTAGCAGGATATATTTCCTCGTCGCCCTGGTTGATAGAAAGATATCTATTCAGCTCCCCTGCTGGAGTGTCGCCCGTTCATTTTCTCTTCCGTGCGCATTACATGCGTGGAGTTGTTGACAAGATGTCGTCAATGGACGTTGTTCCAGTCTTCTTGGTCTCTAATCTCATACCCTTCTCTAATTGAGAAGTATCCAGCTGAACTCTTTCCGAGGCTGGCCTGAAGTTGCTATGTACAAGAATGCAGAATGGCTTGCTTTTATCGACGATACGTAGGCTATAAGACGCCTCCTTAAAAGTAAGCTCCTAGTGGCATGACATGGTAAGCTTTCCGCTGCTCAACATTCACCAGGACCGTCTGCGCTGTATGCTGATTCTGATTGGACAGGATGCTCTGTATAGCCTCGAACCGGCGTGTTTTCTTGAAAATGGCCTTGGAACCTTGGAACGCTCCGACAAAAGAGAGACGCTAGCCTCTTGCGGTATAACTCCCCTTATCTTATCGCGCGCCTCGGCGATTTTGTTAGCATCGTCATAGTTCCCCGACGGCATTTCGCGGGTTTGGGCCATGGCCTCACCGTCGCCCATGGGGCCCAGCCTGAGATTCTTTTGTCGCCTTTTTTTTTTTTTTGGACTGTAGTTCTTCTTTTCTTCTTCTCTCCTCCATTCTCTTTGTATTGCCGCCAACCTCACCTTGGCTCCTTGCGTTGGGCAATTGCGTTTCTTGTTGGGTGGCAATCACTGCCAGAATTGTCCCAAACCACTGGTCTGACGTCGGAGTAAGAAGTTCCCTCTGCGTACTCCGGCCTACCTCCCCAGACCAGTTTTCTCTCTCCCCCTCCGTACACCGTACGCATACTTCTAGCCCAAATTCCCTCGTCGGTGGGCAATTGGCTACACTCCCTCGCAGAAATGCGCTCCGCGTGCGTCAGGGCAGCGTGCTCTGTCCGCCAGCTCGCCCCTCGACCGTGTCGACCATTCCCCAGGCCCTGGACCGCATATCCCCTTAAACCCGCAGCTCAATTGCCTCTATGCCGTGCCTTCCACGGCAATGGCGCCGCCGAAGATGTCCTGGAACCCCGTCCAGGCGCTAGCAAACACCTATCTTCCGTCTTCCAAGACCTCGATACTTTTCCCCGCCGTCACATAGGCCCCTCGGCCAAATCAGTGGAGCAGATGCTCGCCGCACTGGACCCTCCTGTCAAATCCCTCGACGAATTCGTCAAGCAAGTCATACCCCCCGATGTTCTGTCATCAAGGAATCTCAAGATCCGGGGGATACAGGAGTCGGACCAGTCCACCTCCAGGGGCGTCTCCGAATCTCAACTCCTGAAGGAGCTGGAGGAGGTCATGAGCCATAATCACCCCGATGTCAGCTTCATTGGTTGCGGTTATGCCGGAACGAAGGTCCCCGAAGTCATCAAGCGCAATGTCTTTGAGAATCCAGCTTGGTACACTAGCTACACTCCCTACCAGCCCGAGATAAGTCAGGGAAGGTTGGAGTCATTACTCAACTACCAGACCATGTGCAGCGATCTGACCGGTCTTGCGATCGCAAACGCCTCCGTTTTGGATGAGCCCACCGCTGCCGCCGAGGCCATGACCCTCTCCATGGGCGTCCTGCCCTTGTCCCGCCAGAAGCTTCCGAACAAGACCTATCTCGTCTCAAGCACCTGTCACCCGCAGACGATCGCCGTGTTGCAGTCTCGAGCCGAAGGGTTTGGCATCAAGATCGAAGTCTGCGATATCCTGAAAGATGATTGCCACAGAGTCGACGAGCTGGGCAAAGACTTGGTGGGAGTTCTGGTTCAGTACCCAGATACGGAAGGCGGTGTCTATGATTACCGGAAACTGGCTGAGAAGGTTCACAAGCATCATGCTCTTCTGAGCGTGGCCACTGATCTGCTGGCTCTGACCGTGTTGACACCACCCGGGGAGTTCGGTGCCGACATCGCCTTCGGAAACGCTCAACGGTTCGGTGTACCGCTGGGATACGGTGGGCCCCATGCCGCTTTCTTTGCTTGTTCAGATAAACACAAGCGCAAGATTCCCGGTCGATTGATCGGTCTCTCCAAAGACAGGCTTGGCAACCCTGCCGCACGTCTTGCGCTGCAGACCAGAGAGCAACATATCCGTCGCGAGAAGGCAACAAGCAATATCTGCACTGCGCAGGCGCTGTTGGCAAATATGAGTGCTTTCTATGCCATCTACCACGGCCCGAACGGATTGAGAGATATCGCCCACAACGTCATCGCCAAGACGCGGTATATCCAGAGCGCCATCGCGGAAGCCGGCTTCCAAACAGGACGACGCGGACACATGAATAATGAGCCCGCCGCTTTTGACACCTTCGTCGTAGAGAGCGGTTCGAAGACGGATGCTATCATTGCACATCTTCGCGAAAGTTGTTTGCATGTGCGGAAAATTGACGACGGTCACATTGGAATCACAGTGGACGAGACCACAAGTGAGAAATCTGCGTCTACGCTGATCAACGGCTTCAGGAACTTTGGGAACTCTTCAGCATCCGACAAGGACACATCGAGCTTCGAGAAGACGCACGATGTTGAGGTCCCAGCCGCGTTCAAGAGGCAGTCCCCATATCTCACCCATCCAGTCTTTAACTCCTATCACTCCGAGACGGAACTCCTTCGATACATTTACCATCTCCAGTCCAAGGATTTGTCCCTCGTACACTCCATGATTCCACTAGGATCCTGCACGATGAAGCTGAACGCAACCACCGAGATGGTTCCGGTTACTTGGTCTACCGTGTCCAATCTCCACCCGTTTCTCCCGCTGGATAGGGCTCAGGGTTATGCGAAGTTGATCAGGCAGCTCGAGGCCGACCTGGCGGAGATTACAGGATTCCATGCTGTGTCTCTGCAGCCAAACTCTGGCGCACAAGGCGAATTCACTGGCCTTAGGGTCATCAGGAAGTACCACGAGGAAAAGGGCCAGAAGAACAGGGATATCTGTTTGATCCCTGTTTCCGCCCACGGAACCAACCCCGCAAGCGCGGCCATGTGTGGCATGAGAGTCGTGCCCATCAAGTGTGATCCCCTAACCGGAAACCTGGATATGGAAGACCTGAAGGCCAAATGCCAGAAGCACAGCGACGAGCTCGGCGCCATCATGATCACCTACCCCAGCACCTTCGGCGTCTTCGAACCCCAGATCAAAGCCGTTTGTGACCTGATTCACCAACACGGCGGCCAAGTCTACATGGACGGCGCAAACATGAACGCGCAAATCGGCCTCTGCTCCCCGGGCGAAATCGGAGCCGATGTCTGCCACCTGAACCTCCACAAGACTTTCTGCATTCCTCACGGCGGCGGTGGTCCTGGCGTGGGCCCCATCGGCGTAGCCAAACACCTCGCTCCCTTCCTCCCTGGCCATTTGCGCGGCGAGACAGGCGGCGACAAGGCGATCGCGCCCGTCAGCGGGGCCCCCTGGGGCAGTGCCAGCATCCTGCCCATCAGCTATGCATATATCAAAATGATGGGTGCCGTTGGCCTCACCCAAGCCACAAAGGTCACCCTGTTGAATGCAAACTACATCCTCGCGCGCCTGAAACCGCACTACCCCATTGTCTACACCAATGCGAACGGCCGCTGCGCCCACGAATTCATCCTCGACGCCCGTAAGTTCAAGGACACGGCCGGAATCGAAGCCATTGACATCGCCAAGCGCCTCCAGGACTACGGCTTCCACGCGCCCACCATGTCCTGGCCCGTCGCCAACACGCTCATGATCGAGCCCACGGAATCCGAGTCCAAGGAGGAACTCGATCGATTCTGCGACGCCCTCATTTCCATCCGCAAGGAAATTGCGGCGGTGGAGAGGGGCGAGCAACCGCGCGAGGGCAATGTGCTGAAGATGGCGCCGCATAGTCAGCAGGACTTGCTGAGGGGAGAGTGGGACAGGCCGTATTCGAGGGAGGAGGCGGCGTACCCGCTGCCGTATCTGAGGGAGAGGAAGTTTTGGCCGGCGGTGACGAGGTTGGATGATGGTGAGTTGCAATCTCTTTCTATTCCGATCAACTGATGAATGAGCTTTGCTAATAATACCCTAGCTTATGGCGATACCAATCTCTTCTGTACGTGTGCGCCTGTCGAGGAGGAGTAGGATATCAGCGGTGCGGCTGTGCCGACATTCACGTAGTTAACGGTGAGTTCAGCGGGTTCAGCGATTCTTTCCTAAGGTACCGTGCATAACGAAGCCTCTTTGTCTTTTCCATCGCATGCATGCATTTTCAACACCATGCCAGCATCAGCACCGGAGCGGGAGTTGGGGACGGGCGAATCTAGTCTTCTTCAACAAAGCATGAAGCTTGCACATGGGCATCTTCGAATTGGAGTTTTGGAGCAGGGAAAAAGTTCAGATATGTCTGTCGGATTTCGTTTACTATATAGACCTCAACACTTCCTGCGAAGGATCTCTACTACATGTAGGAAGAAGGAGCATTCAACATTCAACATATGGCGCGTGGGCAGAATTGATAGAGATTTAAGTGGTAATCAATATTCGTGGCGCTACCGCTCAATGTAGCTTGCTGCTGCTTATTGTTATGCTCAATAATCTACCCGCTCGCGTCAATGGGTGCCTTCGGACAACCAAACCTCCTGACCCAACCCACACACTCCCCGCTCCACTGCTCCAACACACCCAATTCACCCCTATATACTCGCCCTCCGCGGCGCCATCGTCCTTCTCAAATCCTTCTCCCTCTCACTCTCCTCCTTAACCGGCATCCCGCCCTTCTCCCTCAGCTCGCCCAGGAACGCCTTCCCGTACTCGTACCCGACCCGGTAAATCTCGTCGAACTTTGCGAAATCCAGGGTGCCGTAGCCGTCGATCGGGGGCCGCATGTACCGCACCCCAGGGGTATTCTTCGCTCGCTCCAGGGCATCGTAGCTACTGACGTAGGCGAGGCGGGATTGAATCTCACTGAGGGTCGGAGGGTTTGGGTACGAGGAGAAGGGATTCCACCGATTGACCAACGCCCAGAAGCCCGACAGCGAGTCGCCGAAGGATTGCGGCGTATCGTCATCCAGGCTTCCGACATCCACTGCGAAAATGGCATCCGCGCCCAGACTCTTCATATGCGTCACCGTCAAATTGTCAATGTATCCGCCATCAAGGAGCATGGAACCATTGTCGCAGAGGGGCGGGAGCAAGCCCGCCAGAGACATGGAAGCCCGCACATAGCGCCAGACGTAACCAGAGGTGTGGATCTCAGAGCGCGATTTGCTAATGTTTGTGGTGTTGCAGTAGAATTCCAGCCAGAAGTCCTCCATTTGTGCGTTGCCAAAGGTTTTGAAGATGCCGCGGTTGAACTCGTGGCCCGTTGTGTAGGATGCGCTAGGGATGGTTAGCATCTGTTTAGAGAAGAAGGAAGAAACACGTACGAGGGATATGTTAGATCCAGAGCGAACCTCCACATGCTGCCCATGCGGCTGGCGAATTTCTTCGCCCTCCCGTACATAGGTACGACGTCCGCGTCCCAAGCATACAAAGCTCCGATAAAGGCGCCTATCGAAGTGCCTCCAACAAGGTCAATAGGAATTCCGGCTTCTTCGAGGGCGCGAATAACGCCAATGTGTGCGATGCCACGTGCGCCTCCGCCTCCAAGCACGAGTCCAACGGACTTACCACACAGTCGTCGAGCGAGGCGATGGAAGTCTCCCTTGAACGGTGTTTCTGCCGAATACAGCGGAGTCTGTCTGACCCTACGAGACGTATATTTCTGGATTTCGGCTTGCAGAACTTGCACCCGCTGCTTGAGGGCTGTTCCGAAACGGCGTCCAGCTGGATGGACGGGCTCATCCCCAGTCCGGAACGACATCTGGATGTGATGGTGGCCCCCATTTACCCATGGACGATCGCGAAGCCACTTGCGAGTCACACCAGGCTGGCAGTACCTTTCCGTGTGCAAAAGTACGAGTTCCTTGCGGGCCGTCGTCTTGGTAGTCAGAAGAAAACGCTCATACTCGCCAATTTGAGGTGAGGCCTCGGCTTGCCCAATCAGTAATATGCAGTCCGCCTGGCTGATGCACGTCTGGGTCCAGGGCGATTTGACGGTCGTGTCAGCGACATAAAGGACGAGCCCATACTTCTCTTCCAGGTCGGCAAGATATTGCGACAGCTTTAGCTTTCCCATCTTGTTGAAGGCATGTCGCCCCAGATGATTCAAGATTGCGGCTTGATTCAGGGATACAACCCCATTCTGCGCGCCAATCTGGTTCAGGGCGTGCATCAAACGACCGGCGAATTCCGTGACAGGTATGCCAGCGGTAACAGGCAGGATGGCGACAGTACGGAGGTTGACCGTAGAAGACACCTTACTCCGGGAAAGTTTGACACCGCGGTCTTTCCCTTGCTCGTGTAAGGGATCGTCAATCAATGCTCGCATCCGCGAAGCGATGATTTTCGAAATCTGGATTGTGATGCCCGGATGTTCCAAGGCGAGACTGTTGAAGAGCGTCTTTGGAAACTTGGCGACCTCGGTGTCACGAATCGCATGGAGGGATCCTGGACGGACCGACTCTGTCAAGACCTCTAGCTCTCCTACGCTATCTCCTTGGCCGTATTCACCGATGACCTTCATGTCATTGTTATTACCATCTTGAATCGCTCTTAACCGACCGTTTAGAACGATGTATATCGCATCACTTTCGTCGCCCTGATTATATAGGATTTGTCCGGCGTTAACCTGTACCCACTCCAGGGCGAAGTCAATATGAAGAATCAAGCGTGGCAATAGCGTCGTAAGGCGCTTTGCCATGGTAAGAAGCACAACTGGGTATCGGTCGACAATCCTCTCTATGGACGCACGTGGTAGGAAGCCGACATATACATCGGTCTTCGCGGTGACATCGATGAAAGATCTGTACGATGATATGGACCCCAAGTATCCTGCCAGCCCTCCTGGCTTAGTCAGAAAGAGACTCTTCCTCGTCTTCTTCTTCTTCTTAATGTTGTCCCCATGACGTGCGGCTGAACTAGTTCTGTTTCCGAAAAGAGGTCCAGAGAACAATTCGGACTCGTCGATTCCCGGAGTGCGAGGAAGGGTCCCTAGAGCATTGTGCTCCGTGTGTTCTTCGTCAACTGGCACACTCACGTCAAGGAATCCATCGATGACATAGTAGAGGCCGGGGTTCCTCTCACCCTGCTCGACAAGTACGGAATCTTTGGGGAAGAAGACAATTTCGACGTCGTTCACGAGCTCTTCCAGGATATTCCGGTTGCCATTCGCGCTTGCTGACGAGACTGCGGATGCAGACATCATGGACTCTGTATCTGCGCCTCGAAGCGATTCGTAAGGATCGATAAAACCGAAAGCGTTAGAGAAGATGGCTTTTTGACGTCTGGCATCGAAGGTAACAAGACGAGGAGACTGCTCAACGGATGCCGATGGTTTGGGCATAGGGTTATCCAGATCGGTCAAACCGATAGCCTTGAACATGCACTCGAGAACAGACTCCCGAAATCTCGTAGCCTCGTCCACGGATTCCTGCCTATGTAGCCCTGCGGGCCTATTCAGCGGAGAAGCAAAAGGGTTGGATCTACCCGAATCCAAAGGCGACCGCGCGTCCCGACGGTGTTCGTGTTGATACGGCTGGGAGAAGCTATAGCGACCTTGCCGTGTATTCCCTCTTGGAAGCTGAGTGTTAGTGAGAAGATCCCCTGCGCTAAGTCGTTCTGTCCGATCGGTTTCTGATGTGAGACGGCGATCGCGAATCTCATTATCGATATCTACCGGAGTTCCCCGTGCTGCAGCAAGGCTTGCATGTGTGACGACGCCTTTCCTAAGGGAAGCTCCAGATTTTCGTCGTCGGCCCACTCCGGCCTTGTGAAGCGCTATGCCTTTGATGCCCTCTTCAGGTCCGATTCGCTCACGTTCGTCCGCAAACTTCTCTTTCAGTCTTTCCAAAGGACCGCCGCGAAGGAATCCAGGCAGGTCGTATGTGGTGTACTTGTTCATGAGCTTTTCAGTGCGCAAGACTTCGCTCGTGAGTCCTAGATACGCATGGCTTGTCGCTAATGTCACACGCTGCAGTCGCGTCAATATCACCTGCACGATGTGTGCTGTAGCCCTGGGGTAGACTCGGGTCAAACGACGGAATGCAGAAGCGGGTATGACGGCAATTGTGGTATCCACAGTTGCCCTAGCGACTATATCAGGGTGGGCCGACTTGCGCTTCGTCGACCTGGAGCGCGCCAATCGAGGTCTTGGAGGCGGCATAGTTGCCCGCCTGTTTGCAAGCGGCTCTTCGGTGTCCAAGGCCAAGGGAGGCACGCTCGAAAGGCGACCTCCCGCAGTCGGGCTGGCGAGACCAGATGTACTTCGGCGTGGTAGTGAGGCCGTTGGATATTCGGCGAGGTTATTGTTCGGAGTCGCTGGACGGGAGTCGTCCAAGGCAAAGCTGCTATTACGCGTCATGAAAGGGCGAGTCTGTCGTTCGAGTTCGAAAGGGGTATCTGGTACGCTCGAACCGGCTCCGAGGTCGTCCTCATCTTCATGGCGGAGTTGAATGTCTTCGGTGAAGAGTGAGAGAATAGAAAACAAGGACGACATAGGGGCACCGTTCTTGACCTCAGTAAGGAGCTGGTAGCCCTGACTGTGCGTATCATGCCTCCTCGTGGATCTGGAAGAGCCTTCGGAGACATCATCCTCCTCCTCAGAATCCGGCCCCTCCCGGCTAGACTTTACAAAGATCTGCACCTCTCCGTCCACTACGAGACAGAACCCTTTCTCCTCTTCCAGAAGCAGCGTTTCTCCTGCTATCATTTTACGAGTTTGCATTGTACGGGTAAGCTCGTGGAAGACGGGTCTCTCCAGATACCCAAACACTTTGATCGCACTGAGGAACTCGTCGAGGTAGTTGGAGAGCCTCTTGGAATCCCCTTCCTGGGTGTCTGGAAAGACTTCGACTTGAGGATTTTCGCGCTGAGGTTCGGACGGTAATTTCGGGTACATTGTCATGAAGCGATATCGTACTAGGTAGCTCACAGTCGACGCGATGAGCAAAAGTATAAGCATTCTGGTCCGGTTAGTCGACAATGATTCCACCATGCAGCTGGGGCCATTACAGGGTCGTGAAATTCATAGTGAACGTTAATGTCGTGGAAAAGAGTGTAAAGAGCCATGTTGGAAGAGTAATGGTCGTGAAGGTGATAATCCAGTAGAGAAGGCCGGGAATCACACGCACTATGGTTAGGATTACACGACCGAGAAGGCCAAATGTTGAGACGTGGGCTGCTTCGACGGACTGCACAGCGATACCAGAGCCATTCAGAGCTCCAACCGCGCTGGTCATCGCAGCGGCGGCGCTGCTGGCACTCGAGCCCATGGCGTTGGCTGCATCCATGGTGGTGTGGTGAACCAGGATTGCATGTGATAGAGGGGAGGAACTGAGCTTTGGGAATCCCGCAGAGGCATTCACGGCAGACGTCCCTCGAGGCTTTCGATTGGAGTTGCAGGAGGAATCAGGGAGCGAACGGACATGGTGTTGCCGCGGCAAGTCTTTCTTGCGGGCCCACGGGCTGGATTCACTGGCCTTGGAAGACCCATGTCGTGTAATGCTTCCAAGGGAGCTCAACGTCAAAAGTGGGCAGGGCTGGTGTCGTGGTGGTGGGTCTTGCTTACTAATCCCGGCCTGCAGAACGCGCCTGCGCCAGAGCAGCCAGCAGGTTCGGAGGTCCGAGAAACGCGCCTCCTTCACTGTGAGGCCATATTAAGGCCATATCGTTCACCATGCCTCCGTTCAAGGATGAACAGATTATTGTATGCACCGTCGATATGTAACCGTGTCGGTCGGAACACACTGATGCTGTGCAGATTATTGCGCCCGGCTCCGAGACCACTCTTGCGCAGCTGGGGCTCCCAGAGTCCTTTACTCCGGCGCGCCTGCGCGTGCGCTCGCGCATGTTCCCCGCAGAAAAGCAGGGTGAATGGGAGCCGTACAAGGTCCGACGGAAGCAAGCAACACCCGGTGAAACGAGCGAGAAGCCCGCCGACGCTACCAATGGCGCCGAAACCGTGAACGGAGACGACGAGGTTGAATACGAGGAAGATCGAGTGACTGAGGAGGGCGCGGTATGGCCCATCAAGGAGGGGAAGATTGTGAATTGGTCCTGCTTTTTCGCTCTCATCACACACGTCTACAATTCCCTGAATCCGCCGTTCCACACACCGATTCTTCTCATCGCACAGCCAGGCTGGACGCCCCGCGAGCACGAAAAGTTGACGCAATTCTTCTTCGAGAAGTTCAAAACACCCGCATTTTCTATACTGGATGCTGCAATGGCTACGAGTTGGGCATATGGCGTCCACACGGCCACTATTGTGGACGTAGGAAAAGACAAGGTGGATGTCACGGCCATCAGCGAATTCATTCCACATACACAGGGGCGCGTCATCGCTTTATCGGGATGTGGAGGGGAAGCATTGACGCAGGGACTTTTTGCCAAACTGCAGTCGAAAGGATTCACTCGGGAGATGTGTGAGCAGCTCAAAAAGTCTCCCATTTGCGAAATCCTTCCTGCAGGCACGCCACTACCAGGCACAGAGGGCGCGGCTGCTCAGGATACCAAACCCGCCGCAGCAGCGTCTACAGGAGCTCCCGGCTCAGGACCTGCTGCAGCAGTCGCAACCATTGGCAACGCGCCTGGAGGCCCCGTTGAGGATACCGAGGTCGGCGACGACACCATTCCCGAGGAGCACGAAGGCGTGCTTGACGTGGCTAGCATTGTGGCAGGCGGAAAGATGAACGAATATCTTGCAAAGAAAGAGAAGGAGAAGCAGGAGAAAGCAAATGCAAAGAAGAAGGGCGGCGAGGCTCCTGCGACGGCCGCTAAGCCTGTCAGGCTGCCAAACTCGAAGCGGGAGAAAGCAACGTTCATGTATGAGGATCACGCTCTGCTGGATACTTTGAAGAATATGAATCTCGGAAGCAAAGGCGTGGCGGAAGCGCAAGCTGCACTCGATGAAGGCCGTAAGAGGTCTCAGGATGGCGCAGGAGATGGTGAACCCTCGTCTGCAGTGGATGCTAATGACTCAGGGTCAGGCGCAATTAGGCGTGAGATCGAAGTGGGTGTCGAGCGGTTCATGGCTGCGGATGATGGAGTTCTGGAGAGGATTTCCGATGCTATTCACCGAGCGATCTCATCCGTGGACGAGGTCAACAAGCGGAGCGAGTTATGGGATTCCCTGATCGTTTGCGGCAATGGTGGAAGAGTCAGAGGTGGGTTATTCCTCTCTCCATCTGTCCAAATACTTGCTAATTGGAGTAGGTTTCAAGGAAGCACTTCTATCAACAATCCAGTCACGATATGTGATTTCGCCATCCTCTGCCACTATCTTCACCTCGGAAATCCCGTCCAACATCACGACGCCAGCTGGTACCGGCGCGAACACGCCGCAGCCCCAGCTACCTCCTCACGGTGGCCCAAGCCAGGTCAACCCCCTCTTACTTGCAGCTACGACCGCGCAAAATCCATACCTCCCGCCCGGTGGCAACCCGCTCATTCCTGGAATGCCTGGTCTTAACGCCCACTCTTCCCACGGACAAACGCCGACCAGCGTCAAGCTTGTCAGGCCGCCCGAGTACTTCCCCGAATGGAAAGAAGTTGGGTTCGACGAGTCTGCATTTTTAGGCGCACAGGTTGCGGCAAAAGTCATCTTTGTGGTGGATCAAGGACAGAGCAAGGGCTACATGACGAGGCCAGACTATAACGATCAAGGACCCACAGGTATCCATGATTACAGCTTGTAATGCCATTCGTATACCCTGGGCTGGTGGAGTTCTGGATAAAAGGCAAAATTTGGCGCTTTGGAAAATGGACTCCTTCATGATGGGAAGAGAGTATCTCTCTAGCTGTAATAGCGGAAATTCATCAAGTCGACATGTTTTAAAGCGTGCTTTAGCATAGTCATCCTCGGTTTCCCCTGCGAAGCGCTGTGGTGGAGCATCGGCGAACGCCGGCCGGCGCAGACCGTTCTACGTCGACTTACCGAAAGTGGGTGCCTTGCTAGGCCATTCCTGTTACTATCGCCAAGTCCTTCATCGCTTCAAGTTATAATAAAGACGCAGGGAGGTCACAATGTGTCGCTCCTATCGCCGGTGACTGTCTTTGGGGAGGCGTCTGCAGATAAAGGGGGACTCGCAGTTACGCTCGCTGGTTTTGATAATATTCGATCGCTTGTCAGCAGCCGATCGTCACGAAAGCTGACCACGCAACAAGGAAGAGAAAGGTGGACTGAACGCAGCGTCCGAACGTCACTCTCTTTTATTTATCCTTTTCCCAGAATCGTTTTTTCATCTGAGCTTTCCGGCCAATCCCCAACAGCCGACATCTTCAATTGTCGGTCGGACTTCGGACCTCCTAGTCTAGCAGCCTCGGATTCTTCACGCCCAACCATGGCGGCCTCAAGTTCAATACCAAAGACCATATATCTGGGAACCTTCGTACACTGTGTGTCCCTCTCTGACCTCGAGATTGGGGAAAATGGTGCCATCGGCGTCGACGAGAATGGCATCATCAGATTTGTGGAGAAGGATACAGAGCTGGGCCACGTGCATGAGAAGCATCCAGACTGGAACAATGCAGAGGTCATTCACCTGAAAGGAAATGGATTTTATTTTCCTGGATTCATAGGTATGTCCCTTCTTCCACTCCAGATGGGCAGTATAGTTTTTAGATTCTTTGAGAATTTGGGTGTCACATGACTCGACATTCACCGCCCGGGTGTCTACCGAAGGCTCGCAATTCGCCAATTCATGCTAACGCACATTCAGATACCCATACACATGCCCCTCAACACCCCAATACCGGCCTCTTCGGGAAGACCACTCTCCTGGACTGGCTAGACACCTACACCTTCCCCATGGAAGCCTCCTTCTCCGATCTCTCGCGTGCCCAAACCATCTACTCGAACTTCGTCTCACGCACCCTATCACATGGCACGACGACCTGCGCCTACTATGCCACTGTTCATGTCCCTGCCACCAACCTTCTCGCCGACATTTGTCTCCAGCGCGGCCAGCGCGCCCTCGTCGGTCGCGTCTGTATGAACACGATGAGCCCAGAATACTACCGCGACCAGAGCATCGACTCGGCAATAGCTGACTCCAAAGCCTCCATTGATTATATACGATCGATCGACCCAACGGGAGACATTGTAAAACCGATCGTAACGCCCCGCTTTGCACCCTCCTGTACCTCTGACTGCCTTTCCGCCCTGGGCCAGCTCGCGAAAGAGACCGAAGCGCACATTCAAACCCATATTTCGGAGAATAAGAATGAGAATGCACTCGTGAAGGAGCTGTTCCCGGACTCCAAATCTTACACCGACGTCTACGACACCGCCGGGTTACTCACCCCAAAGACCATCCTGGCACACGGAGTCCATCTCTCGCAAGAAGAACGACAAGTAATCAAGGATCGAGGGGCCAAGATATCGCATTGCCCCGCCAGCAACACGGCCATCACTTCCGGATGCGCGCCGATACGCGAGTTCCTGGACATGGGTCTCACAGTGGGTCTGGGAACGGACGTCTCCGGTGGTTTCAGTCCTTCCATTCTCGAAGAATGCAGGCAGGCGATCTGGACGTCGCGATTCCGCGCTATGCACGACGGTGATGAAGCGAAACTTTCGACGCAGGAGGCGCTCTATTTAGCAACAAGGGGTGGTGCCGCGGTTGTAGGAATGGAAGATAGGGTGGGTGGGTTCGAAGTTGGAAAGGAATGGGATGCACAGATGATAAGGCTGGGGGAGGTAAAGGAAGGTGGAGATAGGGAGGGAAGGTTTGATGACGGTCCGGTTGATGTGTTTGGCTGGGAGAGCGCCGAGGATAGAGTGAATAAGTGGGTTTACAGCGGGGATGATAGGAACTGCGTGGCTGTCTGGGTTAAAGGGAGGTTGGTGCATAGGACAGCGAGGTTCCGTGACTGATGTGATGCGGGCTTGACTTAGATCTTTCGCCATTTTGATTTCGAAAGGTACATATAGACATGATAGATGTAGAGGGGACGTCACAAGCTCTTTTGGATAGACACCAGCGAAGGAACACTGTTCCCAAGACGTCAAGTTCTGTTTATTTCTCTCATCAACGTAGTGATTCTTCGCCACTACACTCGGATGTTAATATGGTTCCTGATGAATTTCGACACCTGAAGAAAGTTATCTATGGGGGGAAGCTCCATGATGACTTATGAGTGACGCAGAGTCTTGTTGACTGTTGACCCAGCTTCAAACCGCCCATCCGAACTTCGACAACACAAAATGGCAGAAAAGGTTATAATATTAACGGGAGCTTCAAGGGGTAGGTAATTGCCGTTTACTTGCTGCTACCATTTCCCTCCTGCTCTCTGGTTTGCGACCTCAAGGTGTCTCCCCACTTGCCCCTCATTCGTTCCTCGTCTCAGTGTCCCTCCCATTCGACATCCCCACAGTGCTCTCTGTACCTCAGTACCTTATTGAGTAAAATCGAATATTTCCATTCTCCTTACCATTAAAAGCAATAAAACATGTCATAAGTCTAACTCAAACCCCCAGGCATCGGCCAAGCCATAGCCCAGTACCTCCTCAGTCGCAACCACAAGCTCGTCGTCATCTCCCGCACCCTCTCAGCCCTCGATCAACTGCGTTCCCAGTATCCCGATCACGTCGAAGTCCTGGCGGGCGACCTGTCAGACCTCTCGCTGGGGCCCAAGGCCGTCGAATTGGCTGTCACGAGGTGGGACCGTCTCGATGGCGTGATCGTGAATCACGGGACTCTGAACCCTGTGAAGAAAGTTGCGGATAGTAGTGCTGAGGAGTGGAGGAAGAGCTTCGATGTCAATGTCTTTAGTGCGCTGTCGATTGTAAGTTGCTTTTGTTGTTTGGTTGTGTTATGGTTCCCTTCTCAATTCGGGCTTCAGGATACGCGTTGGATTTGATACACTGCCTGAAACCTGTTCGTTGCTCGATAGGAGATGCTTCTTGAACTGACCTTCTCTCAGATCACCCCGGCCATCCCCCACCTCCGCCGCACCCACGGCCGCATCATCCTCACCTCCTCGGGTGCCTCCCTAAATGCCTATCAAAGTTGGGGAGCATACGGGGCGAGCAAAGCCGTCCTCAACCACCTCGCGCTCACCCTGGCCGTGGAGGAACCCGACATCACCACCGTCTCGGTGCGACCGGGCGTCGTCGACACGGAGATGCAGCGCGAAATCCGGGAGAAGCACAGGGATGCCATGAGTGCGAAGGACGCCGAGAAGTTCGCGGGTCTGAAGAGTCGGGGGGTACTGTTGCGGCCCGAGCAGCCGGGGCATGTTATTGCGAGGTTGGCTGTGGAGGCAGCGAAGGAACTTAGTGGGAGGTTTGTGAATTGGAATGATGAGAGCTTGGGGCCGCTTCGGGGCGAGTGAGGACCTGGGGATGTTCTGTCCTGCCTGCGAGGACCCCAAGGCTATAATAGACTGATAGCATAGGCGTGACTTAAGATGCAACTAGTCTTAACGTAACATGAAATGGCGGATGCATGAACATGTCTGCTAAAGGTACGGTTTCGTAAGAACTAATATGTCGTTAAACGCCATGGATCTATCCTGCTTGAATCTGTGATGATAGAGTCATTTGCACTGGAGTTGCCCGGGAGATCTTATTCCACTCTGCGGCTTCTAGTATCCAGCAGATATTGGCGGTATTGCAGTCCGACTACTCTAAGCGAACTGCACCGTGAATTGCGTTACCCAGCGTATGCAGACAGTGGCACCGACGGTGGTTCTGCGCCCCTTTCCTAGCCCAGTCATCTTTTTGCATCTTCATATCTCCGACCTACACAACAGAGCCATCAGCCTCTGCTACAGTAATAGTATTTCGCGGATCGCTGGATGTCAAATGTAGCATTTATACAAGGCGTATTTCTCAGAATGCGTTCCCTTTGAAGTTTAGCGTGGTCGACGTCGTGAATGCGTGACGTCATCCCTTGTCTTCAGGAGATCAAGTCTACCATCGCAATATTGGGTAACAAACCTGTCTTTCTGACGTATATAAAAGATATCCACGATCCCAACCACAGTATTTCCGACATCACAAGATACACAGTAAAAAATACAACCAAATCCGAAACAACCACTCTTCAAAACCAACCATATCGACAACCATATATCCTAATCACATCATCACCACAACACAATGACGGGTCCAGGCGCACACGCAGGCAGCTCCATCGGCGACGCCGTCCGCAAAGGCGCCAACGTTATCCACGTACGTCCCCATCTATTCCCTTCGTACCAACCTGGACATCGCTAACGTCCCGTCAGGGCACCGGCGAAGCCCTCCGCGGTAATATCAACGCCGCCGTTGACAGCGCCGCGGGCGACCACCAGGCCGTGGCCCGTGACGAGGCCATTGCGGCTCGTGGCACGGACGAGATGGATCGGGGTCACCCGCGTCATCACCATCCCGGGACTGGAACGTCTGGGGTTTCGGGCAGCAGCACGGGGACGGGCTTGGATACGCAGAGAGGAGGGTCGCATGCGACGGGGTTGACGGGGGCGAGGGATTTCGGGAGTGGAACGGGGGGCGTGGGGGAAAGACGGGTTTGAGAGGCAAAGGATTGAAGGGTTTGTTACCGAGATTGAAGGATGAGGGTGGGAGTTGGGCAGGAAGAAACTTGGGATACCAATCTATCGTTTTGTGTGATGCTTCGTTGATGTACAGTGATTGTCCCTCATTTGATTATGCGCAGTCACGCCTCTTCTTCTACCGGCTCGGTCTAGGGAAAACCACAATTCATGGTTAGGATCACTTGGGTAACCGAGAAATATGTAGAAGGGGGGTTCAAATTTCTTTGCTATCTTGAATTCAATAGACATTATCGGCCCTGGCCGGAACCGTGTATCTACAGAGCTTTATGCCGCAGAGCGATATAACATGCCAGATGCTCGCTCGCAAGCCTCATAACAGAAGCATATATCTAGACCGTAGAGAGCCCCAACTCCCACGCTCGTGCACAAAAAAATCACTAATACTTGCACCTTCCTTACCCCCTCCTCAAACCACTCCAGTCCCTCTCTCATCACACCAGCCCGCAAACACCCGCTCACTCCTCCTCACTCCAGTACTCCCCCTCCGCCGGTACCTTCTGACACCCACACGGCCACAAATGCCCCGTCCTGTACCCATAGTACTTGCTCTCAAACTCCCCCTTACCCAACCTCATCGAATCCCCAGGCTCAATCTGATGACCCACCACTGTCACCAAATCCGGATCCCCCTCCCAGCTCCACTTACTCTTCCCATATTCGTACCCATGCCTCCCCGGCTTCAGATACGGTCGCTGCCTCCGCGTCACCGGTGCAGGTTTCCCGTAATCCGGCTTGGAAACGAGGTCAGAGTACGGGATAACCATCTGCACCACCGCGCGATCGCTCAGGGCATGAATGAGAGCCACTTCCCTCGTTTCAGGGAGATCGATGGCGTACGCATACTTATCCACATCGTTGGGATCCAGGTCCAGCAGGGGAACTAAGGGGTGCGGGTTTCCAAGTCCCCAGTCATCGGCTTCGCTGTGCCTTTTTACCGTCTCCATCGTGAAGCCGTTGGCCAGCGCCCAGTTGATGCGTTGTTGGCGTTGCAGCTCTGCTTCGCAATCCTCCTCTTCGATTTGTTTGTGGATTTGCAAGGCTAGGAGGGCGTCGAGCTCGTCGTCGTCGGATTCCTCGTCGCGTTCGCGAGGCTCGTGAACGGCATGTTTCCCAGGGTTGTAAGGGCTAGGGGGTTGAGCAGCAGTGGCGGAAGCGTGTTTCTGGTTCTTCTTCTTCGGCGGCTGCTTCTTTGAGATGAAGTTCTCTGGCCTTTTGGCGGCCGTGGGTTTGGTGGGCGGTGCCATGGTGTGCGAACTGATATCGGTGCCTTCCTCATGGTTCGGATTCGCGATATGGTTCTGCGAAGAAGAAAGGGACTTTCCCGTACCCCGGCCATCACCTGAAGCCATCTTCTGCCTCGCTGGCGTCGAACTAGAACCATTCGTCGACGTCGGTCGGGTATCCGTCTGGCAATGCACCCCTATCTCCTTCGTCAGCGCACCTATGGACGAGCACCGACAAGGCGCCATGACAAACTCACCCTCCGGAGTACTCTTCCCTCCATCGCCAACTGCTCCACTTCCCACAGCACCGCCCCCCAAAGCCATCGCCTCAACCCCCGCAATCCAAACAGCCAGGTCCCTCTTCTTGAGCCCCACCCCAACCAACACCTCCCTCTCCCGCTTCCCCGCGTACTGCTCTACAACCTCCAATAACTTATCCCTAGAGAGCTTGGCCTCCAGACTCAGCACACCCCTTGGCATCCTCCGCCGGCCGTTGGGCTGCAAGAGCGGCACGCGGACCTGGACACCATTGTAGGTGAATGTATTTGTTCTTGCAGCCGCAGCAGCAGGTCCTGATGCCGATACTTTGGCGAGCGGGGCGCTAGACGCCAGTGCTCTGGTAGATGCACTTCCCGCGGCGGTGGGAACATTGCGAGCCCTCTTCTGCTTCTTCACGGGTCGCTGGAGAGCTTGTTCAACGGCCGAGGGATCCAGGATCTCGGTTTGCCGTTTGAGGGCGTTGGTGGTGTCCATCTTTCAAGATACGTTACCGTCAAGGGGTTCGGTGGGGATTGTGATGTTGAATGATGGTGTAGATGGAGGGGTACGACGGAGTCGTATATGGGGGTTTTGCAGCGAGTGTGGATTTGTGGGAGAGGGCCCTGGAGATGCGGGAAACAGGAGTAATGTATGAATGATGGGAAAGATTGGCCGCCGGGCTCGTGAAACGGGTCTATTTCTTGGAAAAACGGCCGTCCGTCACCTAGATGCACATGCGATCTAGAAACCATGTGCGAGGATAGTGGGACGGGGAGAGGAGTGTTCCGCCAGAAAGAGGACAAGGAAAGCAACAGTAACGACAAATGAGACAAGGAGACAAAGGAACAAAGCCGCGCTGCTAAAAGGACCGAGATCGAAGCAGCTACATAGGGCTAGATATAACATAGAAGGTGGAACAATGCGCGCTGATGAGACAATAGGACAATGCCACAGACAAGACAATAGTAACCTCGTCGCTCGAAGCCAGATAATGGAACAACACCTCAATCAAGCTCAACAGCACAATACCGGCAATAACACAATAATGGAACGATCAACCTCACAAAATCCACGATACAATGATACCACGAGTGTCAGGACGCCCACCTCACCTGGCAACTCCAACACTGGCCTTCCTCTAACTCTTCCTCCCTCTCTTCCCCCCCGCCATCCCCGGGGGGGCACATGCCCACACTCGCCCGGTACTCGATCCGGTCCTTCACGTAATGGGGGAACAGTGTCTTCTTATACCTCGACCCGGCCCTTCCTAGCCTCAAGCATGTGCTTTGGACGCGCACGCTGGGGTGACGCAAGATGACTCACGTAACGGACCACCCAACGGACCACCCACGATCAGCACACCCTATGTGGGAGGATCACCACTGCATCGGTGAGACCTCGCTGATGGAAATGTAAAGCTCGGCAAGTTTACGTATGCTTCGATCGATCTTTCACTCACTGCTAGCGGCACCTAGTGGAGTGGCCAATCAGATTACCAGTCGCTAAGGGTATTACACACGTCTTTACGCCCTTCGCAAGCAGGACGCACCTTCACAAGGTCACATCCCCACCACGCATACGATGAATTACTGAACTCTTCATATTAACCATGTACCTACGTAATGCACACCAACGCCGGGCACCCACTGAAAAGGTTCCTAGCCAGCTCCAGTGAAAGCCATTCTATGTGCAAGAGAACCCCAACCACGTCCATGAGGAAATACCGTTTTCGTCGTCATAATGTTACAGGAACCGTCCTCGTCTCCCTCACTTCCCTCGTTCGCGACTCTCGTGCGGCTACACGTCCTTACCAATTCTCATGGTTCATGACCCCGTAATGACGTCGTCATCTGCTCCATTGATGTCCTGATGCACCTTCAGAGTGCCAGGAGATGATGAATGCCGACTCATCATCTCCGTCCTATGGCGCTTACAATTCTTCCTTAGCACGGTCGGTAGCCTTCTTCGCGCTCTCAGCAGCAGCATCGTAGCCCTTCTTCGCAGACTTGGAGGCCGCGGCCGAGGCGCTGGAGGCGGACTTGGAGAGAGAGGCAGAAGCGCTATGGGCGCTCTTAGACGCAGCAGCGCTGGCAGAGCTGGCACTAGCCTGGGCGTAGTCGGTAGCCATGCCCAGCTTAGCCTTGATCCAGTTGGTGTATCCGTGGAATCCCTCCGTGGCCTGAGCATACTGGTTACCGGCCTTGGAGGTGGCGGCGCCATAAGCACTGGTGACAGTGGCAGAGATGTTGTCACCATAGAGACGAGCGCGGTGCTTGCGAGCGAGAGCAAGGAGTTCATTGCGCTTGGAGCCCTGGGGAACCTTGATGCCGTTCTTGTCGGCCCATTCTTTGATCTGGCTGTCGGACCAAGAGTCGAGCAGGGCGTCACTTAGGCTTTGCTGAGCATTGGCGGCGGACTTGGAGGCAGCGGCGTAGGCAGCCTGGGCATTCAAGCTGGCAATGCGGGCATTGCGACGAACGGAGGCAACGAGCTTGTCACGGGAAGATGGCTGGGGCACGGGGATTCCACGCTCATCCAACCACGCCTTCAGGTCAGAGTCGGACCAGGTTTCATAGAGCCAATCCCCGGGGTAATGAGCAGTCTGGGAGACCTTGTTGGCGACTGTCTGGTAGTTTTCACGGACTGAACGGAGCAGGGTGTCACGTTTCCGCGGCTGAGGGACAGGAATGCCATGTCTATCGGCGAACGCCTTGAGTTGCGACTCGGTCCAACTACTCGTGTCAGTACAGAGAAAGATGCAGCGGAGTGGGGAAGCTCACGTGTCAAAAATCCAGTCACGAACGTTACTATAAGCCTGATTCGCCGACTCCTCGGTCTCAGTCCAGTACTGCTTCACCTGCTCAACCAGGCTTTGCTTGTTCTTCTCAGCACCCTCCTTGGCCTGGTAGCCCTTGAGAGTGAGGTAATTCTGTAGCGTCTTTGCATCCCAGCTGTGGTAGGGCTGGACGACCTTGTCGTTCCAGTGTTCCTTGACAAGGTTCTCCAGCTCCTTGCGGTCGGCGGCCTTGGGGTGGGGAACGTTGTGGTCGGTGAGCCAGCGGTCGAGCTCCGTCTCATGCCACTTGTTGTAAACTGGCTTGCCTGTTAGCGTCAGAACTGCAAAGGGTGATGACCCCAGCGTAGTACTCACCTGGATTGCCAAACCAATTGCTAGCAACGGTGCCCTGGGCGGCGAGGGCCACCACCGTGATGGAGGCGAATGAGAACCTCATCTTTTTGATGTGAAGAAGCAATTTGGAATAATATCGGCTAGATGAAGAGCAGGGGAGGCAGATGAAGAGCGGTGGTGGGAAGATTGGGAGGGGAGAGTTGCAGTTGCAGGTGCAGCCTTGGGTTATAAGAGGGAAGAGGAGGGGAGGGACTGGTGGGACAAAGGTTGTGCTTAGCTTAGCTAGTGACGTAGCTATGCGCGAGCTGCACGACAAACAAGCCTGGAGTTCAAGTATGCGGGAGACGCAGCCAATCAAAGGCGGAATGGAGCATAATCTCTTGACGGTCGACGGATTTTTCAGAAACGGCCGCCTTTTTGGACGATGGATTGAGCGGAGCTCACCTTCACCACCTACGTCATACCGCCGAGCAAGTGAGATTTCACCATCACATAAGGCTAACCACAGTATTCACAGAAGGCGTTAACGAGAGAAGTAGCGACTCGTAGAATATTGACTTGGGAGCCGTAGGCAGCGCCGCGCATAGTGTACAAGTAAAAGAGACATACATAGGATCATTGACGGAATTCGTGCTGTCTAACGCCTGCAACGCTTGTCCAAACAGAAGGCCATGCCGAATACCATACTACACAGTTACACCAGATGCAAACAAGCAGACCATCTCCTGTTATTTCCCATCCCCTCATGGCTCCCTATCCCGTCCTCCGTGCCCTATTTCCATATTAGCCATCCATACTTGAAAGTCTCGCCATCATACGTACCAGCCCAAAAGTCCTTGGACACTTTATCACTCTGGGCGTCCTCATTCTTGACCTGCTCATGCGCCTTCTCAGCCCTAGTATCCATCTCCTCGTTATGCTTCCTCACACTCGCATCCTTCTCGCCGGGGGGATTCTCATTCAGGATCTTGGGCCCGGGCTCCTTACCTCCATGCTCGCTCTTCCATTTCTCGGCGGCTTCGCTCTTCCCGCTCTTGGATGTTGATGACGCAGGCTTTGTCTGCGTCGACGAAGAAGAAGACGACTGTGATTGCGACTGCGACTGTGACTCCGACCCGGGATTCTCATCTGGCGACGACTGGCTCCTCCCCTGCGCCACCTTCGGAGGCGGAGGCCCAGGATGCTCAAGCTCCTCAGACGGCAGCTTCCCTTGCTTCTCCGGGTGCTCGCTCACGGGATTGCCTTTGCCGTCACCGTAGCCCTGGGCGAAGCGCTTCTGGAGGCATGCTCGTGGTGCCGTGGTGGCGAGGGCCGGTCTCAGCCGTGCAGGAGCTCGAAACACGGTCGATGGGCGAAGGAGGGACATTGCAATGAGAGATTGAGAGTTTTTGGATACGATCGGATGGTTTGATGAGGGTACTGTGTACTTGTAGAGGAAAACGATAGAGTCAATGTTTGGGCAAAACTTCGTTGGCTAGCCGCAAGAGCTCACCAAAGCTTTGGCTCTATGACGTCATGATTGCATCTGCTTACTGTGCATCAGATGCCAAGCAACATGCATGGCCATAGCTTCACTGCATCCCGTCCCGTGCGGGGAGCAGCCATCACATCCAGCTACACTGTGATCCGTACATGCCGACCCCGTCTCAATAATATGTGTACACCACGAGAGACAACCACTGCCGGAAAGGGTATATACTTGTAGAGTACATCTCCTGATGCCGGTCACCAGGAGTTGAAGGTTCCAGCTTCCCATGACCGCCCGGCGGCACAGTGAAACTCTCTTTTGTCCAGCCCTAATTGCCTGGACAAACCAATGGTATATGGCCCCATCATCGTCATTATCATAACTCGTTTATCGGTCGTACATCTGGCACGTTCGTAGTTCGTAGTTCGTCTGGCCGTTTCTCACGCACAGCATATACACCTCCTTTGTCATGGAATGCCCACCATGGGTCCCTCGACCTCCCACTCGTCGACTTCGACGTCCTGAGGTGCGGTTTGAACGGCTTCATAATCCGTCTGTACATATCGCACCCACGTCCCAACTCTGTTATGCCCACGCTTGCTACCGTCGCGATCCAACCCGGCCATGGTTGACGCCTGCACAGCCGGCACCGAGCGCACCCTCACATGGCGAGAAGGTTCCTGCGGTCCCGACCTGCGAGCAGCTGCTCTTGCCGCTGACACAGCCAGGGGACGCGCAGAATACGAAGCCCTCCGCTGCACCGGTGCGGATGGGGTGTGCTGCGGAGCTGAGTACGCAATCGGGCGTGGCGCAAAGTATCGAAATTGATAGGAATCGTTCATATGATGGCCGGCGGCGTTTCCCAGGCCGTTGACATGGACGGCTGGATCGCTCGAGCGCATAGCTCTCGGTGTTGGAGAGCGTTGTTCGAGCTCCAGCTGGGCATGCAAGGTCGCCCTAAGCGCATCTTCGGTCTGTGCTAATTCAGTCTGGGTAGCTCTCTGCAAAGGAGGAGGGCCCCGGCGAGGTCGCAGGGCTAATGGCTGGGCTAGGAATGCTTCCATGTGTGTCGGCGCTTGTGCTTGGTTCCGAGGGGCCTGCGGCTCAACGTAGTTGTAGTTGTCCTCAATATGCTCATGATTGAACCATGGACAGTCGCAAGTCCTCCATTTTTTGGCACAGCGCATGCAAAATTCCGCCTTACAAATGCTACATCAGATTAAGCGTTTGTTGCCAGGAGAAACAGCACACATGGAGCTTACCAGGTCATATGGTTACAGCCATCCTTCAGCTCGACCATGTTCTTGCAGTTGTAGCATCTTTGCCAGCCCTTCTCCTTTGCCATTCGATTCACTTCGTCAACTTCGAGGTCGACAGAGCACCTTGTTCGATGGAATTTCCTGTTACACTTGGCGCACACGTGGGTGTGGCAGTAGTCACAGCGGGCGTACTTTCTTCCCGTCATATCCTTCTTGATCTTCGATGGTTCGATCCACTCGCCGCATCCCTTGTTTGGGCAGTATATTCTATCCGAGGTGGAGAATTCTTTCAACTTCCTGTTCCAGGTGGCTTTGAACTGGTCATCGAAGAGATGTTCTACATGCTTCATAGGAATGGCCGCAGAGGTACAGCACTTCGGCGGCATAAGCTCAGGTTTCGTCAAAGAGAGCGTGAAGACACGCCTCAAACAGGACCGACACATATAGTGGCCGCACTTCAGCTTGGCTGCTTTTCTCGCAGGTATATCGTCGCTCCTGCAAGCTATACATTCGATATTGTGAGAACTGTGAGAAGGTTAGGACAAGCAAAACTCCACGTATGGCGACAACCTGCCTGGGCGCGTCCCTATGCAGCGTATTGCTAGTGATTCGCGGGGGAGGTCCAAATAGGGTGGCAAGGAACCCACCCGTGCTTCTTCTTTGCACCTGCTCTTTTGATGAGCGATGGTGAGTCGGTGAGGGGGCGACCGGCGCAGGGCGCAATCGGACAGTGTTGCTCCGTCGAACAGATGGTCTTACAGCCATGTAAGCTCTCGTGGTTTCCCTCGTAGACTTACTCCTGCGCTTGTTAGCGAATCCGGACACCATAACCAAGCACCGGCCGGTCCTGCTATCCTGCATACCTCGTGGGTTTCGAAGCCTGTGCCGTGTGAGGAGAAGGGGACCTTGAGCCCGAAAGTGGTGATTGCACTGTTCGGCTGGAGGAGCCTTCTCCATTGCTTCTCCTCTTCGCCGAGGATCGCCTTGTAGTCCCCTCTTCGATGAAGGCCTCTGACTGCGGCGCGCCGTAGACATAATCGTCGCTAGGTCGATGCTGGACAAGATCCCTCCTCTTCTCTCGACGCATTCCCTCTCGCCTTGGTTCGCGGTGGCCATTCCGTGATACAGCCCGCCGTTCCGTCGTCCGATTTTGTGTCATGCGTTGAGACTCGCGTCGCCTCTCGAGTTCGGCGGAATAGTAAGCCTGTCTGCCACTTTGAAGTTCCTCAACGTCCACCTCGGAAGATCGTCTCGACAGATGTCTAGAGAGCCGCTCTCTCCGCTCACGCACAAAGGTGGGGTATCCGTCGCCACTGTCGTCGTAGCGCTTTCTCTGGCGACGTCGGTGTCTTCGATCAGGGTCAGGCTCGTCGTCGGAGCGATGGTGAGTATGGTGTCTGGGGCTCGGCGACACCCCATTGCCGGCCATGCCGGGGGGAGTGGTGTGCGAAATAGTCCAGTCGGTCGGGGGGCTGGTGGCGTGGCGCGCCTCAGGCAGCGGTGCAGGAGGGCGTTAAAGGGGATCGAAGTCTTGAGTTGTGGAGCTCGGTAAGTGGACGAAGGGTGTGCCACGGGTAGGAGCAGCAGCCTGCAGGCAGTCGGCCTGTGGGCGGCCGATTTTATGAGCCAGCCCCCAAGATTGAGAGTGCGATCAAAAGTACTACTTGTAAGTACACAGTAGTAGTGGAGCGGGCGGTGAGGAGGACGATGGTGGAGCGTCGATGGCCTCGGCGCCGGCCGATGGATGGCACGGATTCGCAGCCGATCAGGGCGCGATGCGGTTTGTTGGAGAAGCCGAGAAGGGTCGTTGGCGGACGCTGATAATATTATAGCATACAGTATAACACAGTACTGTGGACCGTGGTAGTCTAGTAAGCGGGACTGTGAGCATCCATCTTGCCATGTGCCTCTTGGAGTTGAACCCATCGGCGGTCGTGTGCCAGCTGGTCTCATCTATCGCACGGCGGCGGGTGATTGCATGTCACGACCACATACACATTGCCCAACTGCGCCTGCACATGTGCAACCACCGTTCACAGCTGCCCGTCTGATGCCCAGTGAAGACCGGCCGAAACATGTCGAACGCTCTGGCGAAGCAAGCAGGCTCATCGTTGGTCCAGCACCAGCACTGTGTGTACTTCTATCCATCGCCTTGCCTGGGAGTACGAGACGAGGGGCGCCTCTGGCCATATATGCCCAGACGTAAAGCGAGCGACGAAACGTGCATTTTCAGTCCTTCTCCATCACCAGCTGCGTCGACACCTCCCACTTCTGCCCTCCGCTGCCGTATCCTCCACCGAGCCGGTTGCGAACCATGCTTCCAATGCGATCTCGAAGTCGTCCCATCTCCTCCACGCTCCGCACTCTCAGCTTCAGATTGGCCTGGCACAATCCATAATGCACCTGCCAGAACTTGGCCTCCTCAACTCCGCTCACGGCCGGATCCGTGGCAATATCATACAGAACGTCCGAGACCCCAGGCCCCGAATAGGACATCATAAGCATCTTGCCCAAGGTCCAGCCTTGGATCCATCCAAGCGCAACCATCGCAATGGCCACGGAGAAGGAGAGGGTGCGGTCCAGCCAGACGTACATCTGGATGCTGAGCAGCGGAAGCAGCAGGAGAAGGGCCGAGCAGGACAACGTGAGGAAATGCGACGGGTTGCTGAGAATCGAGGGCAGCGTCGCGATGGCGCTCAATCGCATCACCTTACCTATGCGCGAGTGATTCTTGAGGAGAATCGCCGAGACCAGGGTCGATACAATCCCACTGAGAGCCGCGAGGTCAATACTGCCTGGCGACACACGCTCGTGTGCTTTCCCGTGGTGCGCGTGGTGGCCCCCTTTATCCTCCAGCGCGTGCGTCAGGCCATGCGAGATAAGGTCCAATCCCATGAAGAGAAGCCCGACGGACATGCCCAATCCTGCAAGTACTTCGGAACGCTCGAAGCCGAAGGGGTGGCGAATCGTCGAACGCTTCCAGACTTCAAAGTTTGAACCGACGTCCACCGCAACGCACAGAAATGCGCCTAGTGCATCATAGAACAGGAGCCGTGAAAGGATTGTGAGTGCAAGAGATTCATGTGCGCCCCATTGCACCAGCCCTGCTACGAGTAGGTGACAGCAGCACCATCCTAGCCTCAATCTCTGTTCCCTAGACATGCTCGACCGATATTCCTTGAACGTTGGCATGGGAAGCGATGCAGGAAGTTGCAGAGGTGCACGCGGCGGCGGTTCGAGAAAGATCTGATGTGATACGCTACTGTGCCTGTACTTGTGTCCACGCCTTCGTCCGAGATCCTGCCATACTCAGCATATGCATTGATACTGAGTTGAATTGCTTTCGCTTACCGACTTGTTTGTCTGCGGTCTGCCAGGCATGTACTGGACAGATTGAAAGTTGAATGGATTGCGTGCATTCTCGGAGCTGGTCAACGATGCTGCTTCGTTTTCGCTTGTCCCGCTGAAGGCACTTGCGGGCGTGTAGGGGAATGATGCGCTCGACGGACTGAATGCGGTATTGGGTGTCGCCCGCTGCGAGACCGAGTCATTGGGCGCCAATGTGCCATATCGCTCGGACGGAAAGTTGGCAGACATGGGAGACAGCGCTTTGGGGTTGAAGCCGAGCCGTACTGGTGAAAGCGATCCCTCTAAGAAACCAAGGCCGACTGTATCGTCGCGCTCGTCAGGAGGTGGAGTCGGGGTTCGGGGAGGGATAGGGAGTGGCATTGTGGAAGCCATGACGTGTAGCGCAAAGGAGCGACTGTAAGGAACGACAGCTACGAATAAGACATCCGCAAAGAAAGAAAATGAGCGAATTGAGGGCAGAAGACTCGGAGAGCGCGGCGACTATGATGTCGATTGTCGCTGGGGCCGACTGGCCGAACTAAGGCTAGCGGCATTTCGAGAATACTGATTTGATAAGCCATTGCTTGGCATGTCGGAACTTCGTCGTCTCAAGAGCACATCTATCTTTCGCTAGAGCGCAGTGTTAGACTCAATAATGGAGATTTAACAAGTACTTGCACGCTGGAAAGCGGCTCCCTTCGCCTACAGCTTCCCGTGCATGGCTCGTTTCATTTGTTGACAAACTATGGACAATGGGCAACGCGAAGGTTCTCATCAGGAGGAGGACTGCTTGCGCTCGACGGCAAATGAAAGAGAAGGCTCCAGCAGAAATACGAGCCATGGCGGACACAAGCGAAGCATATCAGGCACGCTTCTGGAAAGCCTTTCGTTCTTGAAGTCCTCTGCAATGAGCGGTACCTCATCATCTGCTCGGACCGACGATCAAGAACATGGCGTCGAAGAGATTAGCGGCATACGGCGAGGGTCCTCGATGACGCAGGCCGTCCGCCAAACCCAGGGTCGAAAGAGGAAGGGATCATTAAGGAAGACAGCGATACTCGGCACAGGCAAGCTGCTACGAGAGCGCCGCCTTTCCCTTCGTGCTGCCCCGAAACCCATTTCCGTTGACACCACGACAAGCCCCTCTTCCCCCCAGGCTGACGGAGACACCACCCCTCGCCGCTTTACTTACGAGGATACCTCGCTGAGCTCGTCTTCCGACAGCCTGTGGTTGCCTCCGGCGAGAATTCCTGTTCCTGCAGGCACCGCAGGTCCCACGGGTGAGGGGCACTTGGACTCGACAACACCACGTGCAGATGGTCACCGGGTGGTTAACCCCATCGGTCCTTACGCTTCCACCACAGACGATGATGAAGGTTTGACTTTCTTCCGTCCTACCGTCGCAACTACCGTGAGCTCCTCCTTTTCTGCTGTCCCAGGACACTCGAGCTCAACCCCGTCACTGCAAAGACGGAGATCAAACCGAGCCAACCAGCTCCCATCCTTGGCCATCACCCATACACCGCCAGAAATTGCACCAGACGAGGAGTGGGACTACAGCGAGACCGAATGGTGGGGGTGGGTGGTGCTCGTAGTCACTTGGCTTGTGTTTGTTGTGGGAATGGGCTCCTGTCTCGGAGTCTGGAGCTGGGCCTGGGATGTTGGGGAGACGCCATACGCGCCACCTGAACTGGAGGACGACCCCACGCTGCCAATCACGGGATACTATCCGGCATTGATGGTATGTACAGCGGTGATGGCTTGGGTATGGGTTATCGTTGCTTGGGTGGGCATGAAGTACTTCAGACATGCCAAAGATGGGTAGCGGCATCATGGTTCCCCTCGAGTAGGTGTCCTGTTTCTATATTTGCTGCGCCGTTGCTTTAACATCGGTCGTTATAGCCAATAAGATTCATGTCTGAAACCTTAAGCCATATCGTCTCTGTTAATGCGATTACATCTCCACTAAACGGTTTCTAGGGGCATGCGGGCTTTTCAAATTCTTCGGACAGGATCAATGGTAATAAGAAGGGAACACTTCCATTCCAGCGTCGAAGGCCGGCGGCCGTTCGTCGATCCTCCCGACTGTCCTCCTCCACCTGAAGCACGGACCCTCGGAAGCTGGTGGTTGCGAGACCTTCAATTACAATGGCACGACACCCAAGGCGGACTCATAGTGTTTCCGGGCCGCCTTCTGCGCACTGCGTTCTTAAAGATGTTTCTTGCTGTTGTAATATGGGCAAGGTAAGATAGCAGTCCAATCTCAAAAACCCCACCATGCCACGAAGCTCTAACAAACTCCCAGATTCACCAATTTTACATGTCTGTGATGGCTTTGCGACGGAACCCGCAACGCAAATGCAAGAAGGAGGACGAGCAGTGCAACTCTGGCACTATCTCAGACGCTAAACCAGATCGGATAGGGCATCCAAGTTTACCTCTTAATCCTCTGTGAGTTTTTGGAGAAACAGCACTCACTGTTGCATTCGGCTCATCAGCTAAAGGAGCGGTTTAAGTCGTCCCACGCCGTCGCGTATGAACCAGAGGGGGTTGTCCGGGCAATTCCGCTTCTGCGACCTGCCTCGGGAAGTCCGTGATCATGTGTACTCTTATCTTGTCGTCCGTCGGGGGAAGAAGCTGCCCATTTTCGAATCGAGGGCCATCTTGCGTGCTGAAAAGAAACGAGCCATAGCCACACGGAATCGCGAAAGGTTGAACCAGAAGAGACTGCAAAATGGGAGGCGTCCCATATCAGCTCGAGAGCACGCTTCCGACTGCCTCGTCCACCTCAACGTTCTTCAGACTTCCCGACAGCTCCACCTGGAAGGTACGGACCATTTGTACCAGAGCAATTGGTTCGCGATTTCTCTAGACAGCTTTCCAGCCACGACCATTGAAATTCCCTCAGGCTGGCATCCCTCACGGATAACGAAGATGCAATTGGAGTTACAGCTCAAAGACACGCAAAGAATGAATAGCTATGTGGACTGGGGAACCTTCTTTTCTTCTTTTCCATCGCTGAGGTTCGTCCACATCATTCCCACATTCCATCCCCGCTACTACGACTGGGCTCGCACTGAATTGACAACCTGGGCCACCGCGCACTACATTTTTCGTGCATTTTTCCGGGAGCTGCTTGCGTCAATCCCGGTGTCAATCTGCCTCAAACTGGGGCCCTCCTTGGACCCCGAAGAAAATATGCAGCTGGAAGGCCGGGGTCATGTGTCAAGGAAGATACTTGAGGATATGTATGCCGAGGTGGGAATGCGACGTGGGGTTTATGGCGGCTATCTCCCAGTGAATAGGGTAGTGGAATGCAGACGGGTCTCAGCAGAGTAGCTGTCAACGGTCATGGAATAATAAATGGACTTATCATAGTCGCATATATAAGCTCTATATAACCTCAATAACCTGGTGTTCCACCATCGTAATACCCGTGTCGCCCTTGCTGCATCATTAGGCAGCATTCGTGAACGTAGGTTCAACCCGTGGGCATATTTTGTGCTGAGGTTGCCTCTCGATTCACCAGTTTGCGTACCTGCAACGAGCCTGCTAAACACATTAGTGAACATCGGATAATCGTGGATTGTTATCCTAAGTTGGGCTTATTTCTCGGCCTGTAATAGTACACCGTGCACGATATAATAGATAGTGTTTACTATGCGCATAGATGCAGTGTGCATGAACTCCTTCACCGACATGAAACCACAAAAGAAACGAGATAATTCTGCTTTTGGAATGACTATTTCTCCGCAACTCTGTGGAATGAGGTGTCGATTCGTCATTGCCTGTTGACAATTGATATGCGTTTCCCTCCGGTTGTTTTTGACGCTGAAGGCAATCGAATACATCGGAATTTGGAATGGCCATGAGCAGCGCCGATTGCTTGTGAGTTACGTGAATCCTAGAAAGGAGTAGACCTATAGGCAATAATATGTCCTATACTCCGTATCCTCCGCTAATTATGCAATAGTGGTGCATGATTATAGCTGAGCTTTATTGCCCAAACGGGCTAGCTCGCGGGACTTCTCCGAAGAGCCGTCCAACCTGCCTCCCGTCAAACGACAACACCAATCCATGGCTCCCGCCTCTCACACACAGCGAACGCCCCACAGATACTGCAGACCGCATGATGCAGTTCTCACCACTCGCAAACCCCCTAGCGACAGTGGCACAGCTCGAAACGTCCGGTTCGCAGCTTGACGGTGTCCCATCCGACCTCGAGGACTCGGTTCGCTTTGCAGGTGCTAGGCTCACGCAGGCCGCGGGGATTCTGCTGCGTCTGCCACAGGAAGTAATTGCTCAGGCCATTGTCATTTTCACCAGGTTTTGGGTCGGGCCTGAGGGTGGGAGTCTAGCGGAGCATGATGCTGAGGTTCGTTTGGGAGACTCTTTTTGTATGCGGTGAGACTGACAACCGCATAGCAAGTCTCTGCCAGCTCGTTGTATCTCGTCTCGAAGCTCTCCGCTTTCCAGAGATCCGCGCGGAGTGTGGTAAATGTCTACGCCTACCTTCACTCCTTGCCGTTCACGTTCATTGATCTGGATCAATTGCACGAGAAGAAAGATGCGCAAGAATACTATGTCACAGAGGGCACATACCAACTGCGAAAGAAGGCACTTTTCGACATGGAACAGCGCATACTGAAGATTCTCGGGTTTCGGTTACAAGTCGCGCTGCCGTATACGCTCTGCATCACATACCTCCAAGCCCTCGACGTCTTTGGACATCCTCGCGCGTCGGAGCTCGCGAAGCGAGCTGTCGCCTACCTCAACACGGCGCTGCTCAGCCCTCAACTTCTATATCTTACTCACCAACCACCTTCCCTGGCAACTGCGGCGATTTACCTTGCTGCGAAAGACGTTGGTATTAAGTTGCCCGATGTGGAATGGTGGGAGGTCTTCGATACTGATCGAGAAGAACTCGGGTTCCTTGTCGTTGGCCTGCTCAGTGTGGGGAGCTTTGCGGCCGCGGAAAAGGAGAAATGGGGTGATGTGAAGATTCCATTGACGGTGGATGCGCTAGAGGCTGTGATCAATGCAAGAGATGTGGACGGGACGCACGAGACATGAGCGGTGCAGATTCTCTCGGGAAGAATGGTATGCAAAGCCACCCGGACGCCCCTTCGGCGAAGGGACCAGGCGCCTTCAGAACATGTTGCGGGGCTCCGGATAGCGACGATTAAGGTACTCGGCTTGTTGCGAATCACCTTTGCATGTTTTTTCCTAGGCATCCACGGCCCAGTAATCACCGGTTTTGTCGCTATGGCTTCCGAGACTTTGTCCGACGATTGCGAGACGCCCTGTTTGCACACATTACTCGCACGTGACAATGCTAAGTCGGACAGTCTTACGGGAACACAGTGCACACTGACTGCACAATGTCATTGTATAGTATTGTCTCGGGAATACTTAGATCTTCGCGAAGGCGCACCTTCCAAATCTCCCCACGTCACACACCGCCACGGAGCAAACGACGGCACCGGCTTTTGAAGAAGAACCACTTCTCAGAATAACAATGGATACCTCAGCACGCCCGCAAGTTAGGGTTATAGGTGCCTCCCGGAACCCGGAATACAATATCAATTCTGGTACGAAACGCTTCGCTCGACGTGAAGACGGTGGTCGGATAGCGCCGGTGTCTCAGCTCAACACGTATACTGGCCGTGCGCTTGCAAACTGCGCACCCAGTCAACCACCCCAAGGGAATGCGTTCTCTCGACGGAGCGATCCCCCGCCCCAAGGACGTCAGGCTCGCCCTGCTGGCGACGTTCCAAAGGGCAAGCCCATGCTCAATAGGGGAGTCTCCAACAAAATCTCAGATCGTGAACGCCTACCTTCGCAACGACCACGTACGGAGCTCTCTCAACTCTTGGGTATGACGCGAGGCAGCTCGCGAAAAGGGACCACTCAGGGTCGGTCGAGCTCCGGAATAGGTCCCCCTCCAAGCGCTGCATGCAGCAAATGCGAACGATGGGGAACTGTGGATTTCCTTCGACCATCAAGTGACGAGAGCCAGGTCTGCAACTCATGTCACCGCTTCCTCCCGGGGCCGCAATTGACCGCACTGGATGGTGCTTCCGGTAGACCCAGGCAGACAGGAATGGACCCCGTCCCTCCGTCGAAGTACCCCACCGGGCTTATCTGCGCAACTTGCGTCAGCATTCCCGGATACCTCTATCAAGAGTACCTCCAGTTCTTTCCCAAATGCCCTTGCTGCGGTCACATGACAGACATGACATTGAGCGACCTCATCGCCAACGAAAGAGAAGTCAACGGACTGAGAGACGAAAATGGCAAGCGAGTGTCTGGCGCATCCAAAGAACTACAAGACTGGTGCGTCTACATTGCTCACCATGCGCGCTCAGTCAGCCGCCATAACTCTGGAAGGTCGGTCGCATCGTCGATATCTTCGCTAGGCTTGCGTCGCTCCGGTGCTATTAGACGAACACCTACGGCGAGCACTGGGTCATCGGTTGGAGGAACATCTCATCCGGGATTGATTCCGGCCTCGCAGATGGATGTGAGCAAGCCGCGATATACACGCCGGTTTAGCTTCACCACTATTGGACCTCCTACTCCTACAGACAAGGGTAAATCGTCGACTGTCCGAGCACTGCAACCGCCAGTGCCGGAGCCTGGATTGCCCTTTCAAAGCCGAAAGTACGATTCCAGTGCCTCTTCTCTTCGGACTAGCAGCGCCGCGGATATGGGCTTTGGAATATCCCGCTGTTATTCAACATCTGATGCGTGAGGATCCGATTCACTGTGTGACGGATGATCTGGGTTATCAGGATGACGATGCCGTCGTGTTCCCTCTGAATGCAGTGGTGCATCCGCCTGGAGATCTGAAGCGCACATGCTCGGAGATTCTGAGGTGGATATAAGTTCCGACTGATATATAGATTGATCGGCTCACTCTAGGCCTCACCACACCATGTGTCAGGGGCGGTGTATCATACTTATCGTTATTCCAGATCAATATCAGCATGTGTTTGTTTGTGTCTGCGTCTTCATTACATAGTTTTACCGGCCGCAAAGACTTTGCCGCGCAGGAAGAATGAACTATGGAATATTGCGATTCAATTCGACTCATCAATCCACCCTCGCTACGTCAAGCCTATCCATCTCTGGGAAATGACTGCAGCAGCGGAATGACAGTGCTTCGCGTGCTGGAGAAAGCCTGCTTTGGACCAAGCTCGGTATTGCACTCTCAATAGAAATAGATCAGCAGGGCAACCTTGGGGTACCAGGCGAGACAAAGTACTGACATCCAACCCCTCTATCATATACGTATCATAGGTCATTTCACATCCTCTGCACCAGAGCCCCTGCTCAGTGCCACCATTGAGCAGTGATGGAAAGGGTATGGCACCCATACCGCCGAAGACATTGTCGGGTCTGATTCCCACGTCGTTTATTGTAAGAGGGTCCTGCGAAAGTGGACACAAAGGCGCTTGTCGGTACCATGTCAGCATGTCGGTCTTGAAAGCTGGATGAGCTTGGGGGTCCAAAGGGTGTTTCATCTCCAATGCCTCAATTGACCCATGCACCTTGAGAGCTAGCTCTTTTGCAGCTTTTACACTGGTAAGTCTTATTGATCGTTGACGAGATTTGCTACGTGGGACACAGTACTTTCCAGGAATGCTCCACATAATGGGCAGCGCCTTCAATTGCTGCTTTGTAAGGCCGAAGCATTCCCGGGCCGCCGGCAATGGGAGCATCCAGAGAGACTGGTTGACCACCAGACATAAAAAGCAGCACCGCTCAGCAGAGAGCAATAGTAGGAAGGCTCCGTATGCGCCGCACGATATGCATCGCTCAGTATAGAGGGCTGCATGAAGTGTTGTAACAGAGTGAAGGCTAAGGATCCTCGCCCGATTCAGGATCTCGAAGGTATGACCGGCGGACTTCGCGAGATCTCTATATACTGGGAGAGATTCAACGACGGCTTTACCGCGCAGGGAGACGCGAGATAGGCGCGATAGGGACTGGAGATCCAGGTATCTGAAAGATTCGTGCAGAATTTCGAGCGGTAGGTTGTCAAGCTGTCCGAGAGTCGATCGGCACTCGCGTTGAATGGTTGTAAATACTAGCTTAGTCGACTCGTCAACTGAGATCACGCCATCAAGGATGTAATGTGGGCGGTGCGAGAGATAAAGGAAGATCTCGTCGTCCGAGAAGTTCCTCTCAGTCATGGCTTTCAACCTAATGACAAGCTGAACTGCTGGAGGATCCCCCGCTCCTGGGGTTGAGATTGGGTGTGGTTCAGCTATGGAGGAGATGCAGCAATGTTACAGTCTCCAGCGGCGTGACAAACGCGTGCTCACGTGCTTTCGCATCGGGCAAGTACATTCACTGCATTCTGTAGCGATATTGATGATATGGACTTTGAGATAACTCGATGATGCATCGGTGATGCTAGTCACTTCCCTATTGTATAATCTATAGTATTATCTCCAACTCGCTACCGTGATGTGCTTGTTTTGTCATGGTCCTCTTCCACGAACCTTGGAAGTGGGAACATTATCCCACCTTGACACGTCCTCGCGATCATCTCGGAAGTCAGTGCACTAGTAAGTACCCGTCCGTGCAACAATAGATGCGATCCCTGGGCGCATCAACTATCTCCATCTCAATCATCTCTCGCCATATCTCTCCGACACCTGAACATCTCCAATTTCCGTCAGGCATCTCATCCATCAACTCACGCACAATGGATTCTGATCTGCGGCAAGCCATAAACACCGCCGACATCCAGACTCTGCGTTCTGCGCTCTATGAAATCCTCAAAACCGTACCGGGAACGAGTAACGTCGTGAAGAAGAAGATGGGTAGACCCACTGCAAGCCGAGCTCGCGCTGAATCCATCAACCGCGAACGCGAACGCGCAGTCTACTACTGCTCGCGCTGCGAGCAATATCTCAAAGGCCGGCAAGTCCTTCGCAACCAGTGCTTTTATCATCCGGGTAAGTTAAGCAGCTTTCTTTCCTTTCGTTGACCCTGACATTTGCATTCGAAAATGTGCTTCCACTGGCGATTGACGTGTTCCTGTTTCATGTAGGCAAACTCCAAATCAAGTCCAACCCTACGGCGTGGCCTGACTGGCAAGACGACGAAGAGATAAACATGGAATTAAACAAACAGGAGTTTCCAGAGTGCTTTTTCTGGACGTGTTGCGGGGAGGAGGGAGATGGGAAGAAGTGGTGTGTCCAAAGGCGCCATCCACTGAACATGGTTGCGCGGGTCGAGCTGGATGGGGAATAAGGGGTCAGGTATGGGAATTGGAGGTGGGTGCGTCGTGTGCAAGAATTATTCTGCCTTGTCTCCGTGAATTGGAATCCGTCTGGAGGCGTAATGGACATCTTTCCCTCACCTAGGACATATCAGGCTAATGGTATAGCTTGAACTGCTACTTGGTCACGTTTGGTCACCCTACCTCTGCATTTCGGTCTCAAGGTCCCGCAGGATCTCGTTCACCGTTCCATACCTCTTCATCCAACAACCCATGACGACCTTCCCACCAGCTAAACCCGTTACATCCGGGAACTTCTTCTGACTGAAAAGAGCGTTGACCCTTCTCTGGTAGTCATATTTTCCCTCTCCCGTCTCGAACGAGCCACATGATTTGTAAGGCCAGTGTCCCGTCAAGATGGTGTAGAAGATGGATCCAAGACTGAAAATATCGGTAGCTGGTGTCGATATCCAAGGCTGCGTGGGATCGAAAAAGGGATCATCAGGAAGATGTCCTCCACCAAGATTCAGTTCTGTGCACGTCGAACCACCGAAATCGCAGAGCCAAAGATCTAGAGAGACTTCAGTGGTTGCATGGACCAGGAAATTTTCGGGGCGTAGATCTGAATGTATCACGCCATTTTCGTGAAGGTATGCGATGGCTTCGGCGGCTTGCCAGCACCACTTCCTGCGTAGAGAATCCCCTATAAGCGCATTGTTTTCATCAATGTATGTCTGGAGGTTGCCATGGCTTGCTTCAGCAAGCAGGAAGCCCTTAATGTCCGTGGTGTCATCGTACCCGAATATCTAAGGTCTAAATTAGCACTACATGCTGAGCCGCAAACACGGAGTGGAACCCACTTTACGATCCTTGGATGATCTCCTAGCTTTTCCAGTATCTGCCGCTCAACCACGAAGCTATTCGTGATTCTTTCACTAAGCTTGTGGCGGTGCGCGCTCTTTTCCCATACCTGCACGGGTGATTTGAGAACGACTCCCGGCCGTATGCGATAGAAGGTGGAGGTTGAGCCATAGTACGGCAAAGCGAGCATTTTGGAGAAAGTGCATGCGAAGCTTGATGTCGACCAGCAGGGGAAGATCTGAGCGGAGACGGCGCTTTCCCTGCGCTTGGCCATGTCACCTTTTGGGTGTTCCGAAGCAGTGCGACGGCACTTGCATGCCTTCCAATACTAGGTCCCTCCACATAGTAACAGAGCAGAGCTGAGAAACGCGAAGTCGGCGGGATAACAAGCTCAAGGTCGAGGGATGTATCACAGCTGTAACCATAGTCCAGTTGTCCCATGCCGGACAGAGAGTGCGCCGTATAGGCGGACGCCCGGGGCCTGAGCTTAACAGACGCGGGATTTGAGTGCGATCATCAACCTTGGCCACCCGCCTGACCTTGGCCAGCGCTCCCTGTTATCTCGACCAATGGCAACTTTCCGCTGCTCGCTGACTCATCACCTGGTCCGAGTGCCTCCGGCTGCGTATATAAGGGCCTCCTCCCCCACACCCATTCTCTCTCCTCAGCTCTCTTTGCCGTAAGTCAACCCCTTCGCAGCACCACACACCAAACACCACACACTCCACACCCCACATATTCCTTTCCTCACACATACGTTCCCTTCCTCACACATACTCCCTTCCTCGCATACATTCCTTTCCTCGCGTGACACTTGCTAACTTTTTGTTTAGTTTTGGCTTAGATCAAGGTACGATCGAGTTTTCTTTGCTGCGAGGTTTTTACTGACTCCCTTTGCAGTGTAGTATCTGTTCTTTCTAGTTTAATCTCTGGAACGTTCCTACGGGAACAATTTCAAGATTATTCTTATTTTTGCAACCGGTCCTCGGCTCCCTGGGCTTGCTCATAGTCGAGGACACAGTGTCGCCGGTATTGCACTACCTCCGGCTGACGCGACCTTTTCTTTTTCATTGAGATGTTCGGCTTGCTGAACACTCGAGGAAGAAGCTTCACCCATTTCAACTCTTTCTCAAGTACGAGCGCAGGTAGTGTCTCTCTCACTCGGGATGACTGGGTAGAATCACATCCGCACGTCTCGCTCGCCTCGACTGTCCTGCTGGCACTTTTCTGCTGCCTTGCTCTGCAGTGCAATATCTCTTCCTGTCGGTCATTGATCTCTGGAGCGTTCCTACGTTCCCACGGGCACAGTTCAACATGATTCCAACCTTCTGCAACAGATCTCGAGCTCTCCTTGGGCGCGAGCCCCAGAAGAGAGTCGCGAACTGCAAACTCAGTGGCAGGTGCAGAAAAAGGCATCACGTCGACCACCCGTCCACGAACACCAAAACCAAAGGACTCAGCCCAACTCTCCTTTACGCATCTCCGACCCTCGTCATCGCCGCTGCGCTCGTCGCTGAAACGCTACATGGGAAGGACTCTTGACGGCTTGGGCATCATGAAGTGACTGCCAGTTTGCTCTCTCTCACTTAAGTGAGTTGCGTCACCGGTTTCCGCACGCGTGGTGCGAAGATGTTCACCTGGATCACCCCGAAGTCAATATTGAAGCCGGAACATTTCAACAATGCTAGCAGTCCAAATAATCAACCATTGCCCGTTTACATGCATTGGCGGAATCAATGCACGCTGTAACACCCGTGGACAGCATGTGCGGCTGAGCTGAGCGACGAGGCTGAGGGGTCTAGACTTCAAGATTCTGCCTCATAATCAAATATCCGCTTGTTGCGCACTTCACATATATCACAGCCGTTCCTATGCCATGAGTTCGAGCAATAGTGGTGAGGAGCGTAGCGCTCCAGCAAAAGCAGATTCGGCTCCAGTTCGACCAGCTAGCATCCAAAGAGACCTGGCGCCGAACGCGAGCGTCGACCGCCCTCTAACGATATTGCTGGACAATGGAATCGCCCTTGACACCACGTTCGCCATCTGCGAAGCATACGGCGTGAGTGTTAATATGGTCCCTCAACGCCCATTTTGCCGACATGATCACAGTCCCTCAACAGGCTGCTGCGTGGCCTCTTGGCCCAGGCAGATGAAGACGTCCGCGACGAACTTGACAAGGGTAATTTCGTTGTCTTGGATTCCCAAAACGATACAGTTCATCCAGAAGACTGGCTGGCATTCGTCAGAAAGGAGTCCTCACTCTCTGAACCACGATCCACCGTCGTCAGGATATCCTTCCGGTCAGATCAAATGCGCGCGAACCAGACGCAGAAGCATCAGCGGATCCCGGTTGACGGTGCTGGCGACGACGGTTTCAACCAAGACAGTGTATTTCAACGAGCCAGTGGCTCCACCATGACCTCTGTTAACGCCTCCGGCTCAGGGGGGCGTCGACGAGACGAGGAGGCTCCAAAACCTGGTTCAGCTGCTTCCTCCGTTGTTAGACAAACTCATGGCGGAATAACCGATAACGTAGACTCCCCAGAAGGACATGCCAGTCGCAACGCGAGCCCGCATCCGGATCATCTCTCATCTAGATCACGCAGCCCTGCAGCTTCGTTTGCTGTCAGCGAACCCCCTTCTATAGCTTCGAAGTCAAAAACCGAAGATGAGTGGGACCGGATGGAAGAAGACAATCCCTTTGCTAGGAATGAGCATCGTGACTTCCCGCGATTTGCATCATCACCATTCCCATCACCCCCACCGCCGCGGCCGCCGCCGCCACATCCACCACATGGAGTTCCCGCTGATACAGGTTCCCCTCTCCACAGAACGGTACCTCCGCTTGATCAAGCCGGGAACAACCTCTCCTATCCGGTTGACACCAAGGTTGAGGCAGACAGTAGCCATTCTCCTAACAGGCCGAACAGCATGAGGGACATGACAATGAGCACCTTCAGTATTCTCAAAGCTCTACATACGCGTTCCACCGAGCAGAGATTGCAGCTCCACGTTGTTACTGGGCCGGAAACGCCGTGGATCGCGCAGTTTGTCAACATCCGCTGGTACCATCTTCATGGGGATTGCATGAACTTCGTACAATTCCGAGAAGCCTGCCTAGGCGTGCAAGATATTTCCGCACGCATGAAGACACTTATTTCAAAGACTTTGAAGAAGATCGAGAATGATGAGCTGAAGGTCTTTTCAAGGGGTAGTTATATCGAGCCGGGGACTGTCATTCGAGGCGAGGAGACCGATCGAGATGACCCCCAGTCTATCATCTTCTCCTGCGTTCCTTATTTCCATATACAGCCCCAAGGTCGTTCCGCTTCAGACATACAGGATGATTTGTACCCCCCTCGGACCTTAATGGAGACGCTATATCCATACGAGCATGTGCGAGAAAGGGATTTGGAGCAAGCATTCAGGAGATATAGAAGAAGTGCCAAGAGTTCTGCAAACGACATCATCCACGTACCTTCGCTCTGGATCATGAATATCGGAAGGCATGCTGTCGTCACCTGTGGTCACCGTCCGTTCGTGTCTGAGCTCGGGAAATTGATCCGCGTCGCCAAAGAAGATGTCAAGTCACTAAAAGCGTCGTCACCCGTTGCATTTGGTGATGCCGCAGCTCCAGGTGTACGAAATGTCAGACTTATGGATCACAATGGACACGTACTCTTGTACCCGCTGAGCGAGTGTCGGAGCTACTTTCAACTCGAGCAAAAGGTGCGGGAGCTGATCCCTTTGGGCTACGGCGTCACGCGTGATCGCTTCCAGCTCAGATATACCAGTAGGCCCGTCACTCCAGACTCTCAACCAGTCATCCGGAAGCTACTTCCACGCCAGTGGAAGGACTTGATCAACGATGGGAACCATATCTTCATTGACGTCTCGATATCGATGCAGGAAGACAAGGAGGAAGAAGCCGAAGATGAACTGCATACCTCAGTCTCGAATGCTACCATTCCGAAGTCGCTAGTCCCACCTTTCTCTGAATGGAAATTTGGAGCACACGTTGACGGGGCTGTCGCGGTCCAACACACATATAACGAGGTGTTTGGAAACATACGGCGAAAGAGGGTTAGGGATTACTTCGAGGATGTAGGGTCTGCATTGGTTCAAAAGTACGGCGACCAGGCTATTCCCGGCGTGACATTCGAACAACTCCGAATCGGTGTCGAATTGTTGCTTCATGCAACAAGAGCAAAAGATGATGCCAGCCGGAAAACGTTGCATGAGCTCATAGTATATGACCAGATATCCAGTATTATCATGGCATTCTCCAAGCTGGTCGGCATTGCTCAACAGCTCAGCAGGCTCTTCGTTGCAGATGTCAATCACACACCATTCCGGAGGGTATGGGGAAGTATAAGCCGCATACGCGAGCTCATTGAAGAGATTGAAAAACGTGGTTCTGCCGGCGTGGAGGCCGGGAGACCCTGGGATTGGACCATTCGCCTGCCTGACCCGGAAGCGGATTCCAAACCGTCTGCATCTGATTGCGATCTCTTCGTTTCACGTATCGTGTCCGGCGATTGGAATGCGTCAAGCTTCTCGAAAACGCTCAGGAACGCCATTGAAAGCTGTCCTTGTTGCATACGAGGTGAGACCTACCAAACCCAGCAATCGGCGCTCTACCATCTGCGAGGACATTTTCCTCAGACTGGCGCGAGGAATGCTCCAGGTGACCTGTTTGATGCCAAGGAGCAAATAGGTATTGAATGGCTGCGCACCGAAGAACAGGTTATTGTTGAAGAAAGCAACCGTCAATGTTTGTCAATACTCAACAGGGCTGTTTTCCACAGCAAGGGCTTTGTCAATCAACTCAAGGAGCTCGCCGATGGTGTTCAACAAGAAGATGGAGAGATTTTTTCGGCTTACTCGTTCGCAACGGGGCTGGTAGATACACTGGAGGAAATCGCAGGATACTACATTCTAGCAGGACAATCGCTGTATGACTCGTCATATCAGACTTATGCGCAAAATGGCCATAAGTTAGTGTGGGTCTTGCGTTCCCGTTCCACGGCTTCCAGTCGATTGGCTGCCCGTCTACGAAGTTTGAATCGGAGATCAGAATGGGTCAGCGATTCCATACTAACGGCGCGCAAACAATTGTGCAGCATGGCAAGATCTCAGGATAGTTCTGGGAGATGGTCCTTGCCTGCCGAGTATATCTGCTCCTGGGTCATGCGACATCTACTCCTCCGGCCAGTGAGTAAGAACATGTCCGTCCTTGAGCTCTACCAAGAATATCTTTCGACACTCCAGTTCCAAGTGAACCATCACCCGACCAAGAAGCTTCTACGATCAACTCATCTCCTACAAGAAGAATTATCTGCTCTTGAACAGGTAAATTCCTGGCAAATAAAGCTTGTGCATGATTATTGCCGAGTCCTCGATGACCGAACGTACCAGAGCAAGAGCCGCTATCAATCTGCGGTGTACGCTCATGTAGCACCATTGCTTACTTCCTGTCTGGAGTACCTTACCGACATCCATGACGACTATGGATACCTTGAAAGACGCTGCGGCCCGCTGTCAGAGGCTATCAAACAGTCTGCTGAAATCAATGCGGAGGACCATGGCAAGGCTATTCTCGTGTTTACTCTAGTGACGACCATCTTTCTTCCTCTGTCATTCGTCAGTTCATACCTTGGCATGAACACGTCCGACATTCGCGACATGGAAGACAAGCAGACGCTCTATTGGCAGATTGCGATTCCGCTTACTGTATTCACGATCGTAGTCATGCTCATAATCGCCTACAAAGGCGACTATATTCGGAGCCAGGCGTCCAGCATTTACCATGGCCTGAATGGCAAGCAGGATACTAGTATACGTGGAATTAGCGTTGCGCAAAGGAAGCGTGCGACAAGAGATCAAATGGAATTAACTTCTACGACCGGATACACTTCGCTAGCTGGAAGCTCCGCGTTCGCGCCTTATGGTCTACATAAACATATAACGCGATCCACCAGTGTCTATCACCATAAGGATCCTGAACATTACACTGCATCGAGAAATGCCGGGAATCCTTATCATAGCTCGAGAGACGCCCAACAAAGTTTTCCACCCCCCTCAGCGCCCATATTTCCGCCAGGTCCACCTGCACAATATACCAACCGACAAACACCACAACAGTCTCCGGTTGATAGGTATCGATATCCACAGGCTTCGGTTGAACCGCCCAAGGAACATGACTCCTATGGTTATTCCATGTACGATAAGGGGATCCCTCCGACGACTCGTCCCCGCCGGCGACCCTTAGATATAGCATCTCAGTACCACAACCATTCGGGCCCTCGAGACTTCCGTTACAGCCACCGCCAATTGGCAGGACACCAAGACACCTATGGAGATGCCCGGACAACCCATTGGGCTCCCCAAGTGTACCCTTACGATCCAGCTCTAGGCTACAATGACAATACTGAAACGAACCCCTTCGCTCCTCTCGATAGGCGCGCCTCGGAACACATGAGATCTCTGAGCACTCTTTATCCTTACGGTATCAATCCCTTCGCTCTCGGAAACAATGTTTCTGCTCTCGTGCCTGGACCATATGATCACTATCCAGACCACAAACAAGACGAATGGCATTCCTATGGAGGTACAGCTGCGCCTCACCATTCCACTATGGAGCATGGCGTGAGCACCTTTGCGCCTCCGGCCTCCAACGCAAGGGCAAGGGCAAGGGCAAGGTTTCATCGCCGCGATGTAGATGCGGATAACATTAGCGTTCTATGATTTCACACGGAAGTACGATTCCAGTGACCCAGATTACTGCTGCATCTTAGTGCACCCAACATATTGGAAAAAGCCGCCACTATGGATCAAACATACCGGATCAGAACGAGAACTTGGGGAAGGGGGCGAGTCGAGCGATTTTGCGATTTGGGTTATCTCGACATAGTGATAGTGGAGATCACTGATTGGTCTATTGGAAGATGAGAGAGACCGGGATGTAGGCCGCATAGATACAATATGAAAAAGGTGCTTGGGCGAAGGAAACACGATCGAACAACATAGCTTTTGTAGACAGCGGCGTGGAAGATCGGAGAGGCAGAACCATGTCGGATGCTGCCAGGCGGGGTCTTCTCAAGGCGGCAGAAGCAGCTCACGCACGCTCGTCTCGTCCGACACCGGAGCGTGGGTATGTGTAAAGACTGGCATGACCTCCACGGAGTAGTTACGAGGCGGTTGCCTTTGACGTTGACGAGGTTAGGAAGGAGATAGAGTGGAGGTCCAGGAGCTCTCATGTATCTTATGACGTTAGAGGCAAGGAGACGGGTTTCAAGAGAGTCTAGTCAAGTATACGTTTCGGTGGTAGAAGCGACTTTGAGCGCCTTACCCGATAGACGAACGTCAAGAAGACCGCCGAGACAGCCGTACGTGGAGTACTACCAAAGTCCTTCGGAATCCGGAGATGAGGAGCCTCCACGCCATGGCAGGGTTCCTTCTTCGATACCACCTACAGAATCATATGTTACAGGTAAAGCGAGGGCCCGTAATGTGTCTCTTTCAGAAGAAGAGCCAAATCGACTATAGAGCGAAGCTACGGCGGCCTGCGCCAGAGGGCAGTGCTGTGGTGAGGTGAAGAAGGAGTAGAGGTCGCAACTCATCATCTGTCATCTGGGACGAGGAGGCGGCTGCGTAACTAGTCGCCTGGGGAAAATATTGTCTACTTCCTGGATATAGGCAGCTTGGTGAGTGAGGAAATAGACCGTAGTCTTAGGATGTATCGATTTGTGGGATGTGAGTAGTCAGCAGGATATACAAATCAAGGCGCTACAGTGTAGGGATCTTAACATCGTAGTATGTGGTTATTATATACATCTAGTATCCAGGGAGAAACCAAATTGTTTGCGACTTTGCACCAAAACAAGACTCTGATTAACCATACCGTAACCTTCAGTTCATAGAGTAGTGATACTTCCAAGAGGAATCTGAGTCAAATTGGCCGCTTTTTCCACAGCATCCGTGGACTTATTTTCATTTTCTACCAGTCGCTCCTTAGCCCCATCTTTCCAGAAGTCGTCCGATTGCGTATACACTCAAGCTGTGCATGTCTTGTACCCTCACGCGGAAACATATTAGTTACTCAGTGCTAGGGAACAGGAAGGAATTAGCTCTTTTTTAACCCCTTATATAGCGATGGGCGTAACTGAATCAACTATGCTTGGTCGTATCCTTAGTTTCTTCTCATCTGTTCCTCCGATACGGATGAGGGACGTCGAGAGAATGAGAAGACTTAAGACGTAGATTAGGACTTTGGAAAGAGGAAAAAAGACTTCGACGTGAAACATTTCATCTTTCGGTTGTGTGTAAAAATTGCACAGCTCCAACACTCCCTCCCCTTCACATTAGACAAGACTGCTCAGCGCATATACGCACTGAGACCTATGATCGTACATCCATCGTTATTACAACTCACCACGACACTGCTCAACCAGCCTGGTACAACCCAAGCGCAACCACGTGCGGATTAATCAGCGTGAGATTGAACGGCGTAAGGAACGGATTCGCATCCGTCAGCGCCACAAACATGGTTGAATTAACAGCTGGATCGCCCTCCCAGACCACGTCCGCAGGCTGGTAGGTAAATCCCGTGTTGTTACCCGTGACCTGGAGGGGGGTGTACGTCAGATTCAGCTGCGAGACCCAGGCGGCGAACCTGGGTGCACCCGCGGTGCTGTTGGTGATGTAGCTGTTGTTCGGGCCGACGGCCATGCCGGGAGCCTCCCAGGTCATGTTGACCAGTCTGCCGGGAAAGGAGAGCGGCTCGGTGCGGTTGCGGGTAATGGCTGGGCCGCAGCTGTAGCCAGTGACGTTCAGGTTCACGCAGGACGCATTGTTCGGGATTGTGGAGTCACTGGGATCAGCAACCCGCCTGCCGGTAACCTCCCTTGGCCGGGTGTCGTTAGGAGAGATGCGGTTCGGGTTGGGCTGGTTAACGATGAAGAGGGCAGGGAAATTCTGCCACGGGAGTCGCGTCTGATTGGCCGGGCACGAGCTGATGTAGGGTGCAAGATATGACCAGGCCCAAGATTGCGGGATGCTAGCCTCATGCCATACGGGCATGGGATGGAGGCCGAGCATCTGGCGGAAGGACATCTGCTGACGAGACTCGACCGAGATGGTCTGCAGGAGCAGCTGGGCGGCCGCTCGGCTGTCGAGGTGCTCGAGGAAACCGAAGACACTGGCCTCGCTCCAGCTGGTAAGCTTCTGGTTGAAATCGATGAACTCGCGGACCGTCCGGAACGGGTAGTCGTATGTGCACTGAACGGGGGCAGCGGGGCCGAGCATATTGCTGATGACCGTCGCGTGACCAGTCTCCTGAATGGCCATGAAGGCGATGTAGGCGCGGTCCTCAGCAGTCAACCCAGCTTCGATGAAATCCTGCTCGGAGAAGACCGCAAGGCCATTGTTGAAGAGATCGAGCTCAATGTACTCGTGGTACAGACCAAGGGAGAGAGAGTGGAAATCGAAGTCCGAGTTTACCTGGTAAACGGGCTGGGTTCCATTGGTACCCAGACCACCTGGGAGAGTTAGCGTGTTTGACATCCATAGATGTGAAGGAATGGCATTGGACATACCAGCGGGCATGTATGGCACAGGAGCGGGATTGAGGAGCACACCCTGAGGGTTAAAGTAGGTCTGAGCGGGACTAGGAGGCTGTGGCGCGATTGTTTGCGCCAATGTGGTATTCGCTCTCAATGCGCCAGTGGTAGTCGGAGTCCCTGTAAAGGGTCCGTGGCTTGTTGGCCCCGTGGGATTGGGACTCTTCCGTGGGGGTAATGTAACTGGCCTTGTTGGAGTAGCCTGACATGGTCAGCAAAAGTCTGCTTCACCAGAGAAGGTACGGAACGCACGGGAATCTGAGAGTCGGGCCCGAAAGACGTCGCCAAAGGTCCCGTGGGTTGGGAGACGGGGAAGCTGGCAGCGGCACCTGTGTAGCCAGGGACCTGGGGCGCAGGTGCAGCTGCAACGAGAGCGGACAGCAAACTGCTGGCGTAGACCACGTTTGATAACATGGTGAAAAGGACTGGACTGCTGGTGGGTTGGCTGCAGCCACAAGGGGGAGGCAGAGCAGTTTATAGGTCAGTAGACCAGAGCACATAGCTGTTGACGTCTCACCGACTTACGCGTCTATGACAGCACGACAATGTAGCAGTAGCAGGGTTCACAGTAGCCATGACTTCATAGCAGAAGAATGTTCGAACTTCTGCTTGAGTGGCCGAGAGTCGTGAGGGGTGCTTGCCCGGACGCACGCAGCTAGAGTTGTGGTTGGCTAGGGAGGTGAATCCCAGAGAAAGCTCCGATGTCTAGAAAAGTCCAACCTCTGAGGCGGAAATCTGCTTGCTTGCCAGTCGTGTATATCTAGCATTTTGTAACGTAGAGCTATGTGGCGACGGAGAGCCCATGTATCGCGGAGTTCGCTTCTGCTGTGGTAGTCGGCCACTATGTCATTTGAGTGATAACCAATCTGCATTTTGTCAGCTTCTGAAAGGAAGACGTGCCAAAAGGAGCGTGTTTCTGAGAGGATGAGTGGATTAGTGCACTATAGTTCTTCGGCCCACTCGAGACGAAAGCGGTGTCTTGGGTAGATATGCAAACTTGACCTGAAGCATAAAGGAGTGTTGAGAAAAACGTCATAGACGACGTTGGACGTTGCCAAGAACAGCGCAACGATGACAAAGCTCCGCGGAGCCAAGCGCCGAACATTGTTCCCCATCCGGCCGCCGACTTATAGATGGGCGCGTTATTGTAATGGGTGAGGACAAATAGGTTGGTGGTGCATGTTCTGTCCATTTCCGATGGCGCGAGTGGCAAGTCGCAGCGTGCATATTCAATCACCAACCTTGCCTCCCTCCTCCCCCAAGAATTTAGAACCGTACTTCGTTATCCCCATGAGGCTGACCAAATCATACGGTCACTCTCTGAGAGCAACGACGGCTTTTCTTCCAGTGTAGTAGTTAGCAAAGGCCAGTCAAGCTCTGATTCCCTCACCTTCTATAGAGTAGGTAGAGCTGGGGATTCAACTCTGTGGAGTTAATAAACACACCTCAGTCTTTCCTATACAACTCAGCCACCGGCATTTTCACTCACGCAGTATTATTTTCGAGCCATAGAATTTCCAATTAGATTGTACATATCTCTTGGATGGGCATCTGGAGTTGCAAGATTGGCCTGGGATACACATTGATTATTTCGCGCGAGCCATAGGACCCCAGTTTTCTCGAGGAGCAAGCTGATATCGCACGTACTTCCCTCGATCATGATCCTTGCCCAGTTTCTCATCGAAGATTACCTCGAAGTTCGTGCCCAAATAGGACGGTCGTTCAGGTTCCGCAGCTCCTGGTTCACCACTAGCCTCTGCTTGGGGCTCAACCGCCGAAGACTCCTGGGCTCCTGAGCTCTGCCCAACCGGCGTGTCAATGGAACCCGCTTCGGGTATCTTCTGGGCGACTTGATGAGCCGTTCCTTTGGCGACGATGGAATACCCCGGAGAACCTTGCTTCAATGGATTCTTGAGCGGCGCCTTCTGACGGACCCATTCCAGCATGATATGCCATATAGCTGGCCATGAAGCATTTGTGCGTATTGAGCCTGGCTTACAGTGGCTCATGGTGACCTTGAATCCTGCGTGGCGGAGCGCCCCACGAACTGCCGCGGCGGATGGTGCAAGACAGTGGAGGACTTTGGACAGTGAGCTAGGATTGAAGAAAAATGGCGCTTCATCTAACGCTGCTGGATCCGCTTTCGGTATAAGGGGATCTAGGTGTGCGGGCTCGTCCGGTTTGACATTTTTTTCCTTGTACCCAAAGGTTATCTCTTCCATGGCCGTGTGCAACATGCCTTCGATGCGCTCGCTCGTTCCATACGTTTCCTTGTCAACGTCGTTCAACTGGGCCAGGATCCTTTGGATGAATCCAACGTTGTGCAGAGGGCCACCATACATCGGACCGGACAGCTGCTGTATATCAGCATTCTGTAAAACCAGCCATCGAGATAGGAGCTTACCTGAGTCTTCTTCCCACAATGCTCACACGCTTTGTCCGCAGACGGTGCCAGAGAAAAGGAGTGCTTGTACGCCGCTGTGCCATCTTTGTTTGTCCTTGACGTGTGACGCGCAAGATACTGAGTGGACCACGCACCACAGCCATTCTTGCAATGATAGACGATCATTGTCTTTCCGGCTAACAACTTGACGTCGCTGGGAGACCTGCGCACTCGTACGAAGACGCGTATGTAGTAGTCGATGGACAATGAGAGAAGCGGCTCGATGGCCATTCCGTATCGCCCAGCAGAGGATCCTATCGCATGAAGGAGTAAACGTAGACCGCCTTCGTGGCAGGATTCGCCAATCATCGGCAGTCCACCGTATTGCGAATAGGTCTTCTCGAGATAGCCGTGGGAAGCGAAAATGGCCGAGTCTGTGCAGGTCACGCAGAGTAAGCCCTCGTCGTTGATGGCTTGGATAGCAGCGTCGATGAAAGGAGCGGCCGTTCCGTAAGGATCAAGATCTATCACATCGTATCCCTTCTGATCCACGAAACTGTACATGTGAGCAATGGCGTTCCCTGCATTTGCTTGGACCTTGGATTCGAGGTTGTTGTGCTTCACGTTCAGCTTAATCGCCTCGGTCGCCTTGCTAGAGATATCATTGGCCGTGATGGAGGTCGCGTACGGAATCTCTTTGGCATAACGCAGTGCTCGAAGACCCGTAGCTGATAGCGCATCAAGTATGGTGAAGGGCGGTCTCCATTCGCGATGCTCTTGGTTGGCCTGGGGATCCATAGAGGTTTCGGCATCCGGTGCCTCGGAATGACAGACGGCAGCTCCATCCCCAGTGTTGACTGAGTCCTTCGCACCATTGTGACCCTCCGGGACGACACTAGCTACATTATCCTCAGCAACCTTCCTCTTCTTCAATTCCCGAACACCCATACCATCTTCTTGCTGTTGGCCATCGCCTTCGGGCTTCCTCCTCTTCTTCGCCTGCAGTCTTCGCTGTTGTTGCTCGCGCTTCTGAATCCTCCTATGCACCAGGTCGTCTCCGAATGTCTTGATAGCTAGGACACTCAAGTCCCGGTTGAACTGCTGAATCGGATTGTAGAACACTTGCTGTTTCTGCGTGTCTTCCTTGGACATTTGGGGGTCGATGGAGGTAGGTGTACCTTTGGGCACCAGAATGTGCGCCAGTCCTTCTTTTATTGTCGTGTATTCCACTCCATTGTATGTGATGTTCTGCCCCGCTTGAGGGGTAGCATCTATTCCCTTGCTTTCTACATCCATGTTTGTCGATGTGTGGACTCCTGCGGCGGCCATGACGGGTGAGGGAAATAGGCTTCGGCGGATGGAGCTACCGAATGCCCATTGTTTGCGAAACAGGAGCTGGGGAGCTGGCGGCGCACATGGAATGCGGGTACAGAGGAATAGAGCGGCCAGTTTCGCCTTATAATCGATTCGAACTCCAGGTGGGAGCGATCGCAATGTCGCTTTTCTTTTTTTCTTTTGGGGAAACAGTTCCGCAAACCTCAACCATCAAAACAATTTTTGGACGCGATTTCTTGGCGATTTAAGCTTAATTGCTAGCGTGCCGCATCCCCACCACACGACGATCAGTCGTCCGAACTACAAAACTTACACAGTATGAGGAAATGCAGTTCCTTGCTATCATGCTATGGGTTGTCTGATGAAAAAACATGTCTCTTGAGAACCGTCTTGTATAGGCCATTATTCAGTTGCCTCAATTTCCCGTATACAAAGGAATCCTTCACCATGCTAAACAAGCTGCTGCCTAAAGAGCTAAGGGGCCGGGGCTGAGGCTTTTCTAGTTTCGGCATCCTTAATGCTGACAGCAAGGTTAGGAGCGGGTATTTGAGAAGGATGCCTCCCCTCATCACATTCTGTTCTTCTTCATCCCCACACTACCGTCGTTTTCTTCATTAATTATCCTAACATTATTGCACAATGGGCAGACCTAAGTATCTCCCAGGGGAATATCGCGACGACCCCGACGCCCTATCCCTCCAGACGACACCGGACGATTACACTTACGACGACGCTCCGGAAATCAACGGCCTACCTCCATCCTACGATGACAGCGAAGGGGATATTGTTCCCGCGGCTGGCCCCTCGCGGCCAATCCGCTATGTTCCTCCGTCGCGCTACATGGATCATGACAATGCCTTCGTGCAGTCTGGCGGCAAAATTCGAGTGTGTGACACGCAAAAGACCATGGACGCTCGATATGACTTGGATCCTGAGTACCTGGAACAGCGGATTAAGACAATGTCACTGGTCCCTCCCAATCCCCTCATCTACATCGTAGGAACGCACAGGGAGACCGTGAGGAATGGGGACAAGAAGGAGGTCAAGGACATCATCGACTTCCGGCTGGTAATCAATATGGGAGAATACCTTGTGCACGACGATCAAACCGACTTCCCCATGAAGCTTGGGACTGCAACGAACGGCGAGAAGACCTACCGCGGGAGCTTCATGAAGAAGCGCGCACCAGGAGCCAAACAAGACATCGAGGTCGGCTCAGATGCCCCTACCCTCCGCGAGTGGTGTCATCGGTACTGCGCCTCGCCTTCGCGATTGAGAATCTTCCGTCTTCGGCGCGAGGTCTTTGGCCTGGACTCCCATTACCTTGCCAAGCGTATCGAAGGCCTGATCCGCAGCACAAGCTACCGTGGGCGTGTCAGAATCGAGTTTCCGGTAGAAAACGAGAACGTCGACATATACACTGCAAACCGCATCAATGAGTGGCGGTTGAAGACGTGGGTCCGTTGGCTTTTCTACCTTACCTTCCTCTGGATCTTTTCCTGGCCCTACCTCTTCTTCGCGACAAAGCGCTATGCCGTCGTCAAAGCAAATTGGTTCTTCTCCACACTCGACGAAAATGACAACAAGATATATGCCACCATCAGTGAAGAAGAGTGGTTCGACAGATGGCACATTGCCATCCGCCGCTATGTGTTGGAAGGCTTCCAAGGCGAAGCAACCTACGAGCGGATGCAAGGTGTTATTAATCGGCCTGCGGATCCGCCTACACCCGGCCGCCCTGCAACAGGTAATGTGAACGTGGACAATGCAGTCGGTCTGTTGCAGCAAGGCTTCCGGGTTGCTCGAGCTATCAGTAGGGGTGATCCGATGGCAGGCCTTCAGGATGGTTGGGGTTACGACACGGTGTAGCCCGGTGAAGCTGGACTCGTATCAGAGAAGTGCCCATCATTTTCCGCTTTCATTCCTCCGAACAGGTCTCTTTCATTTGTGTTCTCATTTTATCCGGCCGGTTCTCCAATGAAGTTGTATCAAAGCGTGTACTGTGTAAGGCGTATTCGATGCACAACCCAGTGACGCGAAAGTACGGAGAGAAGAAGCGTGATCCATCTTGACAACACAATGCGAGTCGGAAGAGAAAACTAGCACGAGAATCGCATTCTCTGCATAGAATGAGTGAAATTAATCTCACTAGTGTCTGTACGACTCGAGGAAAGAATCTCGCTCCGCCATCAGGGACCCTCTCTAGCATCTTTAAGATGCACTCGAGGCTATTCCCCAATTATGATACCCAGAAACCCTTTCCATTATCTCCCCACCACCGCCCCCCCATATTCCACTATGCCTTCAGCGCCTTCCTCGCCTTCTCCTCATCAAAAAGCCAGATGCCATTCGTCAACTCCTCATTAATTTTCTGCTCTCCCAGCTTATGCGCCAACCCCTCAAACACCTTATGATGCGGCACCCTCTTGAAGAACCTCCGTTCCCACTCCCTCCCCTCCTCCTTCTCCTGCTTCCGCATCTCCCTCTGCCGATTTTCGATAATCGACTTCTCGTACCCGGCCGTTTCAGTGTCTCCCTTGAGGATCGCGTCGGCGACTTTCTTCCACGCGCGCCGCGACTCCATTTCGTCTTGCTCTTCTATGGGAGCGATGGTTAGTGGGGTGGTTTTGGTGACTTTGGGGTCGTATTGGTCGACGACCTTTTTGGTTTTGGCGTCTTTGATGGTGAATTCGTCAGTCCATTGGCCATCGGCCGTGTAGATCGGTTCCTTCTCCTTGCCCTCTGGGTACAGGACAGCGGAAAATGTGTTCTTTTTGCCGGAGATCCAGCCCTTGCCGCTGTAGTCGATCTTCGCTGTGTAGCCCGAGGATGATTGGATGTAGGAATTGCGGTTCAGTTCGACGTAGGGATACCCGGTGATGAGGCCTTCGATGTGGAGGGATGGGAGGGTAATGAGGTAATCCTCGTTAAACTCGTCAATGTGGAGGATAGCGTGGCCAATTTGCTAGACGGGACATCAAAAGCCATTCCACAGGTTCCCAAAGCCATCCAAACTCACCTTGACGTTGATCGTGCTCGAGAACGTCGCCTTCTGCGCATTATATCCCTGCAACCTCACCCCGGCCTTTTCGTTCCAGATACAATATGCTGTAACCGGCGGATGGTGGCTAACTTGCTCGCTCACGAGTTGCGTAGTGCCCGCCTCGTCTTCCCACTTGCCCAGGAACAGCTCCCCCAGGAACGGATTCAGCGGCTTCTTCTCGCTCCCCAATTTCTCGCTCCGGCTTGCATACTGTTGTTTCAGTGTCGAGAGGAACCACTTCAGCACCAGCATTGCTCGCTTCGCGGGGTCCTTCTCTGCAGCAGGGGCTACGAAGATTGAGGGGTGCTCGGCCCAGTAGGAGGAGAATTCGACGAGGGAGGTCGCGGAGAGAATGAACGGCGGCGCGGTCAGGGACGCGAGGTCTCCATTGAAGGAGGCGATCGACTAGCCGGCGATGTTAGTCCAACAAAGCCGCTGCCCAAAGTCGTTTCATGCCATACCTTCAGGAAACTTGACCAGGAGCTTTTCGCCTGTGCAGGCACGGCGGCGCCCTCCTTGCCGTTGTTAGAAGTCATGGTTTTTCTGGCGGATACGAATACAGAAGGCTTGGTGGACGCGCTGTGACGGGCTAGGGATACAAAGTGAGTGGTGGTGCTGGAAGAAAAAAAATACACAGTAACCACCGGTCCATTAAGAATGTTGTTTGCGACCGAAAGTGTGGCGCAGCACAGCGACGTCATTTAACAGGGCCCTGGCGCCCTGGTAGGGCAACCTGAAACAGGGTGGGTGAAAACGAGGGTGCCCGTCGCCGTCATGCATGGTGGGGATAGGAGGATGATGGTTTGCAAAGCTCGTTACTGTATTGATATGGTCCCCAAATCTGGATGTCTAATCTCGAACTTGAACGGGACCTGTGGCGGTGCTGTGGCGCGTCAGGTACAGTAGCATTGTGCCAGGGAACATATGCAACTAGCGAAGAAGACGAGAAGACAACTGCTCGTGACACTGTGTTGACTACATGAATGGTGAACATCTTGTGGCATTGAGCATTGAGTATTTGCGCGCTTTGGTGTGTATTATGATGATCGCTATGCCGCTGAGTACATGATAAACACTTGCAGCTGAGCAAGTGACCCAGAGACAGAGAACTTGCCATGCTAATTACGGCATTCACTTTCACTCACTCCACGTCCGCCCTCTACGTCTTGACATCAGGCTCGGTACGGCCGATGTACTCCTGGAACTTGAGCAAACTGGTTGCTAACTGGACGTTATCCTTGAGATAGTCCTGAGCATCCAAGTCGTACTTGGACTCGTCGGTTTCGTGCTTTTCGATGTACAGACGAATGGTCGCGCCGCTGCTGCCAGTTCCAGACAAGCGTACCACGATGCGGCTGCCGTCATCGAACTTGACAAAGATACCCTGATTCTTGCTCACGCTGCCATCGAGATCGGTGTACGAGAAATCGTCGGCTTCGAGAACCTTGCGTCCGGAAACAGTGGAGCCAACAAACTCGTCTCTCTTCGTGGTGATGAGCTCCTTGATGTTGGCAACAACCTTGTTGGCAGCATCAGAGTCGACCTGCTCATAGTCATATCTGGTGAAGAAAGTCCGGCCGTATGTCTTCCAGAAGTCCTTCTGGATCGAGGCGATGCTGGGGGTGGTACCAGTCTGCTGGCCAACGGCAGCCAGGATGTTGAGCCATGCAACGACAGCCCACAGTCCATCCTTTTCGCGGATGTGGTTGCTTCCTGTGCCAAAGCTCTCTTCGCCGCAGATGTTCATCTTGTTGGCGTCGAACAAGCCGCAGAAGAACTTCCAGCCGGTTGGGACCTCGTAGCACTCGACACCCTTCTTCTTGGCAACGAGATCGATGGCGCCGGAAGTGGGCATACTCCTGGCCAGGCCATAAATACCTTGCTCCTTGAAGTACGGGATCAATTCGGCATGGTGGGCAATAATGGCCAGGCTGTCGCCTGGAGAGACGAATGTCTTTGCGCCGTAGATCATGTTGCGATCGCCATCACCATCGCTCGCAGCGCCAAAGTGAATGCCATTTTTGTCCACTGCGTCGACGAGGGACTTTGCATATACGAGGTTGGGGTCGGGGTGGTGTCCACCGAAGTCTGGTTTAGGGATGCAGTTCTGTGTACTGTTTGGTATTCCCAGCTCCTTCTCGAAGATGTCAATTCCGTACGAGCCGGTCACACCGTTCAAGCCATCGAACAAGACCTTGAAGTCAGGGTGTTGCTTGATGAACGACTTGATCAGATCAAAATCGAAGATGTCTTTGAGCATATCGAGATAGTCCTTGGTGGAGTGGATGACCTCCACTTCCAGATCACCATACTTCCGCGTGCCAATGGTTGAGAGGTCGACCTCGGGAATGTCGGCGATTTTGTAGGAAGTGAGGTTCTTTGAGGTCTCGAAGATCTTGTTGGTGACGCTTTCGGGCGCTGGAGCACCATTGGCGAGGTTGTACTTGATCCCAAAGTCCTCGGTGGGTCCTACTGTTGTGTCAGTCCCATTTCCAGCTCCTAGTGCTACGTCTTAAACGAGGGGAGGGACGGTCGAAGAACTCACCTCCAGGGTTATGGCTGGCGGTCAACAGAATGCCACCGGTCGCCTTCCGCTTTCTAATGACATTGCTGGCAGCTGGGGTACTGAGAATGCCATTCTGGCCGATGATGAGCTTCTTCACGCCGTACGCTGCGCCGATCTTGGCAATCAGCTGTGTCACTTCGGGGTTCCAGTAACGGCCATCGCCGCCAATGACGAGTGTTGAGCCCTCTACGCCTTCGGGGATGGAGAGGAGGATGCTGGCGACAAAGGCTTCGCTGTAGTTCTCTTGCTGAAAAACCTTGACCTTCTTGCGAAGGCCGGACCTGGGGCAAGTTAGCTTGAGCCACCAATGATTGTGCAATTGTTCTCGAGTGGAGCATTGCAGGCCACATACGTTCCAGGCTTCTGGTCCGCGAAGGGTTTCAACGAGACAGTTTTGATGCTCATGGTGTGGATGTCCTTATTATGGGGTTGAGAAGAAACAGTAGTGTTGAAGGTTTTTGTGAGGAGAGGAAGTTGCCGAAGCTTCGAAGACAACAAGCTCTGGCGGGGTAAACATGACGTATCCGTGCGCATCTGTGAGTGCTTGGTGGCGCTACCCCCACCCTTCCCACGCATCTGCAAAGTATAGCCACCTGGGCACTCGCTGTACTGTGGTACACCATATCACCACGCCTCGGAAGCCACCAACAAAACATTTATTGACATTCAAAGACAGACACAGACCAGACGCCATAGTTGAATGCCCATGTAGTATCTACTGGACAATGATTTTCTCCGCTGCCTCGATTGTGATGGATCTTTCTTGAGCTGAGAATGGCCGAATCTCCGATAAACGTTAGAGTGTATCACTTCGCAAAAGGGGTTTGATGAGGTATTCGCGTGATTCATCTCTATTTGATGTGTACAAGATCACGACGTATACTCCGTACGTGCAACTACCAATGCATACCTAACGTCTACTTGAACCTTCCTATACAAGTAAATATATTCCCGTGTTGGGTTTTGCTCCAGCCACTTGAACCTCAAATTCCGTCTCCATCCCACCAAATCACACAACACCCACGTACACCGCCATTCGCGAAACATACAACCCGCCATTTTGCAACAACAAAGTCCATAACCACAAGCTCTAGTCTCATCTGGCCTATGGGAATCCCAGGTCTGGCCACGCGCCTGGAACCATATGCGCTTTTCTGTACCTTCGCTGACCTCGCAACCCTTCAGTATGAAGCCATCATCGACGGGCCCGCGCTTGCATACTGGGCGCACAGTGTAGCCGCTCAGAATCAGACACGATTTCCAGGCTACACCGACATCAATACAGCGGCTATCCGCTGGCTGCAGCACCTCGAAAGCAGCGGCATAAAAGTGTGAGTGCACGTGACCGCCTCATTCACCGTCCTTTGCAACACCAGATTTGCTGAGCCGACAAATTCTAGGTCAGCTATCCTCTTTGATGGAGCTCTTCCACCGTCCAAAAAGGAAGAGAGGGCATCACGCCTCCTTCAGATCGTGAAACGCGTGACCCAGCTCAATGTAGCATCCGGCAATACAAATTGCCCTATACAACAGCTGGGATCAGTGGCCTTTCCATTCCTGGCGCCTGCACTGAGAGAGGCCCTTCTTTCATCCGAGTTCGCCGGAGCGACGCGCGTGGTTCCTGGGGAGGCGGATGACTGGTGTGCATCGCAGGCCCAGCAAAATCCCCACAGCATCATCTTCACGAGTGACACTGACCTGCTCTTGTACGAATACTCTGAGCATGCTCTGGTTCAATTTTTCAAAGATGTTGATGAGAAAGGATTGAAGGTCTACTCTCCATACAAGATCTGCCAACAGCTCGGGCTCGAAAGTCTTGTGCAGCTTGCTTATGCGACACACAAAGATCGTTGGCAATCACTGTCTGAAAGCGTCCACAGCGCGCGGAGATATGATGCGGGATCGATACCCTATACAGAGTTTAATAAGAGATATATCGACAGAGTGGAAGCACCAGCCTACCTTTCAGCGGACCCTCGGTTGCATGCGTCACTTCAGAAACTTGACGCAAGAGTATCCGAGTTCGTCCTTCAAGCATTGTCTCCCGGCGATAGCGCATCCCAAGATCCTCCCCTTGCAATACCAGTGTCCCTCCCCTTACTCATCGAAGATCCTTTCAGGGCGTCCGCTTGGACGCAGGGGCAAGACATCCGCCTGCTCGCCTACTCCCTCCTTACACGCCGCCGGCTCGTCATCCAGGAACACGTACGAAGAGCACAAGGCATTTCAGTCCAGGAACTCGGCATTCATCCACTAGACAAAGTGGAAATCGGAGTTGCCGCCCTTCATCGTGCAGTCAGCACAGCCTTGGAGTACCGCGAACTACCCCCAATACGATACTGGACCCTTATCGCGGTAAAATTGGCCTTAGCCTCTCTCAAACCACCACACATCTCACTTCTCAGTCGCGTAGTAGCAGGCGAGTTCGACTCGACATGGTCCTTTGTGCATCTCCAGTCTTGCATCCAGGCGACGCTGTATTCCTTGCGGATGCTGGGCCAATGCATTGAGGTCTGGCTCGCACTCGTCTCTACAGACCATATAGCTCCGGAAAAGAAACCCTCGCAGGAGCTCTTTGACCTCATCAACGACTTGTTCCGCATTCTGACCACCCTTCCCCCAATCGCCGAACTCTTCCCGGTACCAGGTCAACAAGTTCCCACATTCCCGGAAGACGCAAACCTCGTAAGCACACTAAAAGACATTTATGCAGCAGCCGGCATCACCGACGAGCTGCTTTTCTCGGAAGCGAAGTCCAAGAAGCAGCGCAAGAAGGAGAAGAGGGTGAGGAAAGCCGAGGCACAGGCTCAGGCTCAGGCTCAAGCTCAGGCCGTAGTGCCGACAAAAAGGAGCAAGAATTTATTTGATGTTTTCGCGGTTTTAGATAATAATAACAAATGAAAACCTTCTCGTATTCTATATCTTTAGATTCCTCCGCACACAATCGTGCGACATATTTGTATTCCTCGCTCAAGCTTGAGAGGGAGGAACTTATAACCAACAGGAATTGTCAGATTATACTAAACCATCACGACGAGCAGGATGCTGTAAATGGCAGACGTACATATCAAACGCCCTTCCGCACTTTGCTGAAGCCGTGAGAAAACCCGGTTACCACTCAGGCTACTACAGAATTTCGAAGAGCTTGAGTGACTGTCCTGGCTTTGGTTGGTATCGTTCATCGTCCATTGGCCTCTGATCATATAGCAAGCAAGGCCCCAGCATCTGATAGTGATCCTTTCCGTGTCTACATGGCCTCAGCACATATGGCGTTCTCCCAGTGTACAGTCCGACAACAATGTCACCGGGAAACATGAGCTCAGGTCCTAGACCTGGAGTTCCATCCTTTGTCAAGAAGAGACGTCTTTCCTTGTGGAAGCTGTTCAACCGGTGCTCGAAGCGGTTCCACAGATGCTTACGATCGTCGCGCTCACGTTGATAGTTGTGCTTTTCGCAGTATGCTTTCCAAGATGGGTCGTCTGCATCTGCCTTGACCATTTCCCTGTTATGGAGATAGTTGATGAAGCCCAAGTGCATGTCGTGCTCAGAGTCCATGATGCCAAACATTCGAATCGCTCGTTCCATAAAAATAGCACCATTGGGCTCTTGGGACCATGTACGCATTTCATTTCTGATGAATGTGAAGACCTCGTGGCCTTGTTGGCCTATTGTGAATGTAGTCCCGGAAACGTGACGGTATCGGAAAACAGTCGATATTTCGGAGAAAATCAGTCCGCCAATGTAGAACGATGAGTCTCGGAAGGTAAACGAGCGCTTGAGGGCTTGATCGCATTCATGGTTCTTGTTGCCGTTAAGAAATCCGGGACATTCTTTATGAATGAAGTTTGTGAAAGGCCAGTCTGCATCTGTGCGAATGATATCTGGCACCCAAGAATATTTTTGCGGCACATTGCCCCATCTCAACGATTGTTTGGGATGGTAACCCGGAAAGAAGTTGAGCAGATCCAAAGACTTCTTCGTTCCAATATGCCACCGCGCAAAGTCAAACATGGCAAAGTCTGCCAATTTGTTTACATAGTCTGGCCGTAAACGATGATGGCTCATATTCTCGCGTGTATCACTACCAAGCTCCAGTATAGCGTATATTTTATCCGCTCGGTCACTGGCTTGAAAGACCCCGGTGGTCTCAATAACATCGAGAATGGGAATGAACTGATTGCGGTCCATGATTCCTCGTTGCCAAAGAGATAACCAGGACCCTTTGAAGAATGCAAGTCCGCTAGGCTTATCGCGTACCATGGGGAAGTGGTGGATCCCGGCGTTCATCGTCTCCTCTCTTGCTGCGAGATCTCTCGTGAAATTGCAGAATCGTTCCCAGTCCACTGAGACGTCACCGATAACGAGCTTGACCTTGGGTTGACCGTGCGTATCCAGCGGTGCGCGAAAGACTTCTTGGATCACCCATACCCGTTTAAACCAGGGTCGTGAAAAGAATGCGTCCACGGCCCATTTGACTGCTAGCGTGATGTGAACTGGGTTTTGAATTCTCTGAGCGAGCTCAGTCGGGCTATAGTTGTTCCCGTGAGTGATGTATGCCGTGATCATGCTGCGTCTGAACTCCAAGTCAGTGGCGTATGCCATCCAAAATGGTGCCAGAAGCCCATATTGCTTTTCGAGATCGCAAGCACCATAAATCGCTGGCGCTGAGTCGGATTCGGGCAGCTCCCACGTCCATATACGCAGGTTCGAGAACTTTTGAGGCAGTTCTAGGAACCACTCTCGGTCCTTGTCTATTAGCATTGACAAATCGATCTTGGCATCCAGCGAATAATTTTTCTCGGAGCGCGAATCCCAGATCTCCATAAGTCTCATCATCACTTCGCTCCAGATATTTTCGACGCCTAGCCATACGAGGACACGCTCTGCGCTGGAGTAGATTTGCCCCATCGAAGAGACTTGCTGGCTGCGTTCGACTGGATCGTTCTGGTTGATACAAATCGCATCAACCCACAGAATACGCGCTGAAAGTATACGTCGGAAGTTTAGCAAAGCGCAGTGCAAGTCGGCAGTGACATAGAACGTCTGCTCAACTTGTTCAGCCTTGTCTATATCAGTGCTCGATTGCTTCGGATGAACGAGAGTTATCGGCACAACTGTCGACAAGTCACCCCAGCAATATGAGAGAGCTTCATAATTCGCGGCGAGTCGGTAACCGGCATCATTCAATGACAAGTAGATAAGGTTGCAGACTAATGGAGACGAACCATATCCAGGCGCTATGGAAATACAGCGAATCTGCCTGGTGCTGGGATCCAAGGGCGTATATGTAGAGGTGTCATTCTCGACCGAGCGGAATGGAAGACCCGTGTCCATCGTTTCTTCCAAGGGAGTGGAATTGGTGTAGTGAGCAAGAAGGAGGTACCCTTCAGCTGAGCATGCAGGCGCAATCACACCTAGTCCACTTAAGGCTTACCGTGACTCACCGTCTGGCGATCGTCCCCATCTGGCGATCACTTTCGGCCGCCGAACACCAACAACAAAAAAGGCTGTACAGCTCTATACAGATAGTAAAATCACTAGATTTTTTGTTAGGACACTCGAAGGCGCCATCTAAACCAATTGACAACTATAAATTATTATCGATAACGGTAGAGGAGTTGTATATTGCGGGTACGTGTTGCAGGCCTAGATATGGGCACCTCATCTACAATAGATGCTACATCTACATTATCAACCTTAGGCTCCTTAACGACATCTGGAGGAGGTGCAGCAAGCTTTTTACTATGTACGGCCCTTGTTTTAGATAATTGTATGTCTTGCCGGAGTTGCTTTTCTGCTGCCCGAGCGATCTGAGCTTCCTTACGCTCAGCTGTCTTCTTCTTCTGGTATTGCTGGATCCGAAGCTCCTTTGCTGCCAGCCTCATATGGCACCTCTCCTCAAGCATGTCTGCTTTTTCCTGCTTTGCTGCCTTCCTGCGCTCTGCCTCCCGAATGTTTTGCTATTGCAATGACCGTTCATTGGCGTCCTTTTAGGCCTGTCGAGCACGGGCATCCTTAACCTTGGATGGTGACCAGAAGATGGTGCTGCCATGGTACTCCTGTGGGGCCTCGAGCAGCAGAGGCTTTCCACGCTGTCGGCGCTTCTTCTTGGGGTTGGGGTTAGGGTTAGGGTTAGGGTTAGGGTTAGGGTTAGGGTTAGGGTTAGGGTTAGGGTTAGGGTTAGGGTTAGGGTTAGGGTTAGGGTTAGGGT